CCCTAGTTCCTCTTTATCCTGGAAGCACCTTGTTTTTCCATTAATCTCTAGGGACAGTTGTGCAAGATATATCAATCTTGGCTGGAGGTTATTATCTTTCAAAGCTTGAATTATTTCCCCCCACGCTCTTCGTGATTTGATGGTTTGTGCCGAGAAGTCTGCTGTAATTCTGATGGGTGTTCCCTTGTAAGTGATCTGTTTCTTGTCTCTGATGGCTTTTAATATTCTGTTCTTATATTGGATTTCTGGAATTTTGATTATTATATGCCTGGGTGTAGCTCTGTTTGGGTTGTAGGTGGCTGGAGTCCTGTATGCCTCATATATCTGAGTATCTTTACCATTTTCCAAATTAGGGAAATTCTCTTGGATTTATTTCTGTGAATAGCTTTTGTGGTCTATTTGTTTGTGTCCCCCACTTCTTCTCTTATGTTCTTAATTCTTAAGTTATAGATCCTCTTATCATCTTTTAGTTTTTGTATTGTTGTCATTTTTTTTTTGTTATTTTTAAGAAGTTTTTCATTTCATGCTCCCATATTACAAATCTGCCCTCCAAAATCTGTCCTTAGTTTCTTTCAAGTTGTTATGCCAGTTTTCAATAGAGTTTTTAGTTTCCTGGTAATCTCTTTGAACCTGGTTTATGTATTCTATGTTTTCTCTATCTTCTCCATCAAACAGTTCTCCCCTTTTTTTCTGTTCTTCCATTCTACCATCTGTTTTTTCTTGGGCGGTGCTTAGCATTTCTCTAACTATTCTGCTTATGTCTTGCTTCAGGTCATTAATAACTTCATTCCTGAACTCGTCTATGAGGCTCTGGAGATAGCACTTTATGTCTATTTGGTGCCGTGTCTGCTATTGCATGTTTCTCAGGATTGGGGGCCGAGGACCCTTTCTTGTTGCTCCCTCTTCCCATATTCTTTGTTCCTTATATTTAAGCGTGTATAGGAGGCCCAGCTTCCTTCCCTGTCGGCCACAGTCTGTTTGAATTGCGCAGGCTTGGTGTTCCCGCCCACTGCAGTGCACTATGGAGACACAGACCTGGGCAGTCTATGCTCCTCCAGGTCAACCTACCGAAGGCTTTACTGCTAGGGTGCACCTTCAGGTGCTGGGACCTGAATTGGGCTAGCCTATTGGGTCTCAGCCAGCGGCGTCTCTCAGGCCAGGCACTCCCCACCAATTCCGCTTGGAGGGGTATATGTGACTGAAGTCACTGCAGCATCTCATTCTGGGAAGTCTGCCCGGTCCAAGTATGTCCTCTGCTGAAGCCTCCTTCTCTATGGAAGGGTCCCGATCTGCTCACTCACCACAGGTTGATGCAGGGCACCCAGCCAGTCCTGCTCCCAACTCCTTTCAACACTTCCCACTCTCCGAGCTTTTGCGCCTCTCTCCGCGCTGTGCCCACTGGTACGCAACACCGCAGGAAATTCAAATCACAGATTCCAGTGACACGGGTCCGGCTTCCGTGCTGAGACTTCATCTGTGCCTGCTGTATCACCGGGATTGCATTTCCAGATGGTTTCTCTTAATTTAGTGCCTTCCTGGGTCGGCAAAGAATATCCCCCCTTGCCTGGGACTTCCTGCCCGGCACCATTCCTAGATTTAAAGTGTGGTTTCTCAGAGAGCCTCCGAGGCTGCTGGTATCTATCCACCATGTTCTTCCAGACTCCTTTAATGTTACTCTTAGAGGCTAGAACTTAACTTTTCCAATCTAGAAGGAATGTTTTTGTAAAATCAGAAAAAAAAAATTCAACTTGTGGGAACGTTCCTTCATATAATTATAGTTGTATTATTTTGTAAGGAACTTGAAGCGCACTCGGAATTAATAGTTACATCTTCAGATTTTCTGTTGAGAACTAGAGCTTGATAAAGTGGTTTCCCTTCTCATTCTTGCTTTCTACTTCAAACTTTTAACTACAACTAATAAAATAATGTCTCTTAATTTCATGATCAGTTCTATAGCCACTCTATGAGAAAACCCTGATTTCAAGGCATTAAAAACTGATAATGGTCACACTAGCTTATTGGTAGTACTACTTACTGGATTCAAACAAAAAACGTAGACCCTTAGAAGCAGCCTACCTACATGTCAGCAACTAAGATCTATGTATAACAATTTGTATTACCTATTCTAAATTTAAATTAATTGATAGTCTTAAAGACCTTAAAAAGTCACTGAAATTCTGCAACTAAATCATAAGTCACAAAAAATTCACATTTGTTTGAACTGAAAGTCTTATTGTCACGATGAACTCATGAAATGATGTGACTGGTAAAAGTCAGCTTGTGACATTTTATTTCTTAAACTGTTGTATGTGAATTATCCAGTCATGAATAATCTGATTAAAAACAATAGATTATTTGTGTGTGTGTGTGTTTGAGACAGGGTTACTATGCAGTTCAGGCTGGCCTTGAGCTCACTTTTTAGCCTAGACTGTCTGAAACTTGCAGCAGTCCTCCTGCCTCAGCCTCCCCAGTGTTGGGATTACAGGCGTGAGCTACCACACCCGGCAACAATAGATTATTTTATTTGAGGCAAAAAAGAGAATGTTGGTTGACAACTGTGAATGAATTCTAAAAATAATGGAAAGGTGGAAACCCTGCCAGGAACCCTCAATTTCTAAACTGCCTTAAGATTATATGTTGAAGGAGCTCAGACACCTGTTTTGATGGTCAGAACCCACATGTTTTTTTGTCTTTCTCTCTTCTCTTTCATTTTCTTTTTTCTTCCTCTTTTTCTTTCTTTCTCTTTCTCTTCCTTTTTCTCTTTCTCTTCTCTTCTCTTCTCTTCTCTTCTCTTCTCCTCCTCTCTCTGTCTCCTTTTCTTTTCTTGTTCTTTTCTCTTCTTTTCTTTCTCTTTTTTGAGATAAGGTCTCACAATGCAGTTCAGGCTGGCCTTGAACTCATTTTGTAGACCAGGCTGGCCTTGAATTTATAGCAGTCCTCCTGTCTCAGCCTTTTGAGTGCTGGGATTACAGTTGTGTACCACCACCACCACATCAGTCAGCTATCTTTTCTTTAATTCTTTTCTGTTTTACACAAAGAGTTCGTTAAAATTTAAATACAGTGGATCTATCTTAACAGCTCAAGGCTGCTCCAAACTACAAGGCAGTCTGCTTTGGAGTATTTATATGATAGGAACTTAAACCTTGCAGCAGAACTTAAACTATACTAACAAACTATCCTAGCACATACAGGCTAAAAGTAAAACAGCAACCAGAAGAAAAATTATTTTCAATATGTTTACATGTATAAGAAAACACAATACAGATCATCAGTGCAAAGGTCTTAGGTGGGAATTTGCAGGGTCTGTGTTGCTGACAGCTGCACTAGGGAAGAGACCCAGGTTAGAGAGTGGTGTCCAGGCTGGCCAGAGTCTTCTCTGGGCCCTTGCCTCTGCAGGCCTCTATCTATATTCCAGTAGATCACAGCTAGGCTTACTTGTAGGTGGAGCTCATTTTCAAGGCTGTCAGTTGAGACTTCCAGGTTTGAAATCCTATGGTGATGGGTCATGTATAGTGATGGTGGGGTGAGGCAGAGGCCTCAGGATTTCTTCTCCCCAGAGTCTGTCTTATATAATTGCCCAGCCTCCAACTAGCCTCATGAGTCACTCTAATTCAGTGTCCTTTTCAGGTTTGTAAAAGCCCCAAACTGTTGTACTTCTTTTCATTGTTTTTATTTCAGTAGATTTTAATGAAAGTGATACATACTTTATTCCTGCATTTTCACAAGCATTTCTTCATTATATTCTCCCTTTTTCTTTCCTGCTTGGTGAGAGTTGACTCTGTTCTAGGATCTTTTTCAGGTCAGGGTCCTGTTTGTCCTGGTGGTAGCAATTCACACGGACAGTTGTACTGTTGGCCTTTTCTCACTGTACTTGTTCAGTATTGCCAATGCACTCCTTCCTGTAAACCTGGACTACTCTGCAAGTCTGTTGACCTTCATAGCGTACTCCCACAGCTTGACTTCATCATCCTTTTGGATAGGAAGGATTCAAACATTGTACTTCCATCTCAGCTCTTTGCAAAAGGGTGAAGACACAATCTTCCTGCAGATGTGGGAAGGTGCATTGAGATGCCTTTTCCACTCTTTCTTCAGTCAGAAGTCATGAAGAGATTGAGTTTCTTGTGGCTGCTGATGCTGCTTTAAGGATAGCAGGCTTCTTCAAAGGCAGATGAGCATAGCCCCACCACTGGGAAGACAGAGCTAGACACAGTTTCTCATGTCTAACCTTAAACACATACATCAGTTTAGAAATACATGCTCCATAAAATGTTTGCCCACTTAGCCATTTTTAAGACAGATGTTTCTGATGAGTCCTAATTATAGGCCTTAAGCTTTTAGAGAGTGCATTCATTTCTTTACCACCATCAAGTACATCCAGATGAAGCTGGGGATGGTGACTCCTGCCTCTAATCCCAGCACTCAGAAGATTGGGGCAAGAGAATCGCTGCGGGTTCCACGTTAGTGTGGACTGCAAAGTAAGACTCTGTCCCCATGATAGATATAATGAGCAGAGACTCACTCGGGAAAAGTGAAAGGGAAAAGGTTAAATAATGGGTATTAAGCTCAAAATTATATACTGATAAAACCATCAGATGCTCTGAAATTTTGGTAGTTGATAAATTTCAAAACTGTATGCCTATAGTTGGTTATTATTTTTATATATTATTTTAATATAGTTATATATTTTTATATACTATATATAAAAATATATAATATATAGTATATATTATTTTCTGAAATACATACTTGACTACAATATATTATATATTGTAGTCAAGTATGTATTTCAGAAAATACAAGTGATTGTTTGACATTAGCCAGTGCTATTGGCAAAAATAAATGACATGATATGTAATAACAGCTGGAAAATGTGAAATTTACACATTTCTTAACCATTCTTGATGAAGGAAAAAGGCAAATGACTTTAGAAAAGCAATTGTTAACTCATTCCCTCAATGTATACGTATTTTAATGTTAGATTTTTGTTCTTATTACTGCAGGAAGTATGTGTGCTTCGTTTCTTACCCAGAGTTACCAGCTGCCAGTTCTTGATACTATGTTTGTAAGGAAGAAATACCGTGGCAAAGATTTTGGGCTTCATATGCTGGAAGACTTTGTTGATTCCTTTACAGAAGATGCACTTGGCTTGCGGTACCCTCTGTCTTTTTTCCTATGCACAGGTAAGGGGACTAAGCTGAAAATGTTAAGTTGTCTCAATGTCACTTCCAGCTTCCAACTTGTTTCCCAGAATTCCATAAATTTATGTGTTTCAGTGGTAAGGAAGTTTGGAATTTGGGCTCTTTTAAGAAATAATTTTGTGAATGTGCCTGTATCTCATATGTATGCTTTGGAGTATACGGTAGCCTTTAAAACAAAACAAAGCAATTTTAAAAACCCCAAGATATAACTCATAATGAGCCAAGTATCCTTCAAAGTTACCTTTTCAAAGAAATTTGTGGAGAATGATGTCAGTGGAAGGGTCAGTTTAGATAGTGTGAAATAGGAGCCTTCTTATCCTTTTAGAAAACCCCTCTTGAGAGTAAGGTCTGCAGTGTTTCTACATGCACAGAAATAACCTGAGGCTATTTAAAAAAACATACAGATGCCTGGCCTCATTTGGAGAAGTTCTGGTTCTATAGGTCTACGCTGGAGCCAGTTAGCGATATTGTCAGTGTCTGACAGGTTATCTGTGGACTTGAGCTTGGAGAAAGCCTGCTCTAGATACTGGGCTCCTAGCATCTGAAATACTAGTTTATAATCTCACTAACCCTGCTAGCATGAATTTGGCCACTGCAAATTAGCCGGTCTTTCTTTGAGGCTAATATTAAGCTTTTTACGAATAAGAATGCAAGGAAGAGAATCATCTCATGGCTGTTGAAGTTTTCTGAAGTTGTAGAAGTGTTTTCAATGATATTAGGTCATTAGTATATATAATTGAGTGACATAAAAGCGATCAAGGAGAATTACAATTAAGATTCTTATGTTTTATAGTTCACAAATCAGAGTTTTCACAGTTGTGCAGTTCTGTTAATGTCAGAACGGTCTCATCCCCCGAAAGAAATCTTGTACAAATTAGCAGTCATTCTCCATTGCCCCTCTTTTTCTATCCACTGGTGGGCACCCACTAACCTATTTTTTATCTCTCTGGATTTGCTAATTCTGGACACTTCATATCAATGAAACCATAAGGCTTTCAAGAATCATCCATGGTTAGCCTGAGTTAATACTTCCTTTTTATAGCTGAAAATATTCCATTGTACGCATACACTACATTTTGTTACAAAGTTATTGCATCATTTTTACATTCCCTAATCACTAACATGCTAGATTGGGCTGGAATGTATGTCAGTTTCCCAGAGTGCTAGAATTATAGGTGTGTACCACCATATTCAGCTTGTTTTGTGCATTTTTAACTATAGTCATCCTAGTGGATATGAAGTAGCATGTTATTATAGTTTTGATTTGTATTTAATGTTGAACAAATTTTCATGTGTTTATTGGCCATTTGTATATTGTTTTTAGAGAAATGGCCTATTCCTATCCTTTGACTATTTTTTCTTTGAGTTGTCTAAAGTAGCTATTTAAACTAATAATAGCAATAAAGTTTCAGACACTCAAATAGGATACAGAATAAGATAACAAGAGCTGAGAATTTAGCTCAGTGGCTCAAGTGCTTGCCTGGTAAGCACAGGGTCATGAGTTCAATCTTCGGTTCCCCATCCCCCGCCCAACACACGAAAGAAAAAACAAAAAGAATAAGGCAACAAGTGCTCATTTATCATTTAGTATGCATCATTATGATAAATGTATTACTGCAAATACAGTTGAACTTTCCTATGCATCCCTACCCAATTAAATTCATTGCCTCCCTCCCCTGACATTTACTTTTCTCATGCATTTCTTAGATTTCTAGTGCATATGTATGTATCCTCTGACAACATATTGTATTGATTTACATGTTTGAGTACTTTATGTAAATATATGTTCTATAAATTCTTTTTAGTTTTGCTTTATTAATCTTTATGTTCATGAGATTCGTGGATTCATGAAATATATTCATTTTTAATGTTACAGTGTGAATATACCATCTGGCAATGTTTTGAAAACCATAACAGATTTACTTTTGCATTTGTGTAAAGCTCATGCAGCTTTTTTCTTGAAGACTTAATCCTGGAAAGTAATTTATTTGCAAATGTAAAATGCAATTCACTATTGATTTCAATGTAATATCAGACTTTTTCCTCTAAAAAAATCTGTTTTTGTTCTAAGCCCTCTTCCTTTTAATATCAAAAGTAATCCAGGAAACTGGAACCAAATACTGCATGTCCCCCTCGAATCCTATTTTGTCTCTAGCCTCATGCTGTATATGAGAGTGGGATGGATGTTGTATGCCCTTTGAAAATTCTGAAGTGGATTATCCTGATTGTTGCCTCACTGAATTTGGGGAGGAATGCAAAGACCTCCCTCCACTGCATCCAGAATCCCTTAATACGTTGTCTTTCTGGGAGTCTAATGAAACAAATTGCATGCCAAATTAATTATGTACAGGAAAGTAAGTGCTGATTTCTGTCATCAGTAAAGTCTTAATGGGCTTGAGCTCTTCATTTTTCCTTCAGTTTAGATGTGAGATTCTCTGACAGTGTTTTATTGGTATCATCTCTAATTTTGTTGGTCTCTGAAATGTGACAGTAAGTAAAGGAACACTTGGAGAACAGACATTTTAATAATCCTATCGCAGTCTGTATGACCTATTACTTTATAGTTTTTCCTGACTCCCCTGAAAGAACACATTTGAAAGGCTTGGATTTTCATTTTATTTCCTTTTTCAATTTAATTAATAATTCCTTGATGTTACATGAAGGTTGATAATCTTCACTTGGTTCCAGTGGCATTTGTAGGCATTTTAGAAAAGATTGTAGTGTCTTACCCAGCAAACTAACAGAGAGAGGGGGGGGAGAGGGGGAGAAGAGGAGAGGGAGAATGAAAATAAATTTGTTCATTTCACATATGAATGGGTTTGGTCCCAGATTAGAGGAGTTGTTTAGCTAACCATTGAAAGTAGGTTCATATAATATTGTACTCACATGAAATAAATAAGGCCAAGGTTCTCTAAAACTCAGTTATTGTTTAATTTTTTATGTCGAGCCATTTCTGTCTCAAAATGGAGACCCTGAATTCTCAAAAATTAAAAGAAGTTACAAATATTTGAGATTGTTATAGATTGAGTATACATAATCTGAAAATCCGTAATCTGAAATACTCCAAAATAGGAAGGTTTTCAAATGCCGATGTGATGTAAAGTCACCAGGTGACTATGAAACTGCATGTACTATTAATAAAAATATATGAAATTACCATCAAGCTATGCAGAGGACTTATCAAATATAAATGAATTTTGTGTTTAGACTTGGATACCATCTTCAAGAAATCTCATTACATATGTTCAGATATTTCAGAGACCAAATATCCTTGCCAAATCAGAGTTTCTGATAAAGGATACCCAGTTTGTACCTTTAATTTTACTTTGAGTGATGTGCTAATTGAGATAGCTGTCAGCCAGGCATGTGATGCATGCCTGTAATACCAGGACTTGGGAAGTAAAGGCAGGAGGATGACTGCAAGTTCGAGGCTAGCCTGGGCTACATGATGAAGGAACCAGCCTAGACTACACAGTGAGACCCTGTCTCAAAGAACTTAAAAGAAAAAGAAAAAAGAAAGAACTAGCTATCAGTAGAAAATGGGGACACAACCTACTTCTAAGAGATTTAAGGGTCAGTAAAACTGGAACATCCATAACCAGAACCTGCTGCCTTCACCTGTCTTACATATTCTATTTTAAATTTAATAGTAATTTTTAATACTTTCATTTATTTCTTAATTTTTGTTTTTAAGATTTATTTTGATGACATTTTGGTATTATTAACACTGAATTATTCCCACTGAACAGGGAGTACAGTCACAAAATTCACAAGATGTAAAAGGGTTTCAGCAAAAAGTCTCCTATGTTGTCCTGTTTCTGCATGGAAACACTTCTGGCCTAAGTATTTTGGATAATGGCTACCCAGCCTACACAGCGTTTGTCATAGATGCCATTGATGTTCTCCTCTAAGCCCTGCCTAATCCCCTGCCTCTTTCTCCTTTCTCCCCCAGAGACACTCACTTGACGTTGGTGTATATCCTTCCTGCGTATGCTGTCACATGGAAGCATTATAAAGTATTGTTTAGCGTGCTTTTTAATTGATTTAAATTTTTTATTGTGTTAAAATACATACACATATAACACTTAAAATTTCCAGATGAATTACTCAGTGGCATGACTGACAATCTTGTGCACCTGTCACCACTGTCTGTATTCAAACTTACTTTGATTATCCCCTACATGATCTTTCTACCTGTTACACAGTAACTCCCTTTCTCCTTTTCCCCAGTCTTTTTGTAGCCTTTGTCCTGCTTTGTGTCTCTTCAGATTTTCTTATTCTAGGTACATCAGCTAAATAGAATCATTTAAAGTTTGTTCCCCTGTGCCTGGTTTATTTCACCAATACACTTTTTAAAAACATGTAACGTGTAACATGTCAAAGTTTAATGGTGTGTGTGTGTGTGTGTGTATGTGTGTGTGTATTGCTGGGGCTCCAACCTAGGCCCTGCATGTGGTCGCTCTACCTCTGAGCTGTACCCTTCATCTGTCATTCCTTCTTACAGCCAAATAGTATTTCATTGCATGAAATCATCATATCTTGTTTATCTGTTCATGTGATGCGGGCCATTTGTGTTGTTTCTGCTTTTGGCTATTGTATCCCTGCTGTGAACATTGATTCATAGAATTCTATGTTTTTGTTTTCAGTTCTTTTGGTTATGATACTTGAGAGTTAAATTACTGGTTCACATGGTAATTGCTTGTTTAAACTTTTTGAGGAATTGCCAATTTCCACAGTGCTGTGCCGTTTTGTTTAGTGCATTTTAAAACTATGTGACTTTTTTACACATACTGATTTGCTTGTATAGATTTATCAGTGTTGAAGCTTTTGGGTTTTAATAGTACTTCTTATAAACGAAACTGCTGAATACTTTTCTTGACTTGCTTTGATAGTGTTTGGGTATCATTGTAATGTTAGCTCCATTGAGCTGGGCAGCTTACTTTCTATCTTCTGTTTTTCAAAACAGTTGGTATTTGAGATTTCTAGGAAATTCTAAATGTATTTTACAGCTTGCAAACAATACCTTGAAAAGTATCCAGGAGATCATGAACTCCTTTGGGAAGTTGAAGGTGTTGGACACTGGTACCAGAGAATACCAGTCACCAGAGCATTGCAGAGAGAAACTCTTAAAATTACAGGTAGGAATGTTTCTGGTTTGAACATGTTCCATTTTTAAAAGTAGCACCTAGTACATAATGGTCTTGTCCAGAGAAGTGATATGTTACATGTTTTTGGCTTCAGGCTTTCATATCTGAAGTTTAAATTTTTATTATGTATCAGTTCTTGAGTCATGAACAATAAAGGGACCTAGGGGAATGTAACAGCTTGGTACAAATTGACAGATAATAAGTAAAGATGGATTGGCTGGGCTCGGTGGTGCATGCCTATAATCCTAGTCTTTGGGAAGCTGAGGCAGGAGGATTGCCATGAGTCCAAAGCCAGTCTGGGCTACATAGTAAGTTTAGCTCTAGTCTAGAATATACAGTGGGACTATTGTCTCAAAAAAAAAAGAAGAAGAAGAAGAAGAAGGAGAAGAAGAAGAAAACAACAGCAAAAGAACCCATGGATTATTGAAACAGCATCGGATAGGCTTCCAGAGACCAGCGGTGGCCTCTTAGCTCATACACCTCTTCCCAATGTCACACACTACTGAAATATGTAAGACTTGTGATGATGGAGCAAGTTCATTATAAGATACCGTGATGGGAACGTTTCACACCTAGACTTTCTTTCTGTGTAGGGTGTACAAAGACATTACAGTGTTAAAATTAAAAACAGATGCTGAGTGGATACTGATTAAAAGTGCTTTTTCTATACACAGCGATGTCTCACAGTGACGCAAAAAGACCAGCGTCTGGAGAATATGGTCTTGCAGCTGTTCCAGAATATGGAGCAGGAACTAAAGACAGTCAGTCTAATGAGATGCAGCTAACTGTAGGTACACTATATATTCACCTTAGGAAGTAATATTGCTGTTTCTTTAAAATGGATCCCATTTATATTTTTAAGTTTTGAATGTTAAAGTTCTTCAGCAATGCTACTAGGTAACTTCAGTTGCATTCATTTTCTGTGAATTTAGTAAGGACTTAGTTTTCTTTGAAAGATAGTTATAATGGGGTTAATAGTATTACAAGCTAATTAAAGGCAATTTAGAATTCACTTAAAAATATAGAATATAAAAAATTGATAATCTTGTTAGAGCCACTGTTAAACTTTGTTATATATTATAAAGCATGTGTATGTACAGATTTTTTTGTGTTTATTCTGTAATACTCTTCTGTCTTTCTCTGTTAACAAAAGGATTTTTACATAGCTTTGTTTTAAATCATGATTGTCAAATAGTAGCACACTATTACATTATATATAAATCTCATCATTTTTTTATTTAACATAGGATACTTTTTGTTTACATTTTTCTGTAGTACAGGAACAAGCACATTTGTATGTGAATCTTTTTGCATGTATAATTGTTCCTTGTGCATGTAAATGTCTAGAAGTAGAATTAGAAGTAGCTTAGAGATTATGAAGCTTTTTGTAGGAGGTTTGAGGCTCTGTGCTCTAGGTCTCTGCAGAATGAGTAGATTTTGCTCATGTTAGGTATCCTGTAAGGAGAAGAGAGGTCTCATTATTAACTTAGCAGATTCTTGTCTAGAATTATGTTTGCAGAACTTGATATTATTTAAAATATGGCCCCACTGCTGGAATTCTAGAAATCTCTTTATGCATGGGTTATTTATGCATATCATAAATAAATTATATTATTTATTACAGTCAAGGTTTTTTACATGCATGTCTGAGTATGTTTTTAATGAATATTGAATATGTCTGTAAATTTCAGATTGATGTAAGGAAGCACTACTGTGGGAAATTATTTATACTTACTCTTGTTTGAGTGACAGTTGACTATATTTATGTGAAAAAAAATTGTATGTTTTTAAGAAGAATGACTAATATACATGTATATAAAGGGTTTTTTTTGTGTGTGTGTGTGCCAGGGATCAAACTCATGATCTCACGTTTGCCAAGCAGGCACTTATGCCACTGAGCTAAATCCCTGGCCCCAAGGATTAATTTTTTAAAAAAATTTTTCTGTATTTAGAACTTCAGACTTAGGGCTGGGGATTTAGCTCAGTGACTTAAGTGCCTGCCTGGCAAGCACGAGGTCATGAATTCGATCCCCAGTACCACAAAAAAAAAAAAAAAAAAAAAAAAAACTTCAGACTTCAGAATAAGCCCCCCTTCTTTTATATTATTGTCTAATTCCTTGGGTATATAGATTCATTTAGTAGTTACCAGCTATAATAAAGTCAAGGAAAGTAACAAATCTGCTCTTCCCCTATATGTAATAAAGGCAATTATTTTAATATAAATCTGTAAATGTGTGACGGTGAATAGATTGTAGTTTATAATGGAGTAGGTAGGTACTATCATTGAGCATACAGAGATATGGTTCTTACGCACATGGGATAACTGGTTCAAACTGCATTGCTTGAAACATGATTGGAGATACATAGCAGAAAAAGACTTGTACGGGTTTGTTAGGGGTTCTGTGGCAAGGATTATTACAGCATTTCAGAGGAAGGCATGTTAAAAACAGATGTGAAGGAAAATGGCATGTTTAATATGAGTGCTATTTGTTACTGAAGAGTTTTTGGGCTTGTATTTCATGATAAACCATTAAAGGTTTTTTTTTAAGTATCGGTGGTACATTTTGTGACATGAACGTGCCATTCTGTCTCCAGTTTGGAAAGGTATAGATAGGCTATCGTTTAAGGGAAGGATACCAGTGAAGAGGCTTTTTAAATTGTTTAGGTTAAAGATAAGTCCTGAACTTAAAGCACTGGTAGTGCAAAAGACCAGACAATTCTGAACCATTCTTCAGTTGAAATTGACAGACTCTGTGAGCAATCAGTGAGGGATAGGAAGAAATCATTACTACCTCTTAGGTTTCTGCTATGATGACTGAATTGTTAATGCCATTCACCTAAAGAGGGACTAATAATGGGGAGCAGTAAAGTTCATTTGGGGGTAGGTAGGATGTGAAATTAGACGGGGTATTACAATTTATATTTCTGGATTTTAATTTATATGGTTCTTTTAGATTGATTCTCTCAAAGATGCCTTCGCAAGCACTTCTGAAGGTAAGAAACTGAGCTAATTATCCATGTTTGAGATAGGTGTAAGGATGGATATACCTGTGTGAGACCTAGAATAAGTGAAGATTTGTACAGCTCTCAAATCTAGATCTGGTGCTAATGCCACTATCTCTAGTTTTGCTGGGCATAAATGCTGAGAACACTGTTGTGTGACCTCTCACTTGTTTTAATATCTGTGAAATAGGGCCAGAGATCTCTGCATTATTTCCTAGTTCATTAGGAGAGACTATAAGTTAAAAATGAAAAAAACACTTTCCAAAGCTCAGAGTTAATGGAAATGTGAGAAATAAATATTGACAGAGTTGTGTTACACTTTAGAAAATGACATTGACATTATTTTCTTAGTTTGATATAAATTAAGACACTTAACAGCTTATATTTGACATACCAAGTATAGTGGTAGGATTATAAGAAAGCTAGAGTAGTGCTCATACTTTTATATATTTTTATAGGTCATCCTTTCATTGCATAATTAAGTACAATTTTGGTATATTTTTTCCCTCAGGTCTTGAAAAAACACTTGCTTCTACTCGTGCCCGGGGCAGTCATTTGAAGAGGCCAAAGATTGGAAAGCGATTTCAGGATTCTGAATTCACTAGTTCTCAAGATGAAGATGAAAAAATTGCCCAGACTTCACCTACAGCTTCACTAAATAAGTAATTGTTTATTTAACTTGTATTGTTCTATTCTTTCATACTATTAGTATTTAGTACTTAACAGTAGAGGTTATTCAATTCTTTGTGTAGTGAAATCTTTGGTCTAGAGGTTTATATTTGGATCTGTCTACAAGGTGCCTGGGTATGTTTCCTAGTGATATTACCTTAATAGCAGTTGCTGTGAGAGTGGAATGAAATCACTGTTGATTCTTTCATGTATGATAATTGGGGAAAATATTTTAGACACTATATGATCGTAAATGAGTGCTTATCACCAACTTTAAATTTGACAGCATAGTTGTTAGCAGTGCTGAAGCTAAGTCAGCTTTTTAAAATCCCCATTTGTACTTTATAACTGATATATTTTACTGGGCTACTTACAATTTACAGTGTAGTGATAATTATAAAATAGTAGAGTCAGTTCTTCCAGAAACTTAATAAGTAAATCATTAGAATGTTTGGGTCAAAATTTATCTTGTTTTTCCTTAAAGAAGGCAAGGTTAAAAATTTTATAATAATGTTTATCTTGTATTCTAGTAGTTCTGACCATTCTTGAGTTTACTGTTTAGTCAGCTCATAGCCTTGTCATTTTTGCTGTCAAATTATTTTATATGTGTAGAGAATTTTGTAGTTGTGCTGATTTCATTATGTAAATCATTTCAAAATTAGGTAATTAAATATGTAAATGTTTTAGTGAGAAGTTTATATTGTTAAAAGACTATAAGTATTTAAATCTAGTTTATAAAATGAATAATAAATGAGTTTATGGGAAAACTGTATGGTTTTCTAACTGAGAAGTGCCCTTTTTAGGAGGGAATATAATAAATGATTCTACTTAGAACATCCCTGAATTATTGTAGAATTCGTTTGCTTTTCATAAACAGAACAATAACGTTAAGACTAAATGTTTGAGCTGGGTGTGGTGACATATACCTGTAGTCCCAGAATTTAAAAGACTGGGGCATGAGGATTACTTGAGTTTGAAGCCAGCCTGAGGCACATTGAGTTTAAGGCTGAACTGAAGTACGTAGTGAGACCTTGTCTGGGAAAAAAAAAAAAAAAAACGGAAAGAAAAGACTAAATGCATGAATGCTTCCTCACGTTATGAAAAGCAGACTTCTCCTTTGCCCTTGAATAACTGACTGCCTCGTGGTAAAGACAGATACATACACACTTGTGAGCCTTGGAGGGTAGACGTGATAGAACAGTGGTAAGGCATGCAAAGGAGAGAGATGCATCTAATTGAAGGGATGAAGAGATTTGGAATGTAGGGCCTGGATTTCAAAGTTCTATGGATGCTCAATACAGATTTGGAGGAAAGATTTTCTAATCTAAGGGTCCATAAGTTGTGGGCCACAGGCTGAGTCTGATCTCCTCTTTGTTTTGTTTGCAGTGCTGAGTGGTCTAATCCTGTGCATACTGGGTAGGGGCTATAACACTAGACTGCATTGCCAGCCATACATACCACTTGTCCTTGTAAATAAAATTTTTATTGTAAGACATCATGCTTATTAACTTTATCCATCTTCTGTCCAGATTGATTTCACATTATGGTGGCAGAGATGTGTAGTTGGAATAGACCATGGGCCTATAAAACCTAACAGAAAAGTTGCCCAGCACCATGATGTTAGAGGAAAGCTGTCCAGTAGAGGTGAGGGAGGTGTTCTGTGTGTGCACCACACAGTGTGGTAGCCACTAGCCAGTGTACTCATTGCAGACTTGAAGCTGGCTGGTGTAAATGAAGAACTGAATTTTATAATTCATTTAGTTGTACTTAATTTCATTTAATTGTACTGAAGTTAAATGTAAAATAGTGGCTTGTCTCTTGTGGGTATTGTATTAGTGCAGACCTAGTCTAAAGGAGTATGAGCAAAGGAACAAAGACATTTTGATTAGAATAATTGCTATATAAAGTATAGTGGTACCTCGGTTCATGAACTTAATTCTTGCCGTGGTTTTGGTTGCAAATGGAATTGAACAAGAACTAAATAAAAGTGTTAGTGTCTACCTAGTAGGAAATAAAAAGGTAGGGGTCTGGTTGGATTAGGTCTAGAGAAGAGGTACGCTTTACTCAGAGAGGTTAGGGAGAGCTGGTGAAAGTTCCCAAATTGATCTGTAACAAGTGACGATCCATGTATCAGGACGACAGCTCTGAAAGTTCTGATGAAGAATGTGCTATATGCAGTCCAGAGAGAATTTGGGCCCAAAGCCCAAATGGGAGTACAGAGCCAGAGATATGTTTGAAAGGCATTTTGGAGATAGAACTTAAGCATTACAATTAGTTTTCCATGCTGATTTTTTTTGATAATGAAAGGGGTATTTTTATCAGGGCCACATGTAGTTCACTGGTGAAACATATGATATGTGTAGTTTACACAAGCATACTAAGGTACATTGGATCACCAGCTTCACAAACTAAACACCAACGTTTATAAAATACTGGAATATATGTTCATTGCAATAAAAGAAGGTTGAATAATACATGGGTAGAATAAAAACCAGGTCTGATTTCTGTGACTGAGAAGATGATATGATACTAATTGAACTGAGGAACAAGATGGAAATGAGAACAAATTGTAAGAGCTGAACAGATTGGTTTTTGATCTGCAAAACCTAAAGAAGTTGATGGAATGACACTTAACCTAATTCTCTAAAATAGTAACTTGGTTTCTTGAAATTTTTTATTGATAATAAAATGAGTACAAATAGTTTTCTTTTATTTTCTAGATTAGAGTCGACTGTGCGCACGTCAGAGAGTTCAGAAGACTTCCCAGAAGAAGATCCAGAGCAGAGAGGGACTGATTTTGAGGATGACAGCAGTGATAAAGATGCACGGCCCACACCTAAAACACAGCCACATCCAGAGAAGCAGGATGGTGAAAAAGTATGCAGTTGGTTTTAAATGAAGTGGATAGTAGTAACTAAGTTCTAAGTTTCTTGATCAATATGTTGTTCAAAAAACATAATGATAAATTTTAGAAACTGTGGTGCTAGAAAGGCATATACGGTATAAAAGTCAGGTAGTAAAACAGAAATAATTACTATTTCATGCTCAGTTCATAAAAGTTGAGTTGTAGCAAGTATCACTAGAGTTGTTTAAAGTAGTAAGATCCCCAGTGCATTTAAAAGATAAATGTGTACACAAATTCTGTGTGGCTTTACCAAAACAACTGGCATGTCTTCAAATCCAGAAAACCATCAGTTATGTCCCTGTTTTGGTTAGAACAATAAGAATTAATTATTCAGAAAACAGAAATTGACCAAAATTGGTTTTATGGATTACAAATAAGTTAACTCATTTTTTTTAAAGTAGGAGAAAACAAATAGACAAATCCTTTGTAACTAACCTGTTTATCTGGTTTGATTCCAAAAGCCTCTGAAATACTTAACCTGTACTCTCATTTTTACTTCCTGTTTCCTGTCCTTTTTCTGTAATAACATCAATCCTTTTTGCTCTCAGATTCCTTATTTCTTTGGTATACACTTGAGTTTCTTGAAAAACCTTTCACCTGTTTCCCAAGTTTATACAGCTGGTGAATACTGTGGAGTTTTTTCTATTTTGTTTTTTGTCTTTTTGAGTCAGGGTCTTGCTATGCAGGTGTCAGTCTGGCCTTACGCTCACTTTGTAACCCAGGCTGGTCTTAAATTCACAATGATCCTCCTGCCTCTGCCTCATGAGTGCTGGAATTACAGATATGCACCACCATGCCCAGCTTATTTTAAAGTCACTCCATTTTAGCTTCTCCTACTTCCTGAAATTGTATTTTGAAATGGCATCTTTTCTTAGAGAACATTGGGGAAATAAAATATATGTGAAAAAGTTAATATTTTTTACAATGAAATATTTACTAAATACAGTGTTTACATGCATCTAAATGTCAGTGGCTTTCCCTTACTGGAGTTGACTACTCTCCCTACTTGAAGTACTCCAAACTGATGGCTTTGTAACTCCTGTGTATTGTTGTTTCTTGGTGATTTTTTTAATCACTGAAGTTTTATGTTTGTTTATGTCTGTCTGTCTGTCTATAAATGTATCTTGCCTACTTAATATTTCTATGTAGGCAGATGATATTTGTCCTCTTAAAAGTTAAAATCTCTATTTTTTTCCAAAATCCATTTTATTTCGAGGATAAAAAAAGAAGAAGAAAAAAACTACAACAGAATTTCAAAATACATCAGTTAAGGGACAACAATAGGGAATCTATCTCTTTATTCTTTTGAGTTCTGTATTAACACTATTTTCCTGTTTCTTTCATTCTGTTCTCAATCTAAAACTTGAAGGACTAATTTTCTTTCTTCTTTGCTTTCTACTTTTTGGTTACTACAATTCTATTTTGTTTTCAACATTTGCTCTTTCTGTTGTTTTTCCACATAATATTTCTCTTAGTCTGGTTGATCCTTTTGTGAATTTACTGTATGTAATCATCTTTTGTGTGCAGTTAATTTTTGTATCCCACCTGTTATAATAATGAAATAAATACCTATTAACTATAGGAAATATTTCATTGTAAAATTTTTTTGTCTTATTAGTGTATGTTTGTAATACATAATGATTATATCCTGAGAGAGAAGTACATGTACATAACACATCTTAATTCTTTTTTCATCTACTTCCCTTTTTCTCCCTGCCCATTCTCTTCATATGTTGGCCCCTTTCCTTTTGCAAAAGACCTGTGCCCCTGTTTTCTATTATCCATCTTTTATTTTTCTCTTCATTTCTATTTTGAGTTTTTCATATACAGGAAATCATGCAGTATAGAAGTTTGGATGTGTGATTTATTTCACTTAACATTATGGTCCTGATGGACATCCATTTTTCTGCAGTGACTCAATTTTATCCTTCTTTATGGCAAAGAAGTGCTCCACTGAGTTTAAATACCATATTTTCTTTATGTGTTCATCTGTTAATGGACTTGTAAGCAGATTCCAAGATTTAGCTAATATGAATTGTGCTGCTGTTAACATGGGTGTATATGTGCCACTGTAATCTGCTGTCTTTAACTTGTTGTAGAAGATACCTAAAAGGAATATAACTGTGCCAGATGGAATTTGTATTTTAGTTTTTTGAGGAATCTCCATATTGATGTCCATAGTAGTTGTACTAGTTTACATTCCTGCCAACAATATAGAATGGTTCTTAGTCTCAATTTTGTTAATTTGTACTCTGATCTTTGTACATAATTTACTTTCTTGAACTAGCTTTGAATTTGGATTGTTCTTGTTTTTCTTTTATTTGGAGGTACATAACAATAGATTATTTGCATGGGTTCAGTCTGGTTTTTTGATGGGATCGTTCACAGCTGTAAACTCACCTCTTTGGGCTGCTTGCACCGTAATCCATTGGTTCTGGTATGTTGTAGCAGAACTACATTGGATGTAGGAAGTGTTCCTTGGAATTTCTTGGTTGATGTCTTCTGTGACCCATTGCTTATTCCAAGAATGTACTGTTTTAATTTCCATCTGTTTGCATAATTTCTGTGGTTTCTTTGGCTTTTAATTTCTAGTTTCATTGTGCTATCGTATGTTAATATACATTGAAGAATTTTGATTCCTTTGCAGTTACTTAAGCATGCTTCATGGGTTTGTGTGGTCTATTTCTATGTGAGGCTGTGAAGAATGTGTTGTTGGTAGGTGGGATGCTGTCTATTAAGTCCATTTGTTTAAACTGATATTTCTTTGTTGATTTTTCTTTTGTTTTGTTTTTGGTTCAGTTCATCTGTTTTGTGATAGTGGGGTATTGAGGTTTCTCACTATAATTATGTTGATGTTTGTCTGACCTTTTATATCTGGTATGTTTTATGAAGTTCAATGCCTGGTGTTTGTTTATAATGGTTACTCTTTCTTGTTGTTGAATTGTTTTCTTTTTCAATATGTAGTATCTTTCTTTGCCTCTTCTGATTTTGACTTGAACTCCAGTTTGTCTGAAAGTAGGATAGCTATTTTAGGTATATTGGGATAATCTATTACTTGTTCTCAGGTTCCTGTTACAATGAGTATTATTTTCCATATTAATTTTAGTCTGTGAATTTCTTTTAGAATTTTGTATCATACACTGAACAATGTTGGGTTTTATTTCTGAGCCATTCTGCCTGTCCATATCTTCTGATTGGTGAGTTGAGATTTCGTGTACTGAACAGTGTCAATTTATTCCCGTCGTTCTGTTATATTCATGTTACACATTCCTCTTTTCCCTCTTTTTGCATAACTGCTTATCTTGCTTGATGAATTCATTCTGGTAGCCGTTTTAGCATTGTTTAACTTCATTGTGTTTTTCTAGGATATACCTGAGAAATTTTTGGAGTGCTGGTTTGCTGGTCATGAATTAACATGGTGCTTTTTGTCATAAAAGTATCTTATTTCTCCATCAGTTTTGAAAGATATTTCTGCAGGATGTATCATTCTGGGTTGTAAGTGGCTTGTTTCATTTCACTCCAAGCTCTCTTGCCCTGTGAAGCTTGTGTTGAGAAGTTTGCTGTTAATTCTAGTGGCTTTACCATGTAAGTTTTATTGTTTGTTTGTTAAGTCCATTATGTCAGATTATTGATTTTTTTAAAAATCTGTTTTATCATTTTAAATAATTTAACTGTTGTGTGGCTTTTGAATTTTTCCCCTCATGCCCCATGACTCAGCTTTGGGGGAAATGAAAGCTTTTGAAAGATTTTTTTAATCTTGTTCTCTCTCTCTCTCTCTCTCTCTCTCTCTCTCTCTCTCTCTCTTCTCTCCTCTCTCTCCCCCCCTGTCCTAGAGTTTCTGGTTCAATAATAGTGGAAAGATTTTGTTGCTCACATGGAAACCTTTTTAGTTAGTATCTGCTTTTCACAGATGCACTCTAGATATTACTAACTCTATAGGCCTTTATCTTTGTCCAAGATCTAACCACCTCTGTAATTTTGGAGGAGAGAATATATTGACCCACTTCTCCAGGAAGTGGGGGGCCTGCATATAATATAATGCTAATAAGGGCCGTGCAGATATTAGCATATGAAAAACCCCTTAGTAGCAACAGCTATGTCACCTTGGCAGTTCCAGTAAAATCAGCAATAGTAATAGCATCAAACATAAATTGGATGTTAAGATGCCATAAAAAACCAGTAATGTGCTACCTTTGACTCTTCTAACAAAGAGATTTATAATTACCGTACAAACACGTAAGACCAACCAGATATTGACATAACAGTAAATCTACTAAATTCAACAGCTCCCTCTCCACTAACAATAGAAAAAACTTCAGCAGTAAGAGCATAGAATTATCTGACTGTCTGAAGCTTCTGAAGAAGCTTAAATGTAGAGAGGCTGGGGAACTTGAGAAAGAAAGAAAATTTGAAAAATTGTACAATGGAAGGTGAATAGGGGAAAAATGAAATAAAAAATTCAGGAGTAAAAGTAAATTAATAGAAGTAGATACAAGTAACAGAAGTAAACAGAAGTAAGAGAAGAAAAAGAAAAAATTTAAACATTATAAACTTGAGGAAGTAATTGCTGTTTTTTCTGATTAAAATTATTTTAGAAAAATGTTTCTTACAGAAGTTTCAGATTTCAGTCATTTTTTAAAATTTCCTTCTAAAAAAGGAAAATTTTTTTTTCTAAGAGCAGAATATATTTATTGAGAGAAGGAAAGCTTCTGTTTGAGTGAGACAGAAGGGGTCCTGAATGGGTTGCCAAAGACTCTTGTTTTTTCTAGGGACTTTTATGGAGTAAAATCATGGGGTGAGACGAGTCAAAGATGGGGAAACTGGGAACTTGCAAGGCAGACTGGCATAAGGTGGGATAGAACTATGGTTAGCTAATAAGATTAATTGTTCAGGTAAAATTGACCAAATCAGGGACAAATGGTTAAGTGAATCACATAGCCAGCGAGCATTCTTACAGCAGTGACTCCATGTTTTCAGGTATCTTTTATAACCCAGCTTGCCTATTTCTGAACACTGAAATGTACCATTTCTAATTGTTTAAAGTGATAATAAAACTCATTATTAGAATGTCCCTGAGAGCACCATGTGGTGGCACACAAACATATAAGACCTTGTCTCAAGAAAGGCAGAAAAGAAATTTTCACTAGGATTAATTAGAAATATTTGATATTGAAAAGAAGTTAACTGATAAACTTTGGAAGAATTTCAGAAATTGAGGATTTGTATTGCCGGGTCACCTTTCCATACTTTGGTAATATGATGCAAGGGACTGCATCGTATAGAAATGACCTCATTTGACAGTAAACTACATGCAGTTGGTGCTGTCTTCACCCACCAAGAAGCAGCCACCAAACTCATCTCTCCCTGGGGCTCGTATTGCTTGGTCTTTGTAGGTCTTGAATAGTAGGTGCTCCTTAAAAGAGCTGGCATCATTTACAGTTCGTACTGATGCCTCTTTCTTGAAAGGGCTCTTCCCTTCCAGTTGCCCTGTAAGAATTATGAGTAAGGAGGCAGTCTTTTCTCTGAGACTCTGCCCCACAGTGTGTGACTGTACAGCATCCTGGACTAACCCTGTCTCCGGAAGGATGGTGGGAAAATGAGATACTCATGAATTCCCTGTTTTGACCCTGCTTCCCAAGTTTTCCTTTTTCTTCTAGTAAAAGTTTTTAAAAAGAGTTAAATAATAGTTAATGATATTCTCTATTCTAAATCCATTGTGATTCCTGGTAGATGACAGATAGGAACTGAGAAGGGCTCCATCTTACATAACAAATAACTTAGTTTATAACCTTGTCCCACTTTCTTCTCCTGGTGTAGGATTCTGAATTGGAGCCAATGAATGGTGAGATAATGGACGAGAGTATTAAGACCTCACTTGTTACTGAAGAGGAAGACTCTGGTAATGAAGAAGAATTAAAAGTGCAGTCTTCTAATTCCAATGAAAACACTGCAAATAGTGTTCCACTGGGGGTAGAATCTTCAAAACACCCTGAGACTGTGGCACCAGATAAAGTAAGGCACAAATGACTTTTTTTTAATTAAAATGCCAGTATTTATTAAGTTCCAATATATTTCCTCCACCTTGACAAGTAATTTACCTTTAGATAATATTGTGAGAAAATATACTCAGTAATTCTGTTTAAATCTTTGTAATCTTGATTTATAACTTCCTTATGTGGCTCAATCTGTATCATCTGATCAAAGTCATTATCTACCTTGTGAAAAATGAATTTTATTTCGTAGGCTTACGGGAATGCTTAAAAAAATGGATAAAACATGATATACCGAATATTTGAGTCCTTATTGCTTGCATCATCTGCCCAGTGCACTCACTTTAATTAGGGAGACAGATTCACTGACAAAAAAGGTTTTTTTTTTAATATTTTAAGATAATTTTAACTTAAAATAATTCAAGGCTAAAAAACTATTTTGATTGTTTTACTCTGTCTCCCTTAAATCAGTAAATGGAACTTACATTGTCTTTCCCTATCATGTAATGAAACAATAGTCAAATTTAGTGAGTAGAACAGTATTATGCCCCAAGGATTCTTTGTTTTGGTTCCAGGGATACTAGGATACTAAAAACTTAAGAGGTGATTCATGGTTTTGAAAAATTATGACATAAAGTTTTAGTTCCCTGAGGTAAAACAACTACTTTTATTATATCTATGAAGTAAGAATTTAGTGCATTAGAATTATCAGGAGACAGTTTCAAGGGATTTGGATTATATAGAGAGAATTTATGCACGATTAACAAAATAATGAATTCTGAATTTATTGTTGAAACACATTAATGTCTGAGAGTAATTCTTTTTAGAACTATACTAGAAAAGCTTATTGAAAAAAAAAAAAAAAAGAAAAGCTTATTGACCAAGATTTTATTTTCAGACCCCACTCATAGCTGACTCAGAAATGTTGATAGCCCAAGGCCCATCTGATGACAAGGCTCACACTGAAGAGAAACTGCCCCCAGTTCCAAAAAAGAAAACATATTTGGGGAATTCAGATAGTGTTGAAGAACGAGCTGATAGTGGTTTTCCAAACTCTGTGATAGCTGAATTTTCTGAAGAACCAATCTCTGAGAATTTATCACCCAACACTACATCATCAGTGGATGACCAGGGCGAGGAGGGGCCTGAGCCCCGGGAAACCACTACTGCTCTTCCTCAGAGTTCTTTGATAGAGGTTGAACTTGAAGATGTGCCATTTTCACAGAATGCAGGACAGAAGAACCAATCCGAGGAGCAGTCTGAAGCATCGTCGGAACAACTGGATCAGTTTACACAGTCAGCAGAGAAAGCTGTGGATAGCAGCTCAGAGGAGATTGAAGTGGAAGTGCCTGTGGTGGACAGGCGGAATTTAAGAAGAAAGGCCAAAGGGCATAAAGGACCTGCCAAGAAGAAGGCCAAGCTGACCTGAGCGAAGAAGAGATGCATATGATAAATCCTCCTCTTTGTAACATAATTGTTTTTTAAATATTGTAATGAATAAACAGCATGGGGTACAGGAAAAAAATTTCCAAAATTTCAGTTTGAACTTATTTACAATGCAGTTTTTCTCTTCCCTTTAGGATATAAGATTGAACATTCTTTAAATTTTCAGGCTTTGTGTAAATACAATTTTTTATTTTTATTAATCATTTCAATTTGGGGAAAGCAGATCATACTATATTTTTCTTTAGGAGGTGGAAAATCTGACCATTAATATTTCAAAAAATTAAAAAAAAAACAAAGTAGTTGGCTTTCTGTTATTTGTAAGGATCACAGAAGTCTTTTATATTAAGGATTTTAATAGTAAAACTTACTGAGGGGTCTATCAAAACTAATCGCCAGTTTTTAAAATATAGGGATGCCTAAACAGAAATAAGTTCAGTAAATTAGAGTAATTATAACCTCAAGTAAATGAGAGCACAAAATGAAATTTTATGATCAAATGCTTATGAAGATATTGTGATTTTGTAGATCCTCTTGTAGATGGAGTATCTTCCTTCAACTTTAGTGTCTGTGGAAAGATACATAAAATACTGTTTCCCCACTTTGCATCATTTACAGCACGTGGGGTCATTATCTAAAGTTCCATTTGTAGTATTACTTTGCACTCATTTTTAAAAAATCTCTTTAGATGCTTCCAAGTTTGAGTATACTTTCAATCATGTAAGCATCCCAGATAATGAAATTTAGAGAGTTTACCTTGGACTTTGTGGTCCCAATCACAGATAAATTAAGCCAGAGATGCTTTGTTCTTACCCAGTTAATGTCTTTTATGTCAGCAGCGTTGTCTCTTCCTAAGCCTCTGTAACTCCGTCCAGGTACTGCAGTCTTTATTTTCTCCTCAGCTTTCATTGGAGTTATTCTCCTGGCAGAAGGTCTGCTTGCCAGCTTATGCCTTGGTATCTCTTCTTGGATAGATTTGCAAGCACACCTTCCAACCTTAGATTTGCACGTCAGGAGTAAAGCCGCCCTAGGAGCTACAAACGAACTTAATTCAAATGAGAGGGGTCTGTTGCCCATTTGGTTTTGTTCACATTAGGTTTTTCTGTGAGTACTGGTTGTAACCTAGCCTGTATATGTAATTTGTATTGTCATAGCAGAAGCATTTTATTTGCTTAGGAAAACTTGGAAGATCCCTAAAATGTTTGTTTTTATACAGTGATTTGCTTTAAAACAAGCAAAATTCTAGAGTCCAGAAAAAATCTCAAAACTTTGGCAGTATGGCATTTACTTAATTTGCAGGTAAGTTGGAGAATATTTTGAGCCCATTTATACTTGTTTTTGAAACAGCTTGTACTTGATCGTATATGAAAGAAGCATGTTAGGCTTCCTGTCATTATTTTGAGTGCCATGGATTTATGTGGAAGATTTATTCAGCCTTCAGTCAGGTGATAAAATGTCATTACGTTTTATTTTGGGATATTAGTATTAGAAAGGTCTTAGTTAAAATCTTTAAGCAGGTGAAGTAGTCCTATTAGATCCTAAACAGTTGTTTTACTGATCAGCAGAAATGAGATTAATTTCATTCTAAGTGAAGACTAAGGATTTTTGCCATGTTTTTAAGAAATACGTAAACAATACTAGTGAGTCTATCAAAAATTCTTGCTGCTGCTTTGAGAAACTTATTAATATAAGGAAATAACAAGAATTAGAAAATACCTTTCCAGTTTTCATTTCTTAAACTATTTAAAAACTTGATATTTTGCTCATTTTTTAATTCATTGTTTAAATGTGATTTTTTTTTAAAAAAACATTACACCCACTGATAACTTGATGTAAAAGTTTCAAAAAAATCATTAATATATGACTGGGGCTAACAGTATAAACCTATACTTGTTTGCTTTAAATGGAAATTTTTGCAATTTCAACTTTCTGTTCACAGAAAATTTTTATTACATGTGACAAAATATCGTTGGGTTTGTAGATCATAGAGGAGAAAATTAGGTCACATGTACATCCCTTTCATGTTCAGTAATTTATTAGAAATTTATCCATAATAGGGAGTCTAATCAGATGCATTTAGTTTTTGCAAGGCATTACCACAGTGTGTGATTTCAGCCAGCTAATCTACTTGTCAGGTGTTGTCACATTCTACATAGTCCTTTGTGATCTGTTTTCTGTTGTCCTTTTTGCAGAAAAGGATATTCACTTTTTGTGTACATACATATATATTTCCTTATGTAATATAAAGGTGATTAGAATTTTACTTCTTTCAAGTTTATTCAATAGCTAGACCTCACAGAAATTAGTATATTTAAAAATTTATTATAAAGCTCTTCTACAACTTTTAAAGTTGAGCGGTTCTATTATGATTTTTTAATAAAATCAAACAGCATGACTTAGAATTGTCAGTCTTCCATCTAAAATGTGTGTATTCATGTTGTTTCCATTCAATGCAAATATGGTAATACAGTCATTCATAGTTTACTTTTAGCAGATTACCAGAGCACTACCTAAACATGGCTGCAGCAACTTAAGAAAAGTACCTTGAAAGGGTTATAAATTGTATCCACTTGAGCCTTTAACATGACATGAAAACATCTGCTCTTACACTGGGCTTTATCCTTTAGGATACCATCTAAGGTTTGGTCACACCAGCAAACTGAAACATTTTAATGTAAATAATTTATATTAACATTATTCATCTGTATAACAGTATCTTAGATTTGTTCCCTTTATGTCCATTAGTAGCAATATGATATTTATGGTGTGATCCAGTCTTTCATGGGTGAAAATTATTACAAATATTATGCTTGTCTTTATACTATCAGGCTTCCTTTGTACAAAATTGCTTATTTTTGCTTTTAAAAAATAAGCTAACCTTGTTCCTTGTATTTGTAGTGTGATTAGCTGAAGTCAGTTTTTTCTTTTTGTTTTAGAACTTAAGAAATTCACGTATCACCCATTTTTATTAGTGGCAAAATAATTTGTCAAAATTAATTGCAACAAAGGTTCAGCTTCTATCAAGTGATTCTATCACTGGATCATTTCCAAGAATTACTAGTCAATTCTTTTCTAAGAGTCTGTACATGTTCTAAAACTTTGTTTATAGAACTTAGAAAAAAGTTACATTATACAAAGTAGCAAGTCTTATGAGAGTACTTATGTTCTTTTCTTTTGTAATTAAACCTATATTTTGTGATTGTTTTTTGGTCTCTGTTTTGAAATTCTTTGCCTTCTCTTTTTCCCAATTACATTCATAAAAATGTTTAGATACTGAATCTGTTTAGACATTGAATGATTTTGTTAAAGGCACAATTAATCATACTGGTTGTACTTCAAAGACAGACCTTTAAAAATAAACATAATTTAAAGCACCTGGTGAGTGTTATATACAGATATCCAAAGCTCAAGTTAATTCAGATCACAAAACTTGAGGTAGAACCCTAACATGACCATTTTATATTAACTGGGAACAAAGTTTCTTTTCAGGGCATCAGTACCACTAAATTGGAATTATCTAAATAAATTTTTAATGACAGTCTTAAAATATTATCAATAAGACTATTTGAGAAAAACTTAAGACCAATTTGTAAAACTGGGCCATTTTAATGTTTTTACAATTTAATAAATAGTTCTCTTGATGACTGCAATTATAAAAGTTGTATTTCCCGTAATAGGTTTTCCTGATCAGTCTGTAGTCTTCAGTAAGTGTCAAACCAGTAGGACTGCATTGATGCATCCATCATTCTCAGGGTTGTTGGTTACCTGGGCATATTTACCTACATAAACAGCCAAAAAAAAAGAGAAAAGAGGAATATTAACCAATAAAAATTTGTGCACATGTGTCTGGTTCTGAGGATCAAACATATAGGGTCTTGCATACGCAAGGCAAGTATACTAACAGTTACATTCCAGCTCAAAAATTGAAAGACCGTAACCTTTGTTTCAAATACGTCTAATTACCATTTTTAAGAATATGGTAATAAAGAACAAAGATCTCACACTTATTGTGATTCAAGACTAACTTGTGTTTTGAACACATTTGCATGTAAATACTGTTTTTACATATGACAGTCATTACTGCATTAGCAAGCCTTTGTTGCATCAGGTTTTAAATGAGTTTCAAATTAATCTAACAACATACTTTAAAAACAAGGTCACTCAACGTAAGTATGAGCTAATGACTTAGTTTTAATTGTTAACCGAGTATGGTTATGTCTGATGTATGCCTTGCTTCCCCAGCAATGGTGAGTTTACTGTATTTTCTTCTAGTACTTTTGGATTAAACTTTATTTCTGCTTTCCTTCTAAACTGAGTATTTAAAAAAAAAATTACATGTGCAAAGTGAAGTGGCACAGTTCATTGATTTTGAGGTAAGCCTGGGCTACACAGTAAGTTTAAAGCCAGCCTAACCTACACAGTGAGACCCTGTCTCAAAAAAAACAAAAACTATCACAACAGAGTATACCTTATATAACTGAAACCAACATGGGATATTTGGAATATAGAATAACATTTGTAACTCATACACAAAAAATACTGTTCCTAAAGATTAAATAATTGAATATACATTTTTACCCTGCTCTCCCACACTAAAAAACTGTATTTAAATCACCTTGAAAAATAATTGTTGTAACTTTTGAACAGCAACAGCCTACATTCAGAAACTTACCCCAAATAACCTTGCCTCCTTGGGTCACGAGGCCCAACTCGCTTACATTCACCTCAATCACTGTACCTTTGGTAATAACACCCAAAGTTGTATACAGTGGCGATGAAGGATTTTTTTTCACACCAAGTATTGGCAGGCAAAAGGTGGCTTTCAGTTCAGGATGTGTTACATGGGCCTTCTTGAAACGTAAGCCCTACAAAGTCAATCACAATATTTGATGTTAAAATGTTTCTAAGTAGTCTTTTTATCTTTGAATCCTTTCAGAAAACCACAGGTTCCATAATGTTAAGTCATGAAATATTTCTACAAACTAAAACCCTGACAATAAATTCACAGGCAAAGCTTGGCATGTATTTCTGGGGAAACATTTTTACCATGCAATAGCTATTTCACAAAATGCACATATTTTTGCTTTAGCTAGTCATTTTACTTATTGAAGACCTGCTACATGCAAGGAATTATAATGGGAGTTAACAACTGGCTCATTTATGTAACAGACTCCACTGTCCCTTTGTGGTAAACAGTGAAACAGATCTGCAGGGTTAACGACCTGCTTCCAGACTAAATGGTGTATGGTATTCCCCATTCTAAGTCTATATACCACAGTTTCGTTCCATGAAATAGCTTCGTTTGTGCTGGTAACACAGAGGACTCTGCAGTCGTTGCTACAGAGACAGAGCTAGATGGGGTCTTTCGTTGTGTAATACATTAACACACTTGGTTCGTAGTCTTAATTTTTACTCATTTGGGGATGTGGGAAAAGAAAACACCAAATGAAGTTCTTACTAATGGATTCGTTAATCAAACTAGTAGGAACAGCCTGACTAGTATATACTCCCCTTATAGAACTGATATTAACAAAAATTATTCAGATCATACATGAAATCAAACACAACAGAATCTGGGATGGACAAGGACCTCCTGTAAAAGATGAGACAATATTTTAAGCTTTGTAGGGCACATGATCTGTTTTAACTACTCAACTCTTGGGAGTGGGGGAAGGTTTATAGAAACAGACTGCCAACATTTTAATCCATTAAAAATTACTTAGGTTGAACCCCACACTTTGTTTTTTTTGAGCAGCTGGAAATCTAGTGTAGTCTTCTTGAAGGGATTATGCAAAAATATATTTTCAATTTTCCCCAAAGCATGGATAGGTAAGGATTAGTTTGGGGTATCTGACCATTACTGCTGTCAACAGAAATGAAGCAACTTTTATATTTTCTTTAAGTGATTACATACTGAATGTTTTCAAGAGCATTCCCACGCTGCGGCTGAATGTGCCTGTAATTCCAAGCACTTCAGAGGCCAAGGCAAGAGGATCGTTGTGAGTTCAAGGCCAGCCTTGGCGACATAGTTCAAGGCAAGCCTGAACTACATACAGCCTGTCTCAAAATAACAAAAAATAGAGTTTATTCTTATGAGAAAAAATTCTCAAGTTTCAAAAGTCATACTTCATAGTGTCTTGTATAACAATCTTTTACATTTCAAATCTTATGAAGCCAAAAATAAGTGTTAGTGGGAAAAGTGCCAAGTAATCCTCCAATTTGTTAAAAGTAATAGAGATGAGATAAAAATATTTTTCCTACCAGTTTTAGCAATTCCAGGAAATTCTTAACATTTTATCTAGTGTAGCAAGGGGAACTAATTAAATTCCCATTGTCTTGCAAAGGACCTACCATTGGCCTAATAAACCTTTCATATTTAGGTGGTTTTCTTGTAAAACCATCTCCAACAAAGCAGACTTTAGTAACCATCCTCTTCCATGCCTTCTTTTTTCTCTTGCCAGTTCGAATAACTTTTAATACTTCTGTTTCTCCTTGGGCACGAACTTTGGGTAGAGGGACTTCCCATTTTCCCTAATAAAAAATTTATATTGTAATAAAAGGCAAAATGAATGTTAATCACACAAAGTAATAAGCATGTTAACATAAAATATTCAGCATGTGTTAGGTTCAGTTGTTTTCTACAAGTCTGCCATATCCTCAAGCCAGAGTTAGGTAAAACTAGTTTAGTTTACATATCACAGGCACATCAGATAAATGGGTTACTTAAGCTAAAGTTCTTAAAACATTATGGGTGAAAAAAATCTGTAGTAAGAACTTCTATAAGCAGAACGTGTTAACTAGTTAACGTGTAGAACTGGAAGACTTTCACTTAATATATCTTTGTATTTGTATCTGAAACGCATTTTTTGATTATATTACTAGTAAGACAAAATTCTCACCACATATTTTGTACACCAGAATGCAAATTTTTGTATATGTGTATACTGTGTGTGGTGTATTTGTACGTGTGTATGTGTGTGTATGAACAAAACAATAGCATACTAAGAAGTGGAAGGAATTCTGAACTTAATTACTAGGACATAATTCTCATATTCTATCTCACAGATGATCGTGACTAATAATTTACAAAACTCTTCGATTCTCAGTCTTTTCATCTATAAAATGAGACTATATTACATAAATAACCAAGTTTCTTTCAGTACTGAAGTTACACCATTCTAATTTGAGATTCATTCCCACAGGTGTTTACAAGTATCTACTCTCCCTTTCTGTTTTTTTGCAGAAGTTTATCTATTGTGTTTACCAAATACAATCTAGATTGTTTTTTGGTGATTGTATGTTTGTTTTAAATGCTGACTTTTTATCTGGCTTGTATCACTTAGCAAACTTTACATTATTTTTGTTTTGAAGACATTTTGGGTATTGCAGGGCAACAAAAACAATAGTTGAGCTTTCAAGTGTAGGAAGCCATTAAATACTGAATCTGAAATTCACTACTTGCCCACTAACCTGTTTTTAGACAGGTTCTTACTACATAGTTCAGGCTGACCCTGAACTCCTTAAATTAAAGCCACCATACCCAGCTTTAATTATTTAAGACAAAAATGTCTGACTGCTTAACAAATTTTTGAAAACTAAAATTTTAAAATCTGATTATATGAAAACCTTACGATCAGCTTAAATTTACAAAATTTCTGAACTTCCAACTAATGTTCCCATTGTGATTCAAAATTAAACTCAAGTAACATCTGAAATTTGAATTTAACTGTCTGAACAAAAAAGTTAATTTTTATTGCTTACCGCCTTTTCTTTACGTTTTTGTTTAATCATATTGGAAAGTACTTTTGCACGAGACTGTCCCTCTCTGTCCAGCAGATAGGCAGGTACTGCTCCTTGTGGGGTCTTTTCATCATTCTTTTGTTTGGTGTTTCTCTTTTCATGCATCTTTATACTAATCAAGAAGGAAACATTCAAGATTATCTGTTTAGCAATTATAACTCAAAGGATGGTGTTAAATAAATAGGATCACTTACGTCTTCTTCATTTGTATTTTCTCTGCGTGGCGCTGTTTATGGTAGAGTTTAGCCTTCAGGCCAATCATTTTCTTTGCCTTCTTTGAACGTTCATGAGCCTCTCGACTTTCCTTCTTTCTTTTTTTCTCATGATAATCCAAACGATACCCATACCGTTTGCGGTGTAATTCAATGTATTCATTTTGTGGCTATAATGATGCAAGAAATGTTACTGTAATTTTTAAAGTATTGACAAGATTATTCTACAATTATTTTACACAGCACACACACAAACAAAGGAGTCCATACCACCCAGATAAATGTATTCACACAATGTAAATTTAAGTTTTTATCCTGATGATACAAAGTAGTGTTTACATCCATAATTATGTTCTGAAAATTACTGTTACTGAAGGGAATTGCCCAAAATCTACCTGACCACTAAAAGTATGAGCTGAGTATGGGATCTTTCATTTTTTTCCTCCCTGATGTCATTTTGAAATTAATCCCTGTTCCTCATCCCCAGTCTGATACTATCCATAGACTTTTGCCTTCCCTAGAGAAAAATATAAGTGGAGTCTATAAAATACAGTTATTTCTAACTAGCTTCTTCCCTTCAGCATAAGATTTTTGGGCTCATCCATCTTGCTGTTGATGTATCAGAACTTAAATCTGTTTTTTATTGCTCACTATTCCACTACATGGCTATAAAATCATGTATATATCCGTTGACCATCTGATGGCTATTTGGGCTGCTCACTTTTTGATTCGGAATAAAGCCACAATAAGTCACTGTAGGCAGATCTCTGGCCATCTGTTTACCGCCAGATTGTTTTCCAGAGTCACTGTATTGCTTTGCATTCCACGGTAACTTACAGGATTTCATTTGCATTTTAAACAACAGTTGTTTTAAGCATGTGGCCAGAATCCATACCTATTTTAAAACTATAAAAATAAGCTTAATGGTTACTTACGCTTTCATTAAAAAAAAAAAAAAAAAAACTAGGGGCTGGAGGTTTAGCTCAGCAGCATAAGCGCCTGCCTTGAAAGCAGGCAGTCGTGAGTTCGATCCCCGGTACCATAAAAAGGAAAAAGACAAAAAAAAAAAAAAAAAAAAGTACAAAATAAGAGATCACCATACCCTAGGCAGCTGAACACTGATGCCAGTGACAAATTCAGGAATCACCAAAAAGCCAAGAGTTTTCTGGCCTTTAAATTCTAAAATTCTGAGTTACCACGGCCCTTTTTTACCCTTTGGGCCTGTTCCTGTTGCCATCTTCCCCATACTACTTATTCGGGAGAGTACGCTTGGCAATTCTTTCTTCGCTGTACACAAGAACCTGGACTATTTTTGGCCCACTCAACTATTACAAATAAATTAGGTGTGGTGTTTTTAACTGCTATCACATGAACTGTAGCATCCAAAAGGTATGAGGCATCCCATTTTGTAGACTAAAAGATTAAAGATGCAAAAAAGGCTTTGGCAGTCAGGTCCGGGCCCCGTTCTGCAGTTCATTCGCTATTTGGCCTTTAGCAAGGTACCCATCAAAATTAACTTGAAGGGGTGCGATTAATGCCTGCGGCACAGGGCTAAGGGTCAATTACATTTGCACTGGGCTCTGCCTCGGCTGACCGAAGCCAGCAGTGTTAACAGAATAAACTCTGTCTCACTCCACGACTTGTGTTCTAGCAAATATCCCACTCTATGTCCCTAAAGTTTTTCCACTGCCCACAGCCCACTCCGCGGACTTCACCCTCCTTCCGCCCAGCAGTATCACACTTCCGCTTTCCAAATCTCACCCCCAGCTCTTGGGCCTTACTAACTCAGACTCCGTTCCGTGATGAGAGCCTGACAAGGCCTGCTTACCATAGTGACAGCTGCAGAGCCACCAGGGGCGGCCTCGGGCGTGAGAAGAAAAGTCCTATCTTTGGGGTCTCACAGACCTACCAGCTACCTCCGCGCACTAGGAAACAGGAAAGAGTTACCCTCTAAAACGGCCGAGTGAAGAGCAAGCGCGACGCTTTCATTCCGAGTTTCTGAGGTCCTCTCTAGCTAGCAGGGCGGAAGTTGCTGGCAGGTGGCATTTGGCGGCTGCACCGCCGGAAGTGCTGAGCTGCCACTGCGAAAAGAAGCCAAGCGACAGGTTTAGGTTTACGTCAGACGGTTGTGGCGAGGTCGTAGAGGTGGTGCGGAGAAACTTGAGGTCTTTGCATATTTCCGAGAGGCCTGGACCTGACAAGAAGCCACTGTCCGGTGCAGGACACTCAGGTAGGTTCCGCGCCGCGCCGCTGACATTCCTTAGCATGTCACCAAGGGAGCCCTGCACTCCTGACCATTCGCTCGGCGGCGAGCCTTTTGCTGTTTCCTTCAGCGAGGGCGACGATGGTTTTTCTTCCTGCCGCTGTAAAGTTTGCACCACTAAGAAGGATGCAGAAAAGGATAGTGTATTAATAGTAAAGTAAAACTGCCCGTCCTCATCAACTGCCAGCAAAGAAAACAACGGTCTATTTTTTTCCTGAGGTGCAGAACTAATTCTTGAAATTGGACTGAGTGCTGAGCTCACTTGTATGTGGAGGCCCTCTAGTGCCTGGAAGAAACTACCTCCTAAGGAAGAGCATCTGTTTGAGAACACCTGTCGGTTTTACTTGTTTTAATTGCACAGTCACAAAAAATCCTGAATTACCCCAAGTTTGGAACTTGATTCAGTTATGGGGGCAAAAATAATTGTACCAAAAGAAAATATTCATCGCAGTATATCTTACTGCTTGAATTTGAAGCAGGATTTTGGGGCACCTTCTAAGAGGCTTTTTGTTTTCTTTAAAATCAGAATATTAACTAGCACTTGGATATTTTCAGGTGCAATTAATTGTATAGTCTGGCTAGGAACCCCTCGCCCCAGTTGCCTCTGTGGCATACTGATACGTGTTTAAATGTCAATTTTAGTGAGACCTTCCTTGACTTGCTTCCAGTTATGCTTGCCCCAGTAATCTTTTCTGCTTAATTCTTTTCACTAACACCTGTCCCCACGGGAGATGCTATGTATTTTATTTATTTTATTGTTCGTATCCCTTGATTAGGATAGAGGCAGTATGAAGGCAAGGATTATTATTGTTTTTTATTTGAGGGCTGTAAACCTAGAAGGCACAACTTAGAAGATTAATTCTTGTTGCATAAGTGAATTTAATTCTTATAACAAATCCTATGATATGATATGATAGATGAAAGACTGAATCAGATTTTGAATGATTTATTCAAAGTCATAAAAAACTTGAGGCTCCAGAAATTTCACTGATTCTAAAGTATAGTTATGTCTCTTTTTAAGAAGTCTTTATTGAAGTGTAACATACTTGCAGTGAAATGAATATACCTTAAGTGTACATTTCAGTGGATTTTTCATTGCTTTAACTGGTACACCAAAAGCACTTGCTCTTTCAGTCATTAATACTCCCAAGAGTAAATACTATCCAGACTTCTAACAAAAGGGATTAATTTTACCTTGTCATAATCATATCAATTCTTTCATTTTGGTTTAATTTGTTAGTATTTAAGATTTACCCTTGTTGCTTACCTGTTGTAGCTCTTTTATATGATAGAAATTTTAATGTGTTTTATTTGGGTACTTATGTCAGTATGTTTTTTTCATTTATGGTTCCCAAATCTATCAATTCCCGTTTTTCTTTCTGAAGAGAAAATAAGCTTTGGAGTACTACTCCAAATAAAGAAGGATCACAGTTGAGGCTTTTATAGGTAAATGGACACAACTTGAGACCATACTCATAAGTGAAATAAATCAAACTCACATGTGTAAATATTGTATTGTCTCCCTAGTGCAAAAAACTGAAAGAGTAAATAAGATCCAAAATCTACAGTAAATATTGTGAAAGGGGAAAAAGCTGCTCAAAGGGAAAAAATTAACTGGGATAGGGGAAAGGAGAAAAGGAAAAAGGTATAAATTTGTATATATATATATATATATATATATATACATAGCTAGGATGAAAACTAATTCTATTAGTTCTTGGAAAAAAGCAGTTAATACTCATGTACTTAGATCAGTTTTGCATGTCTGTATCTGGTAATCTAAGCAACTCTTTTGAAGATAATATGCAATGTAACAACCATTGTTAAATTCCTATCATCTTGTTTTGAAAGCTTATATTATTATTGTTTTGGATTCTTTTGTTATTTGTCTCTTACTTTTTGTTTTTCTTTTATGCTTTTTTTTTGTCTTTTAAATAAAATAAAAAATAAGTGAAGATTTAAAGGTTGAGCAATGGCTCTTTGATGTGCATAAAATAACAAAGCCAGATTGTTTGGCTATGTTATTATTTGTTTTTACTTTCACTTGTTATTTTAGGATTTAAAATGGGCCAAAGAGATTAATACCAACCAAAAGCTCTTACATTATTTTCTGTTTGCCTGGCTGTAGCCAAATTGGATAACATCACTACTTTCTAAAATCTGTCACAAGTATGTAGAAGGTGCCCTGACTTTCAGAAGCATAGAATGATAGTCCTCTGGTCTAAATGAAATTTACATTGTAATTATTGGTATAGATAAGAAGTGATAAACTAGAAGAATGTGGGATCTACTTTATTCATTGTACATGGTTAAAATGAAAACTTATTTATGTTAAAGAGGAGGAACAAGTATAGTAATAAGAGCTTTGCAGAAAGTATTGTGATGAAATGTTTTTCATATGCAGAAGATGGACTAAAATTTTTAAACCTAACTATTTTTGAAATTGGAGATTATGTGATACCAACACATTGTTTGTATTTCAGATAGCCAAGTTCTATGTTTCCACATTAAACGTTAGAACAAAGAAATTGAAAAGTGCTTTATCCCTCCAGTTGACTTAAATATAACTGCTGAATGGTTTGTTTGTTTGTTTGTTTGTTTTCAGTATTAGGGACTGAACCTGGGTTCTTTGCCCTGAAATACATTCCTCAACCCTTTTGAAAAATTTTGAGATAGGGTATTCTAAATTGCTCAGGCTGGGTTTGAATTTGTGATCTTTCTGTTTCAGCTTCCTGTAGTGCTGGGATTAGTCATGTACCACCATATCTGGCTCTAGAACTAATTTTCTGTTCTATTTTTTTCTCGTCTTTCCTTTTTTTGGTGCCTAGAATCAAACTCAGAGACTTAACTTGTGAAGTGGGCACTGTGCTACTGAGCTAAATCTCTGGCCCTAGAACTAATTTTTAAAGTATAGACAAAATGGCTTATTTTAAAACTTGTGTCACACATAAATTTTGTAGTGTAAGTGATCAGTTAAATTATTTTAAGATGGACTGTTGAACTTAAAGAAGAATGCATACGTGATGTTATGGATTGACATTATTCAGTAATGAATATATTGACTTAATCCATACTTGATAATTTCCTAACATTAGATGTATCAAATACCACGTACAGACTATTTAAACTTGAAGTTTTAGGGTCGCCTTTCCTACATTGCTTAATTCTGAACAATGTTCTTATTTTCACTTGCCTGTTAGGATTATTCCCACATTTTCATGATTCTGGTTTTTTTGTTTATTTACCTTGTTAGCATAACCCCAGTTGTTTAGGATTTGAGGCTGCTGGGCAACGTAATGAGAGCTCGACTCAAACAAAACCAAACAAAAACCCTTATGGGAATGATAGTTTTCCAAACAGTCCATGGATTCTTTTTTGGTTATTAGTAATGTTGCCTGTTAATTAGGTAGAACGGGTGCTTCCTCAGTTTTCACATTACTGCCTTTCTATACTGTCAGGTGTGATAGCTTCTGTAGAAGAACTTTTGTGTTTAAACTGTATTAAACTCCAAATATATTAATAGTCTTCAGTGTTCCTTGGACTTTGGTAAACAGAATTGTACCAGTGGTAGTACCAATTTGGGAGTTGCCCATTTGTTTCCATATTTGTAAAGTTCTGCTCACTCACAAAAGACCCACCTGCCCTGCCTGGTAAATGGTATAAAAGTAACTTCCCACACTAGCTCTACAGCTCAGACTTCAGAGTGTGCAGGTTCTCTGGGCCTGCCAGTGGTGGTGTAATGAAGCTTGGTTCCCTTCTCTGAGTTCCATTGGGTATCTTTGTCTCTAGTAAACCTAAAATTGTTGTTAACACTTTCAGTGAGCACTTTCATACTTTTAAGGCCTCTAGAGGGCCTTATAACACCAGTAAAAAAATTTTTTTTGTTTTTGAGACAGGGTCTTTTTTGCAAGGTGGCCATGAACTTACTATGTTCAGTAACTGTGCTATGTACAGTAACCCAGGCTGGCCTCGAACTCACAGCTGTGCAGGTGCAGGGATTACGGGGATGCACCACCACACTTGGCTAGAAAGTCATTTTCTTTGAAGTCACTGATGAGTGAGAAAGAAGAAAATCACCGTAGGGGCATAGAAGACTCTTATGGGGTAAGAACATTTTTAGGTGTAGGGCTAGACATTCCTGGTGAAAGATCCCTTCTGTAGGAGAACTCAAGTAGTAAATAATTTGGATCATTTTTATTCTAAGTAATTGAGTACCAGGTGTAATGAGAACAGTATTAAAGCTTTCAGGAGATGAGAGAAGGCTTCCTAGATGGTCTTGTGATTGACAACTGGTAGACCACTTGTAACACCCAGCTGAACTGAATCAGTGTGGTGCTGGGTGTGGAAGGCCCACCTGAGGATTGCGGTCAGCAGCATAAAAGGAGAAGTGGAGGGGAACATGGTGTGCTATTCATTCTCCTGGAGAAGCTTGTCATGCTGGCTTTCCTGGTATGAACTCAGCTGTCATCATCATTGGAGGCTGTCACTGAGGGTGGCTGTGGTTCTTTTCAGGAAAGCTCTGGTCCTCACCTTGAGCAATGCTTCCTGAAGACTACAAAATGATCCTAAGGAATAACGAAGTTGTGGAATTTTTGTTCAAACTTCAAATGATTGTCAAAGGAATTTTCCTTTTCCACGTGAAAAAAGGAGAACATTTGGCATCTTTCAAATTATGGTATTGTAGATTCTAATTACAGTATTTTCTAGTTGCACTGAGTATACACGTATAAAGCAAATCCTTTTAACCCACAAAATAGGTGTTTTAGCTGTGTTAACATAAGGCTAATAACTTGTGTATTATTATCGAAAAACCAACTTTTATTTTAAAATAAGTATTACATGTTAATGTAATATAGTCTTAAGAAAAATAACATTGGGAAAAATTTTAAAAATTAGCAGGATATATAATAGTAACTTTTTTTGATTTCCTATTAACTTGTTTTGAAGTCCTGTAATACTCCCACGATCTTGTTTTGACTGATTAGACTCTGTGCCATTCCGTATGATTGTATCAAGTTTGAGGGTATAGGCAACTACTTTGAAGGCAATAAGATTCACTAAGATGCCCATTCTGGTTTGACTATTGTCTCCTTTGGAAGTCCTGTAATGTTTACAATGCTTAAGTTTTATTGGTCTTGTTCTCTACTGTTTTGTTCAACTTTATAATATCTAATGAGATAGACAATTCTTTTTAAGGAAACAAGAGACATTGTTGATAACCATTGTTGATAACCTTGTACTCTGTTTTACATCATGTGCTATGTCTATCCTTGGTTTTGACCGACAGCTTTGTTTTGCCATATTTGACTTTATTCTTTCCCCCCAAAAAAGTAATAAGAACTAAGGAGTAATAAAACCCAAAATGTGTAAATTTTGTTGTAAAAAAGAGAGGGAAAAAAAGAGCTCTAAAGGATACAACAGCAAGTGTGTTTAGGGGTGTTAAATAGCTGACCATATTAATGTTTTTGGTTGGATCATTGAACACAACTGTTTGCAGTCTCACTGTTTGAATGTCCACTTTGTATGCTTTGATACTGTGATTTGAGCAACTATGTCTAAGATGATAATATGTAATCTATTAACTGGTGATTTCTTACTTTTTTTTTTTTGTAGTTCTGTATTACTTGTACCCTTACACAGCTTTGTTTTGTTTTGTGTTTTTCTCTTTTTCCTTTTAAATAAAATTTTAAAAAAAGAAAGAAAAATAACATTTTCTGAGCCAAAAATAATTTGGTTTCAAATTATTGAAATTACTATGACGTTGTTTTACAATTTTGGACATTTTTTATATGTCTGATTTAATAGCATCTTGGCTTCCCTATTTAATTCGGTTACAATTTGTGACGTAAATCCATCATATAAATGGATGGTTGGACAAGAGTATTTCAAGAATATTGTGTATCATCATAGATAATGTAAGAAACTTTGTTAAGTAGTAGTTTGTAAAGATTAGCCGTGATGTGTAATCAGATTTATTAGAGCACTATTTACTAGTTTTTGTTGTTGTTGTTGTTTGTCTGTCTTTTTAAGACAGGATTTCACTGTATACTGTAGGCTGGCCCTGAACTCACTTTGTAATCCAGGCTGGACCCAAACTGGCTGCGACCCTCCTGCCTCAGCCTCCTGAGTGCTGGTGTTGCAGGCATATGCCACCATGCCTGGCCTATATTAGTGAAATTTTTCTATGCTTTTATAATAAAACCTGTTCTAGTTTGGAATGTATCTTTTATCAGTGCATGATTTTGGAAACATCAAGCTTTGGTTATTTGGAAAATAATTTTTCACTGAGTTGTGCAGATCTTGCAGTTATTGACAGAATTCATTACATGATATCAAAAAATCATTCATAGCATCACAGATCTCTTTGTAAAAGTCTTTTGAGTATTGATTGCCTGTCAAACCCTTAGTCGTAGATGCTAGTTTTTCAGATTGGTGGAATAATTGACAGGTATCTCCTGTGTAGTGGTCACTGCAATGTTGTTTCCTATTTACAGCACTGGGTTGGAATGACTGGAGACAAATATTTGTTACCATAGTAACTGGAGAGTAATGATGAGGTCCTAAAGTGTTTTTTGGTTTTTTTTTTTTTTTTTGGTTTTGTTTTGTTTTTGTCTTTTTCGTTTTTATTGGTACCAGGGATTGAACTCACAACCGCACACTTGCAAGGAAGGCGCTTATGCTGCTGAGCTAAATCCCCAGCCCACAAGGTTTATCATTTGGAATAAAAAGAAATGATTCAACATATATTTAAGAAATAAAATGAAAGATCTTGGTGACTTCCTAAATAGGAAAGGATCAGATTTAGGAAAAATACCAGTGAGTTTTGACTTGGCTTCTGACAAACATAGAAACAGTGGTTTACCTCTCTCTCTCTCTCTCTCTCTCTCTTTCTCTCTCTCTCTCTCTCTGTCTCTGTCTCTCTGCCCTTAATCTTAGATGTTTGCATGCTTTCCGCACAGCTTTGATGTAATACTTGAAACACAGTGAACATTTAGTGAAAGCCTAGTTTCCTTTCGGTAGTCCTGAGGATACACCAAGGCCCTTGCATGTGCTAGGCAATTGATCTACTGCTGAACTACACCTGAAGTCCATTTAATAAAATGTTTTTAAATGGCAGATACTTAGTTTATATAGTCAAAGAGGAACAAGGCATCCTTTTGTGTGTTTTTTTTCAAAGGTATGTTTTTGTAGTTGATTTATTTTATATATTTGTGGTAAGAAAATTATAATATGCAGATAAATTTTACTGCCACTGAGAAATTAATGAGTTTATGTAAGAATGCTTATTTTTTGGGGCTGGGGACTTAGCTCAGTGGCATAAGCGCCTGCCTTGCAAGCAGGCAGTCGTGAGTTCGATCCCCGGTACCAATAAAAAGGAAAAAGACAAAAAAAAAAAAAAAAACAAGAATGCTTATTTTTCTCTACTTCTTAAATAAAAATTATTTTGGTTGATATATTTTTAGCAATTTTAATATGTATTTCAATAATATCTCCATAGCATTCTTTAGGCATTAAAGTGCGTTGAAAAAAGGCCATCTATAGCTTGAGAATATTTTTCCTATTTAGTTGAAATTTTAATTTTCTGAATGATATATTTGAGTTTTTGATGGCTAAAAATATTCCCATTTATAAAAATAGTACATTTTTCAGGGACTGGGGATATAGCTCAGTGGTACAGTGCTTGCCTGGCAAGCAAAAGTTCATGAGTTTGATCCTCAGTACCCAGCCCTCCAAAGGGAAAACAAGACCAAAAGTAGCACATTTTTTTTACAATACGTATGCCTTATATATACTTTACTGACTTGTAATACATTAATTTAGTTTTATAATTTTCTGTATTTCTTTTTCAGAGAAAAACAGTTTAGAGGATCAAGATGTTGACCAGTTTGAGGATATTTGCAGTGAATCGTCAGAAAATGTCCAGTTTGTACATTAATGTAAGCTTTTCTTATAAAATAAAATGTACTACAACATCCTCAATTATGTACTCCAAAGACCTAGAATAGTGGTGGTGAACCTATGGTATGCATGCTGTATTAGGCTATTTGTAGTATTGAAAGCTCTAAAAAGTGTGCCATCTCTGGCCTGGTATATAATAAAGTTTTTATTCCACATTTAGTTCAGTCATAACCTTTGTCCTCAAAGGAAACTAAAAGACTGAATTGCATAAGATATGTAGTGTATGTTATCCTTATAATTTAAAAAAAACAACAGCTAAGACTGCTGTTCTTTGAGAGTACCAGAATACAGTTGAGTTTGAAAGTAGATAATGCTGTATATCTCCTCAAAGAATAACACATATCATCATTAAATTGCTAAGGGCACACCTCACTTCTGTGAAACTTCCTCTTAAGTTAATGTCGAAATTGAACATTTAATAGTACAGTGCCTAATTTTGGAATATTTGGAAATAATCTTTGGGCTGGGGCTATAGCTCAGTGGTAGAGCCCTTAATACACACAAAGCCATTCATTCAGTCCACGGTGTGGATGGAGGGAAGAAGGGAAAGGAAGGTTAATTCTCAAATGAAATCATGCTCTTATTTTCTACAGTTAAGTGAGAGACTGAAGCTTGTCTAGGTCATGGTCTTTCTCTCCAGCAAGGCACAGAGGGGATACTGGAGAAACTGTAACCAGAGGAAGCATGCTTTATAACTGGTCTATACCAGTGGTTGTGATGCCATGCAGCATGCTGCAGCAGGCTGTTGTACCATTGAGAATTCTAAAAAGTTCACCATCGCTCGTCTGTATATTCATTTTGCTGCTTTAAAAATCTCGTGGACATCATTTTTGATGTCATTATGTGGCCCAAAGTTTTCTTCATTGTTATGTCTATACTTTTAGACTTTTATGTCTAGACTTTCATCCTATGACAGGCAGTTACTGGGTCTTTTTTCCTGGTTCTTAAGCAATGAATCTCTGCTCTGAAACATTTTCTTAGGATACTGACATTCCTTGTTTAACACTAAATGAGAAATTGTATACAGTATATATATTATAATATTCAGAACAATGAAATGGTCAAAGAAACTCCACCTTGATGACTTTGCTTTTATTTGTATAACTCCTCCATGCAGTAATATAATGTGTAACAATATAAATTTATAATACCATAAAGTACAATCAGCAAGAATTATGATACTGTATAAAGAAGGTATACTGTACAGAAATGATGTTAAGGCTCTAATAACAACATGCACAAGAACTATACAAAAAAAAAAAAGAGATGGTTTGTAAATCCAAGTGGTGAGTTATAAGTTTTAACAGTTGTTGAATGGGTAGATTGTTAAATGAGTTATCTCTTTAATAGTGTATTATTACCAGAAACTTGGTAACTAATGTAGAATAATTTAGAAGGCATAGGCATACATTCCAGGCTGTCATAAAAAGATTGTGACAGCCCCAAATCATTACGCATACAATTTCAAATATGTTGACAGTTGTTAGTGTGTGATTAGTAATTAAAGGATAAATTCAGATGGAGAATAAATATTCAACTTCTTCATGGTCAGCATAAGTGGCTTTGTGCAAACGTTTTACTCTGTAGTTTGACTACATTAGAAACTTTAAAAACAGCAAATGATTTTTGAGCTCACGATCCCTGCAGACTTGTAGCATCTGCAGAGAAGAACCAACTTCTGTCTTGGGTAGGGTAGTACCTTATTTAACATTTGTGGCTGTCTTATCTATACTTCATAGCCCCTAATTATCATGATCTGCTGAAGTGTTTTTTAAAATCAGATTGCTGTATCTATTCTCAAGAATTTCTGATGCTATTGTCTTGTTTAAAAATTTGGATTTCAAATAAGGCTTACTTTATGCTAACAATGAAGGTTTATGAAAACTATTGTTTTAAGGTCAGCTCAAAGTAGTTAATCAGTATTTTATGCTTATTTTTTTCTTTAATGTAAAAGTTTTTATATTATAAAATAACATTTTATAATATTATGAATATTATATTATATTATTATAAATAATATATTATAAAATAATATTATTTTATAATAAAATATTATTTTTATATTAATATAATATGTTAATATGTAATTTGTATTAATACAAAATTTTTTATTAATATAAAAATTTTTTAAAGAATTGGAGTTAAGAAATTGTGTTTATTTGACAAGATGGAAAATATTTTCTTCTGACAAAGTATAGTCACAATATTAAAGCCACTTAAGTCTTAATGCCAAAACAAGATTAATGTCAAATGTCTTTTGCTCCTTAATAGAATATGTGCGGCTGTAAAATAACAACAAGATTAAGACCATCAAAGCCAGATGTACTTCTTGGAAAACATTACAGCTCCCTACCAGGTATAGAGAAGAAGTTCTTCTCATTTTACCTAAACTGCCTAAATTTTCTCTTTTTTCTTTCACTTTTTTGAGAATTTCCCTTTTTAGCAGTCTCCAACCATCTTTATTTCTTGGCCATCTCTCTGAGAGTATCGAGGTGGAAGCATTGTGATAGGTGCCGGGAGGGATATCAGTGGTCTGCAGGTGTTGGACACGCTGATGAAGTAAACAGAGAGAAACACTGATGTGAGTAGCTGGCTCAGAAGTTAGCATTTAGACTGCTCCTACTCTAAACTATATCTTTCTAGTTCACTGCTAGTTTTTATTGAAAACTGTCTTCTGTCAATACAAGTTTACTGCAGGAATTTATTTTAAAGAGTCTTAGAAGTATTTGGTTAAATACTTACATACAGTAGCATAAATATATGGCTATTAGAAGTGGAAAAGCTGAGCACCTGATTGCTTTCAGTGCTGATATGCTTGCTATGTTCAAAGCAAGCAACCATGGCAGGCTCCATGAGTTAATTCTGTTGCTGTTGTCATCATCATCTTTGCCATGTGACAATAGTGGAGTAAAAGTACAGTACTGACTGATGGCTGAGTTACAAAGACATAAATTTAATGAGCTACATTATTGTGTGTAGATATTGTATTCTGCCATGTAAGTTTAACTCTGGAAGTGTAGATTATCTTTTGATCATCAGGCTGCCATGAAGTTTTTATTTTTCTCTTAAAGAGAACAAAACCAAACAGAATAAAACCAGTCAAAACAAAACAATGAAAATGATAGAGGACTTCAAAACAAGGTAATAGGAAATCAACAATGGCTACCATAATACCTCGTGCTATCTTCAAAATAGTTACCCATGCCATAATAAAATCAAACAAAACAGAACAGAATAAAACCAATCAAAACAATGAAAGTGATACAAGACTTCAAAACAAGATAATAGGAAATCAACAATGGCTATCATAATATATCGTGTTATCTTTGAAATAGCTACCCATGCCATCAGATATAATAAAATCAAGTAAAACAATAAAACCAAAACAAAACAATGAAAACAATACAGGACTTTAAAACAAAATGATGGAGAATTAACAACGGCTACCACCTTCAGAAGAAGATCCCCCATTGTTGCTGTATTGCGTATTTTGTCCTTTAAATAGATGCTCAGACTACCAGCTTTAGGCCTGCAAAGTCCAACAATACAGGCATTAAGTTGTTTTTTCACTTCAGTATCTATTATCTCAGCCTGTGTTTCTCTGAATCAGCCAGTTGCTTATGGAGCGGAAGAGAAAGGACTGCCTTGGTACTTTTTGTTTCTCAGGCTGTGCGCTGCCTGGCTCACAGAAAGGCGTTGGCATATTGATTTTCTTCCCAGAACACAGGGCACCATTGGCTCACAGCAAGGGGTTGGCCTGGCCCCTGCCCTGAATTTTTAAAAATAATTCAAAATTCTTCTTGTTTTATCATAGAAACTGGGTTAAATAGGAAGATGTAGATTAAATTTACAAATATAATTGAAGTGTTTTTTTAATACTGGTTATTAATAAACCTATGGTAAGCATGGAATTTGACCTTTTTTATATAGGAAATTCTACTTGGCCTTTTGGACATACTAGATTATTACAACTTCTGTTTATTGATATTCCCTAGGCTGTCTTTAAAGGTACTGTGTTCTGGGGCTGATGAGAGGAAGGTGGGTTCCAGATTGTGTAAAAAGTTATTGTCATCCAATGTGGGTGTTACTCTGAGCTCTTCATACCTTGGAAAATGGGAAGTTTATGGCACTACCCCATTTAAAGTTTTTCTTTGATTCAGTATCTACTAGTTTTGTCAACCTGAATATTAATTCTAATTCTACAGTTTTATACAGAGAGGTATAATAGGAATAGAGACTAGGATAAATCTGAATTTTTCTAAAGATATGATCTATGGTCGGGCATAGTGGTGCATGCGTATAATCCCAACACTTGCGAGGCTGAGGCAAGAGGAGCACCATAAGTTCAAAGCCAGTTAGACTACATAATGTGTTCAAGGCCAGCCTTGACTTCATAGTTTGACCCTCTCTCCAACAAAGCAAAACAAAACAAGTGAAACTAAGGATATGATTTAGAAATTAATGTGTAAAAGCACTTCTCTTATTTTGCTGTCAATCATAGCTTTTCCTTATGAACTATAGGGAAATAAATTTTAGATAAATGAGTTTTATTTCACTTGAGTCTTACTTTATTTGAAATTGCAGCATTTTAAATTATTTTAGATTTATTCATTTGTAAATTAAGGGCAAATTCTGTATATTTAACAGTTACATTTTAACCCTCTTTCCACTAGGTTTGATAGGAAATGATATCAAATCCCTTCATTCCATCATTAATCCTCCTATAGCTAAGTAAGTATTGTCTTTGATACAGTTGTTCTTTTTCACAGATTATTGAGAAATGTTACAAGTATTCTCTGAATTACATAGGTGTTAATGTGTATCTCAGCAGTGATTTTCTTTTCTCAATTTAATGCTACAAGTTTTTAATGTAACAATTTTACTGCATATTTGTGATAGTAACATATAAAATATTTTTAAGATTTTAGGCCTTTTGTTACTCTTCTCAGAGTAAGGTGGTAAGATATACTCTAAATATATTTTCCACTTACCTCATTTTTTACCTCTAGCTTTTACTTCATTATATAAATTATAAATTATAGAAATACTGAACATATTTGGTTTTACAGTCTTTATAATATACCCTCATCATGCATGTTTTTCCCTCCTTTCAAACAGAATCCGTAATATTGGAATCATGGCTCACATTGATGCAGGCAAAACTACTACTACAGAAAGAATATTGTACTATTCTGGATACACAAGATCACTGGGAGGTTAGAATGGATTCCTTTCTCCACTCTATTAGCAGAGGACCGTTGGAAAATATTTTGACTAAGAAGTCAAGCTAGAGACCTTGAACACGGCATGGCGTCATTGATGTCTAAAGCACAACATAAAGATAAGGTAGTTGCAGCACCCACCAAAGGGTGCTTCTTAGATTCAGCTAAACATTTAGATTTACAGGACTGTCATGGGCTTCACTTGGCACTGGCCTATTCAGAAGGTGAAACAGAACAAGAAGCATAGTTTAGCAATAGCAGTAGATACTCTTTCCAAGAGCCACTCTAGTTTAGAATTACACGTTCTGTAAGAAGGAGTGTCTCATTATAATTCCATAGGCAGAGTTTCCAGGTTCCACAAAAGAGAAATTTGTCACATAATTCCAAGTTATAGTTCTTCCCATTTCAGATTTACTTTATCATTCAGAAGTTGTATTTTCCACATTAACATGTTGACATACTTCTCTTAATCAGACATCAAATTCTAATGTAGAAAAGGAAAAAATTGTATTAATCTTTAGCCCACAATAGTAGTATTTAACTACGTTTTTAATTTATTTTTTAATCATATGTAAAAATTATGGTTTTTAGGTAGGCATGCAAATGTTGATCCCTGTGTAGCTTTGTTTTGTTGTTGTTGTTTGGCTTTTAAATGATAATGCCCTAGCCTCACTGTGGAAATTAAGATTCAGAGGGTCTAGTTAATGATATGTACCACATAGCCATTTCTCTAGATCTTTAGAAGGGGCTGAGACTTAGTAGTTATATACAAAAAGAATACTAGAATTAGAATCTTCATCGTCATGGATTCCTAAATGTACAACCATCTGAATTTCTCATAAATGACTGTTAGGTGAATTGGCGTATGACATACAATAAATTATGGCACATTGTTAGGCTTTCTCATTTGTGTCATAAATTTAATAATAATCCTACCTTATTGACATTTTATATATCTGAAGTTCAGGTTATTGTGTTAAAATTTTTAATGTTTTTAAGTGTACAGGTCATAACATATTATCCACTTTTAAGTGTACAGTTAAGTGCAGATTAACCTTTATTCACAAAGCTTGAAATACCAGAAATATTGCAGATTTCTGGGTTTTTTTTTAAATTTTGGAATATTTGCATAGATTACCAGTTAGTCGTTTATAATCTGGAAATTGGAATTCTCCAAAATCTGAAACTTGAAAAAGTGATTTTAGATTTCTGTAGGCCTAGTAATTAGCCAAATTGTGATAGATTTTGTTGATCTCAGATTGATTTTATTCACTATGTAAGCTTCATAAAGAGATATGATATAAAAATCTTTGTCACTGAAAAATCTTACTTTAAAAACTTACATTTAGGAGTTTTGGTTATTTGGCCTTGATATTCTTAATGTTTTTTTTTTTTTTTAGTAGTTATAGTGTGAATAATTGGCAACATAGATACAATTAATACATATTAAAATAAATATTTAGAGTTGCTGACATATTTTTTCTTATTTCCCATTCTGGAGTTGAAATTATACAGTATATGCACATTATACATATTTGTAAATACACACAAACACAGGAGGAACTAGTTTTAGGGTATCAGTGCTGACATAAATAGTAGCAAAAGGTAATGATACTTTGCATTTCTGAATTTTGAACTGTTTCATATATTTTGTTGTACATAAATTTTTTTTCTTTTCTTTTTTTTAACCATACTGTGTCTTCCAATGTTGTACATAAATTTAATCAGGATAAAAAGTGTGAATCGAGAATTTTATAGAAGAATAATTTGAGTAAGCTTACAGGATAAAGTTTCTATACATGACTTTAAAACTATGGAAGAACTGTGGCAGTTTTCCTTAGACTTTATATGCATTCCTTCTCCTTGGAGAATGTAGTATTGAGCAGAGTTTGTAATGTATAATTTAACTTTAGAAGAATTTTTCTATACCATATTTCATGTAGCTGGCATTTATCTTCTGCTGGACTAGATACATGATATTACTTCATCCTTGTTACAAACTAGGTTAGATAAATTGCTTAAGACTATGGAGTAGTGAGTCGTAAAGTTAGCATTTAAATCTAGAACTCTATTCATTCTTTCACTATACTCTGCCAACTCCTAGGGGGTCAGGAGAGTTAATAAAAATCAAGCTAGGGAAAAAATGAACAATATATGGTTCAGCAAAATTTAATTGTTTTATGAAAAAAATTACTACTCTTGTCTGAAAAACTTTTTCTAAAATAAGGATTCACTTAGAAAAAGATTCCGGGTTCTAAATATTAAACCAAATATTTTTGCAAGAGATTTTTCATAAAGCAAATTCAGTCAGATCAGATACTTAGTACCAGTAATATACACTTGCCAATAAAACTAAAGCATGGCATCTTTTTCTTGGTTAGATGTTGATGATGGAGACACAGTGACAGATTTCATGGCTCAGGAGCGAGAAAGAGGCATAACTATCCAGTCTGCTGCTGTTACATTTGATTGGAAGGGCTACCGAGTCAATCTCATTGACACACCAGGTATGATGTTCCCTCACCAATACAGAGGTGCTTCATCATTTGGGGATTTTGTTTGCATTTTTCTTAACTGTGAAAAATACATGTCATAAAATTTTCTGTCTTAGCCATTTTTAAATGTATACTTCATAGTGTTGAGTATATACCCATTGCTGTGAAACAGATCTCCAGAACGTTTTCATCTTTCAGATCTGAAAATCTGTACCCTTAAACAGTTACTCTAATGTGTCCCCTCTCCCCACCCTTGAGAACCGTTGTTCTGTTTTCTGTCATTAGATACCTCATATAAATAGAATCATACATTTTTTGGCCTTTCATGATTGGCTTATTTCATTTAGCATACAGTCCTCAAGATTCCTCCATGTTGTAGCATGGATGTCCTTCCTTTATGCGGTTATGTTGTACTCCATGTATCATTGTCTGTTGGTATTCATAAGGGTTTGGTTCCAGCAAATCCCTTACAAATGCTAAAATTTGCAGATGCTAATCTCCCCCATATAAATAGATATTTACCTATTCATTATAAATATAGATTTGTTCTGAGTGTTTTCAGTTTATAATTATTTGACTGCAAATTCAGGACCCATACTGTGGAGGGGAACTGTATGCATCACATTTTGTCTATTCATTCATTGTGGTCTGTTTGAGCTTCTTCTCCCTTTTTGGCTATTGTGAATAGTGCTGCTGTGAACAAAGTGTAAGAGTAACTCTGTGAGACCTCCTTTTCAGTACTCCTTTGTATGTACCCAGAAATGAAATTGCTGGATCACATGGTTGTTTTTTTAAGAGTTTAAGTATTTCTCATGTTTTTTTTAGGTCATGTGGACTTTACCTTGGAGGTTGAGCGCTGCCTAAGAGTGTTGGATGGTGCGGTGGCTGTGCTTGATGCCTCTGCTGGTGTAGAGGTAAAAAGTATTGCCAGAATAAAGTGAGGATAGACTAGCATGATTGTAAAAGCAGTAGAACATGCCAGAATTAGTCAACTATAATCCTAAGATCATACAAATCAAATAATATCTAAAGAGAAGTTGGAATTTAATGTTGCGATGTGATCTATGGGATCTTAGATACAGTAAAAAGGGAATAGTTTGCTTTTTTGTAGGAAGTAGAAAAGTGTTAAAACTGTGAAGGAGTTGATTTGCCAAGTTACTTTGAAGCTAACAAGTTAGCCTGCCATAGTTTCTGGCCGAAGACAGAAGATTCCTGGGACAAGACAAAGGATTTTATTAGTCACAGAAATCATGTAGCTAGACTTTCAGCATTCTCTTGTGCTGGTTCTCTTAAGTCCCTATTTCTAGAAGGTGACATGAAGAGACTCCAATGACAGCTGCACATGTAATAGGGTTAAGAGGACTTCTGTGTTGAGAGAATGGAATCATTTTAAGCATTTTGCCATGAAGGAAGGTTATTTTCCAGGGCTGTAAGTAGACCTGCCTTTGGGACCAGGGATTTAGCTCAGTGGCTCAAGTGTTTGCCTGGTAAGTAAGTGCAAGGTCATGAGTTCAATCCCAGGTACCAAAATAAAAGAAAATTAAACCTGCCTTTGGCTCCAGAGGGAGACTGTCTTTGTCTTTCAAGGCTTTTTGCAATACAAACATCCTTAAAAATGTAGTCCTGAATAAAGAGGACTCAGTTCCTGTCCTAACGTAACAGGCAAAACATGAGAGATCCATGAACAGTTCTCTCCCACCAGTTAATATAAAGATTCTTGGGCTGAGGGTATATAGCTCAGTGTTTGAGTACTTGACTGGTAGGCTCAAAGCCCTGGATTTGATCTACAGCACTATAATAAATAATTTCTTGAATAAATTTTAGAAATAATTTATAATAAGCATTGCTAGCAGGATAAGTTATACCCTTTTTATAGGGGTGAGTTATTCACTCTACAGCTAGTGTCCCCTTGATCCTGTAATGTCAAGATTGTGTGACTATAGGACACGTGCTCTGTTCTCTAACCTTAAATGACTAATTATATCATTTTAATTAAATGACCGAAATTGACATCCCTCAAAAGTGAGTCAGATCACTACGTCTGGTGGTGCATGCTTGTAATCGCAGCACTTATGAGACTTAGGTGGATCACTGTGAGTTCAAGGCCAGCCTGTGCTATGTAAGAGAGTTTGAGGCCAGCCTGAACAAAATAGAAGACCCTGTCTCCAGAAAAAAAAGACCAATTAATATAGCATGATTTACCAAGAAGAATGCACCATTATATGTGTTTATCCTGCCCAAAATGGTCCATATCTAATTATGAGAAAATAATCAGAGAACTAAGTGAAAAGTCATTCTGAAAAAATTCTGACCAGAATTTTTTGGAAATTGGGGGAAAAAAATCTTTTAATTAAGAATCATGAATGCTTAAAGAAAAAACTGAAAACTATTTGTTTTTTGGGGTTTTGTTTGGGATTTTGTTTGTTTGTTTTTCTGTGTTTTGTTTTGTTTTTTTGAAAGAGTGTCTTGCTATGTAGTTCAGACTGGCCTTGAACTCACTTTGTGTCCTAGGCTGGCCTAGAACTCACACTGATACCCCTGCTTCAGGCTCTTGAGTGCTGGGATTACAGTGTGAACTACCATGTCCACCTGGGAAATTATTCTTACGTAAAGGACTCTACAGATACAAGAAAACTAATTTATGATTCTTGGTTGGATTCTGGAACTAAAAGTTAGACTATCATTGGAAAAATTGGCGAAATGTGAATGTTGACTTGAGGTATTAGATAAAAAACACTGTCAAATTTTACGACTGTAGTAATTATATTTGGCCTTTTAAAGTCTATATTCTTTGGAAATACATGCTGAGTATTTAGTGACATCTAAGAAGTCGATAAGGCTAATGTATGACAGTATTTATACATTACTGTCAGGAGCCAACCAAATCCACTTACACACCTGGTATTAGTTTGGGTGCTTTGAGAAGTAACTGCCAACATGGGGTCAGTTGAGATCATGGGAGATTTACTGGGGCAGATGACTGTGAAGATCAAGCAAGAAAGAAAAGTGGAGAGGGCATCATGACGCTACTGGAAGACAGGCCCGACTTTGTAAAGGAAGCAGGGAGAAGGAGCTCAGACTGCAGCATGGTTCCATTAAAGCCCAAGTAGCAGAGGCCCTTCTCGAGGAATGCTATGTCTGCTAAGAACAGGCCTGCACTGAGTCTTTAGTTGGGAGCAGCCCGCAGGAAGCTGGACATTGGCAGGAACATGTTGGAAGGTCTAGTGAGGCAGAATTGGGCCCTCAGTTTGCTCCTCTTAGGAGGAAGTGTGAGTGGTACATCTGCTCAGCCACCGCACCCACAGTGCACACATGCACTGTGGTAGTAGAGGCCAAAAAGTAAATGTGGCAAAATGTTAATATTTGGCCAACTGAGTGACGAGTACAAGTGTTTACAGTTCTTGTAACCATTCGATAAATCTGAATTGTTTAAGATGAAAATTAGGAAAAGATCGTACCTGGGAGCCACACTGGCAGGCCCTCACAATGCTGCTCACTTGCTGTGAAGCCTGACTGAGGCCAGGTGTGGTGGCACACACCTGTAATCCGAGCACTGGGGAGACTGAGGCAGGAGAATCACTGTGAATTCACAACCAGCCAGGACTGCATAGTGAGTTCAATGTCAGCCCTAACTTCAACGAGATCCTGTCTCAAAAGCCTGACACTGAGGTCTGAGATTGATTTTACCCTTATTTCTATTTCTTTGTAGGTCACTTTATTTCATAGAAAGGTTGTACTTTCTGTTACTTAATTACATAAGTTTGATATTCAGGCAGATTGCATTACTTTAATTTCAAAATATAATGAAATAGGAAATAAATCTGAATTTGTGAAACAGGAAGCTCTTGTTCTAGAATAAGGATGTTGAACCCTTTAGTGATGAATGCCCAAACTGCAACCCAGAACCCAATTATTTATCACAAAGTACCAACAGTGCCATAAAACCTGACTACGGAGGGTTCAGTTTAGGAAAAACAACTCAAACATTAATATTTTTTGTCTTAAAAACAAACCCAAACCATAGATTTACCATCACTGTTCTAGTGTAGTAGATAGACTTTTAGTTAGCAAGAGTGATAAAAGGAGTAAGCATTTTGTTCTTTAATGTTTTCATTCATGGAAAATTCTTAGCATATTTTCCCATGCATCTTTTATCGTAATCCCTCACCAAATTAATTTTGAATGCATCATGACATCAAGCTTAAATATATAGCTTGCAGGGGAAAAATAAACTATCTTCACAACCGTGGGGTAGGTAACAGTCTCTTGGAGAGAACCTAAGAAGTGTAAGTTATAAAAAGATAAAAATCAATTCAGTTAACGTTATTAAAATTATATCTGTTCACTAAACTAAAAAAAAAAAAAGGAAAGTAAGCTATAACCATGGGGACATATTTCTAGTGCTGAAGTTTTATGAGTATTTACCAAATGCTATAATAGTGTTGTTTTTATAGGAGAATATCATTGTTCTTGGGAAGCATTTGCTGGAACTTTTATAACATACATGTATGTCCAAGGACTTGTATCTAGAACTTATAAAGAACAAATGACTAGCAAAAATAACCCAGTTAAAAATGGATGAAAGACTTAAACAAATATTTTACAAAAGACACAAAAATGGTGAGAAAACACAATCCCATTAGTTGTCAGGAAAATACAAATTAAAATGACAATAAAAAGCAAAACAAAAAAATAATAGAAATACCATTTCACACCCAGAAGAGTATTAGTATTGATGAGGGTGTGGTGCAGTTGGGGCTGCTGTACGTTGCTGATCAGAAGGTCGTACACTACAACCACTTTGGAAGACTACTTGGCAGCTGCTTATAAAGTTAAACATATGCCCAGCAATTCTCTGATCCTGTACCTTTATCCAAAAAATTAAACATTCATTCAGCAGAGAGTCATAATGTTTATAGCAGCTAAATTCATAATAATAACCCAAATGCATGTCCACAGGTCGATAGAAAAACAAAGTAGTACATTTGTGGCAATAAAAAAATAATCTAATATACCCAACAAGATGTATGACTGTTTCAAACATGACATTTAGCTGAAGAAGATGTAGTATTTCTATGAGATTCAGGAACAGGCAGATATAAGTCAGAATGCGTTGTTTATGGAGAGTGAGAGGCATGAGAAAAAGGTATAGAGTGGCACAGTGTCCTCTGTTTTGAGTGTAGTAGTAGTTATAAGAATGTGTGTCTTTATATCAAAATTTATTGAGCTATACATTTAAAGTCTGTATTTATGTATTTTATTTATTTATTTATTTACTTTTGTGGTACCAAGGATTGAACTCATGACCTCATGCTTGCCAGGCAGGCGCTTATGTTGCTGAGCTAAATCCCCAGCCCTAAAATCTGTATTTAATAGCAGATAAATTTCACCTAAACAGCACATGGGCTTCCTTTCTAACTAGTGGCAGGACATTAGGCTTTTTATGCTTTGCTCTGGGGCTATTGGGTTCCACTAGCCACAGATTTGTTTTAGTAGATAGATAAATAGATTTTAAAAAATGGTTTTGTGGGGCTTTTTGTTGTTGTTGTTGTTGTTTGAGACAGAGTCGTATTATGTCGTTCAGGCTGGCCTTAAACTTACAGCAATCACCCTGCCACCTGAGTGCTGGAATTACAAGCATGTGCCATCACACCTGGCTGTAATTACGTATTTAATATTAATATAAATATAAACAAAAAATTAAGTTAATAGGTATGATTTTTATACCTTATAGATACTGGTTTCCTTTCCTTCCCTTTTAAATCCTCCTTAGTTTATGTAAACATTTAAATATCACAATAAAATGTGATTTTAGCAATAATAGCATTTTTACTGTACACTCCTATTCTTTTTCCTCTCAAATCAGTTGTCTGAATTAAGGCAAAAGTCCCAATACACACATCAGAAAACTGACATTAAATTAATTCACTGTTGCGACATGTACTAGGAAAGATGAAGCTAAACAAAATGTAGGGTTCTGATTCTCAGTTTAGTCCTCTTTACATGACTCTTGGTACATTTCAAGTGTTAATTCTTTGTGTGGAGCCTACTTCACCCAAAATACTATCAAATACCTGCCCCATTATGTATTTTCAGTTTGGTTAACATGACTGCAAAAGAATGAGCCTAGAAGTGTAAGTGTAGTGGAACTACTTAGATGATAGAATCAGGCCCAACCCCATGGTGTGAGAGATTCTTGAATCTATTCATTCTGTATCTAGTAATGTAGTTATTTTTGTCTGATGTGTGTATATCAATGTGTATATGTTTTTCCCTTTTCTCTTTCCTTTAGGCCCAAACTCTCACAGTGTGGAGGCAAGCCGATAAACACAAGATACCTCGAATCTGCTTTTTAAACAAGATGGACAAAACTGGGGCAAGGTATCTTTGGTTTATCAAAGTGAGCTTTTCATGGACTACAACTTCAGTAGTTATTCTAATTTAAAAAAAAAAAAAGTTACTCTTCCTTCTCAGGTATAAAATATTCTATGGAATCCTAACTTATTTCCATAAAAATAATTTCAGAGTAGCTAATCCTTAGGTTAAATAATAATTTGATATTAACACAAAGCTGGTAAGTGACAAATTATCCTGCATAAGATGTAGGGAAGCTGAATCGTGCATTGTAGGATCCTGACAGAGTATGTCTTGCTGATTCCATAGGGGTTCGCTATAGAACTAGACATGGTAATCTGGAAGCCCCTGTATTACTTAAGGGTACCATCTTCACTAGGGGAAGAGTATTGTTTCTCTCAGTTGCCCTGGTGAATGGTGTTTGTTCTTGTCCTTTGTTTTTCTCTAGTTCCTAAGCAGCAGGCTTTCAACAAAGGGAGGAGAAACTGTCCATAGTGAAAGACTTGTATATAAGACAAAAGAGTGAATGCATGATGGTTGACTTATAGAGTGATAATTGAAAGCAGATACCTTATTCTCTACATAATGTAGAGAACAAAGAATATGTGAAGGACTTGGAAAAATGTGAATTGGAGAGAATCAGGAATAGTACAGATTCTGGATGGAAATATGATAGGGCTAGATCCTGGTCTATGGTAGAATAGATCCTGATCCATGGCAGGAGAGGCAAAAACAAAACAAACTATTTTTTCCCTAAGACTACACAATCATATGTGTTGTATTTACTCAATTCTCCACAGTAATTCTAAGTCTGTTTAAAGAACTCTTGTCTTGATTAGAAAAATTTATGTCAAATTCAGCCCTAGGAAGAAAAGCCAATAGCTATGTATGATAATAACTCTGGCTAATTCAAATAAAATCTTGCATTTGAATCTTTACTTTATTAACTTAGGTGATCTTAATCCACTAACCTCATTGTTGACTTGCATGAGGCTTGCAATAATAATAATAATAAATACCCTACACTTTCATGTAAGCATTATAGTGGGTTTTTAATCACTGTTACCTGAAATTGTTATGAAAGCTGATTCAAGACACTGTCCTATAGAAAGTCATTACATGAATATTAAGAAGAATAAAGGGATTATTCTAGAGAACATGCTTAAACCTATTTTAAGAAATTTTGACTATAACCAAGATTAATTTTGTTTCCTGTAGTTTTAAATATGCAGTTGAAAGCATCAGAGAGAAGTTGAAAGCAAAGCCTTTGCTTTTACAGGTAAATTGCTTAATATGTCCCTTTTTGAAAGAAGTTGAGTTGTAAATAAAAAAGAATGACAATAGATATTTTAGGGGAAGTGGTATAGTTCAAAATATTGTTGTTTTTAATGCTCTTCTAAGTAAGCAATCACTTAATAGGGCTAATCTTACTCTAACTTGCAGTTACCAATTGGTGAAGCCAAAACTTTCAAAGGAGTAATAGATATAGTGAATAAAGAGAAACTTCTTTGGAATTCTAATTCAGATGATGGAAAAGACTTCGAGAGAAAACCCCTCTTGGAAAAAAGTGACCCTGAATTGCTAAAGGAGACAGTTGAAGCAAGGATTGCCTTAATTGAACAAGTAAAGTATACTTTGACTTTAAAATTGTATATTTAGTAACTTTTGAACATACTATATTTATTGTGAAACTTTATATAAAATTACATAGGGACTGTGTAAAAATAAACACCAGGGTATGTACCTCACACACACACAGAAAGTAGAATATTAGCAGTGCCCTTGAATCTGTATGCTACTTCTAGTCCTGTTTTTCTCCTGGTAATTATCTGCTTCCTGCAAATAGATACATATGTTTATGTACATACATATATTTGCGTGTATGCATGGATACATAAAATGAGTTTATTTTTAATTTGGTGCTGGAAGTTGTTGTATCTCCAGCTCCCCAATATATCATTTTATATTTATTTATTTATTTTTATGGCTTACTGCAAATGTATATATCCCTAAAGAACTTGGTTTTGTATGTTATGAACTCTAAGCAATCTTTTATTACATTGTTTCATATTGTATTGAAAATTCTTCCCTGTTGCTGTATATATAGTTTATTTTCATTTTTTTAGGTAGTCTTACAGTGTATGATTATACCACATTTATTGTCTGTGTGCTATCAGTGGACTTCGTGGTTTTTTTTTTTTTTTTCTTTTTTGCTATTGTAGACAGTGTCGTTGTGCACATGTGCAGGAATTTCTTGAGTATCACACTTAGAATTGCTGGATTATGATCTGCTAGACTTCTACCATACCAGATAGCAAATTATTGGGAAATGTAAAAATTTTTTAGTCAGCATATATCTCTGGGTCACATGCATCCTAAAATTTTAATAGAAAACAGCAAGATGTTAATATTTGTCATATTTGTATTATATTATTAGTATATAGAGCAACAGTAAAACAACACAGACTCCCTGAATCTTAGAGTAGAAAAATAATTTGATACTGAGCCACTGATTTTTCACTTCCAAATTGAATTGATTTAAATAAATTCTACCAGAATTTTCTTCATCCATCTTTTGTAATTACTTTTATAATTCAATTTAAAAATAAATTTAAATGTGGTAAATGTGGAGATAATTTACTATCGTAATCATTTTTAAGTACATTTGAGCAGTTGTGCATTACTACGCCTTCTGAAGCATTAGAATTAGTGGCCACTCCTCACAGTGGCCACTAGAGGGAGGTACCCAATCACTGTTTAAGGAGCTTTGGCAGAGTTAGAGACACAACCTGACTAAGCCATTACAAGGGAGTCGGATGCCAGAAGCTGGGCTTTGTCACACACACAGCTGCCTGGGGGGTGGGCAGTTAGATGCATTTCTGCAGAAATTAACTCTGTGTTTAAATGTTTTTCTCCCTTATACTATTACCAATTTGTGAAGCTAGTTTATTAATTTGTCAGCTGAATTAAGTTGTTTCATTTAGGCAGAGGGTTATGAATAGAAATTAGAAAGCTGCGTTTTTATTAAGTAATGCTAACACCCCTCATCTTTCCCTTCATTGTGGGGTTAATAATAACAAGATTGGTTCTGTTAATTACTTTCTTAAGAAAATATGGTGATCATTTAAAATGTTAGGTACCAGATGAAGCTTTCTACTAACTAAAACTCCTACAATTTATCTAAAACTGTTGTGTCTGTTAATCCATTATGTGTGTTATTGTTGGCTATGTGTGTCTTTGTTCATTTCTTTGAGCAATCTTGAGTAAATAGCCTTTTACTGATGTGCTTTATCAGGGTCTGGCTTTCTGTATATTTAGGAAACTCATAATAGCATGTCTTCAATTTCCAATTTCCTAACTAGATATGAAGAGATGTTTAACTTGCATAAGGAAGATAATGTAGCTCTCTTGAGAAATTTGAATAATGCATATTTGTCATATCTAGACAAATTAATAGTTATGCAAATACATGCTTTTTTTATAGGTTGCAGATTTGGATGATGAATTTGCTGACTTGGTTTTAGGCAAATTCAGTGAAAATTTTGATTTGCTACCAGCTGAAAAGGTAATTACATTTTTCAGTTACTTTGACAAAATTTTACTAATTGAATGTGTTTTGATTTCTCTGTCTTACTTATGTGTTTGCTTTTCTAATTTTACATACTGTCAGAATATACTGGCTTCAAAATTAAGATAAAGTCACTGAAACAGGTAATCAGTGTCAGCACTTTATTACTTTTGGATATACTTTACAAAATTAACAATTGAACTTTTCTTATGTGAAGCCAGAATCAGTTAATTGCTTATCCTCTGTAGCCCTTCCTCTTCATTCTTATCATTTTCCTGAGGATGTTTAGGGAAATCACAGGTAGAACATTTACTTAAGTCCAAGCTATCACAATGTCATTTTTTGCTCAGAATTTTTTTTCTGAGTCGGTTTTATGTTTGAGTGGAAACTCACTGTAGTTCTTTTTTAAAAACTTTTTTTTTTTTTTGGTGTGTATCATATGTGAGAAGAGACATGTAAAATACTCATAATAATTAATTATAAGAGAGGAGTATGCTGGGGACTTCCCCTGTGAACTTATTTATTTTTTATTTTCCCTTATGAAGCATAAGAGTTACCAAGTAAAGTGTGCATCAAATGCATCCAGCAAATTCACTTAAAGATCATTTGACAAGAATTAGAGGCTGGGTGTAGTGGCACATGCCTGTAAGCCCAGCACTCAGAAGGCTGAGGCAGGAGTTCCTGTAAGTTCAGGACCAGCCTGCACTACATAGGCCCTGTCTCAAAAAAAGAAAAAAGAAAATGTTGAGGCTTAGTTTTAAAGTCACTGGACATGACCTGTAGAAGAAAAACTGATTTTTTCTTTTGAATGAAAAACATTTTTTGAAATTTTTTCATATTTAAAATGTTTAAACATATTTATTATACCCTATTCGACATAACATGAATTCTGTTTTTAGTGAATTCACACTCTTAACCAGTTCTCATTAATAGCTTACAAATCTTTTCTTAGTTCTTAGGAGCTTTAAAATTTTTTTCTTTGATTTCTATTTTGTTTTTACTTTTAATTTTCTTTTGAATTTTAATTCACTTGGAAAAGTTATATTTTTATTCTTGACCAGTTATTTTAATAGCATTCAATATTGAATCACAAGGGTATTAATTCATTTATTCAAGAAGTTTTGAGCCCCTATTATGTCTTAAACCTTTCTAGTTTCTGGGAATTTAGTAGTATTTCCATGGGACTCGCTATAATGCTTATAGGAGTTTTCCATTCTAGTGAACAAGAAACAGATACTAAACAAGTATTCAACAAGCCAGTTAGTAATTAGTGTTATGATGAAAAACAAAGCCATGATGAATAGTGAAGGTGTGGTTAGGAGTGCTGCTTTAAAAGGGTGGTTAGGGAATGCCTCTAATCCTGAGAGATTCTGGTAGAGACAGACATACTGGACATAAAATAAATGTTCACTTGTATCTCTACCTGTAGCTGCAGACTGCAATACACAGAGTGACGCTTGCTCTGACAGCAGTGCCTGTGTTATGTGGCAGTGCCCTGAAAAACAAAGCGATACAACCCTTGTTGGATGCGATTACTATGTATCTGCCTTCACCTGAAGAACGCAACTATGACTTTCTGTAAGTGCCTAGATTAAATCCGATAGCCTTGACAAAACAGACAGGTAAAAGCAAGCAAGCCTTATTTTAGGAAAAGTAGTTAAATCACCACTTTTGAATAACAGTGGTGAAGAATATCTTTGTAAGTGATTCATTAAGAGCCATAGTAACTTTTACTTGAAACTTTGAAAAGTTACATAGTAACTTTTACTTTATCATTTCCTATAACCAGTCATATTTACAGATGGAATTAATAAACTGTAACTTCAGTGTATGAGTAATGTTGATCCTATGTTAAACATTCATTAGATTTATTAATATTTATATAAATTTCAGGATTTTTCATAAGCTTGGGGTAATTTGTAGCTATGAAGAAAGATCACTGTTTTACTCCTGTTGTCACTAACAGTTTTATTCTTGAGTAATAATTTCTGTAAAATCAGTGAGCATTGAGCAAATTAGCAAAGAAGTGGGCTTCAGTTTTGTTAGGTAGGACACTGATAACTTTACATCTTTAAATTGGAAAAGCATCATGGTGATACAATTAGGAAAATGTGTTTTGTGCTGTTATATTTAAATACCAGCACTTCCAAGTTAACATCTCCACCAATAAAATTCAGAGGATAAGACTTTTTTTTCCAAATCCATTTTATTCAAACATAAAAAGAAAAAGAAAAAAACTACAATAAAATTTTGAAGTACATCAATCAAAGGTAACATTGCACATTGTCATCCCCAAATCATTCACCGGAGAACAAGTTATCTGCCTTCGGTTGTCTAGACAATACCAGTACAGATCTTTCTCTTTAACCAACTCAGAGAAATTAGTAGTATAACTATTATTTTGTCAGTAATGAAACAATATGATGTTTACATGGTGTCTTATCTCACTAATGAGTATGTTCTCAAGGTGTGTCTATTTACCTATAAAAGTGTCTAGTTTATCTTTCTGTATGGCTGAGGAGTACAGAGAATAAGACATCTCTCGGGTTGTATAAAAATTTAGTGAGCTAACACTGAACACAAAGAATAGTGCTAGTGTATAATAAGCTCTTTATATTCATATTTGCTAAAGTTAAAAGTTGGAAAGACTAGGAATAAGGTTAGAGAATATTATGTTGAAATGTTTAACCTACTGAAGTCATAGACTTCGAGACTAATAAGTATGTTCTTTAGAAAAATGAATCTATGGACAAAATTTGACAATTTCAAGAACATTCAAACTTTCAAAAACTTATCAGTGAGCACCAATAAGAATGTTGGTATAAACAAGTTTAGGTCTATTCTGGAAAATTTTATAGCTATAAAGAGTAAATGCTGAAAAGTACCATTGAGTTCATCCTTTATAGATTTGACAAAGGTTATGCTGTCTTGATAATACTTCTCAAGGAGAGAACCCTTGGCTTTGAAGTAATTTGCAAGTAAAGGTAATAATGGAAAGACAATTAATTATTTTTAGTTTCAAAGATATTATCATATCTCTATTAAATAATGTAGTCCTTGGGGGAAGCAAAGCTTATTGTGGCATTACTTACTGGTCCTGGATAGCTGTTCTGAAGGACAAGAGGGATCTTCTCTGCAGCGATTCTGATTTGATCTGTATAGATGCATGGGAAGTGTATTCTATAGACCTTTCTGGAATGCCCTTTTATTTATAGGCAGTGGTATAATGGTGACTTATGTGCACTGGCGTTTAAAGTTCTCCACGACAAGCAGCGAGGACCACTGGTTTTTACACGCATTTACTCAGGCACACTAAAGCCTCAGTCGGCTATCCATAATATTAATGGAAATTGCACGTAAGTAGAAGCTTAAGTTATTTTCTAAAACTGTACTGATTTAAGTCCTTTACTAATATAAATCATGGTTTTATAGGGAGAAAATAAGTCGTCTGCTTTTACCATTTGCTGATCAACATATAGAAATCCCTTCACTAACTGCTGGTAACATTGCTTTGACTGTTGGGCTTAAACAGGTAAGTGACCAAATGACTATTTTTAAAAATAATAGTCTAAATGTTGAATTACAGATAGGTATTGTCTTTTTTTTTTTTTTTTTTTTTTTTTTTTTTTTGTCTTTTTCCTTTTTATCAGTACCAGGGATCGAACTCACAACTGCCTACTTGCAAGGCAGATGCTTTATGCCACCGAGCTAAATCCCCAGCCCCCAGATAGGTATTGTCTAGTAGCAAAAATCTGTAAATCTAAAATCAGTAATCAAATAATGAATATTGCAACCTATGCAAGCCTATTCATCAACATGGGTGAATATCATACATTTGATAGAAAAATACAGAACCCACAGTGAATTATATTTATATTCACAAAGTTCGAATCCAAATAAGTAGATGTATATTATATTTAATATAATATATTTATATGTACATTAATATATTTATGTCATGAGCTTAAATATTGTTTTATACCCATTGGGTTTTGGCCTATTTTGGTCATCACAGAAAATTTTATCTGACCTTACAACTCACTGGGAAATATTTTGCTGATGAAGGCTCCATAAAGGCAATGATTCTTGTTTCTTTTGCTCACAAATCTGTCTTGTCCATAGATCAATGCTTGCATGAAATAGACACTTGTAGTATGAACAGATGAAAATACTTGATATTGTGTCTATTTTAAGTGGGTTAAAATTAAAAACATTTCATGTTTGTGTATTAAATTAGAAATATTTTCACTAAACTTCGGTGTATTTGTCATTTGGGTAAACATTGTTAAACTCTTCATGGTTAATGATAAATCTTAGGATCCCTGGGTAGAAAATTCCTATACTCTGGATATTAAACTTCTGATGGAATGTCTCCTCTGTCTACTCAAAGGCAGAACCTGCTCCTTGTACATGTTTGAAGGAGCTCTACAAATGGGTTTAGACTATTGCTTCATAGGACTGTCTTTTCAGAGAAAGAAACTGGCACAGAACTTTATGATATAAAAGATCAGAATTAAAATTATAGTTTTAAGTAATAACTGGATTCTACTTAAAAGCTATCAATTCTACATGATCCAGGGTATCCCAGTTAATTGTGTATTTTAGTTTGAGAATTTCCTGTAAAATAGTAGTAAATTCTTAACTGCTTTAAAGTACTATAATGGATTTCTCCTTAACCTCTCTTGTTATGACTCAAAATCTAACCAGGTACATTGATTTTGCCAAATGAACTTTGAGTATGTGTTGTGTGTACATAGGTTTGTTTTATGGTTTGTTAGAATTTATTACAGTAATATTTTAGATAAAATTCTCACCCAAGTCAAATGTGCTTTCCCTCTACAAAGTTACAATGAGCCTTATGAATTTATTTTAATTTTTTTGGTACAGAGAATCAAACTCAGATTTGTGAATTTATTTCTCTGAAGTTCAGGGAGATAAAAGTGGCACATTTGAATTTTTTATCTGCTAGCTGTCAGTGGTAGAGGCTGTTTGGTTCCATGTTGTCTGTTTACTCAGACTGCCACTGGAGACACCCTCGTCTCCTCCAAGTCCAGCGCATTGGCTGCAGCTCAGCGAGCCAAGAGACGGGAAGAAAAGCAGCAGAGACAGAGCTGCGAAGTGGAGAGACTGCTCCTGGCTGGCGTAGAGATCCCAGAACCAGTGTTCTTCTGTACTATAGAACCCTCGTCGTGGGCTAAGCAGCCAGGTACAGGGTTTAGTGTATCAGTGAGTAAGTGTTCTGATGCTGAGTAAAATACTTACAGTTTACCCTCAGGGATTTCCTATGTGACTGTGAAACTGAATTTGAACTTACTGGTAAGATTTTTTTATGGTTGGTCTAGTTTTCTTTTTACTTAAGGTGTTTTTAGTTTTGTAAACTCTTGTATTTTTCTTATGTCTTGGCCATTTTTGTCATATTCTTTGTTACTCTTGTTCTTCCAGTGTTAGCTATGAGCTTACAAGTAATTGGCCTTACTTGTAGTGTATTAGATCAGATAGTAATTGATAGATCACTCAAGTTTTTCATATATAAAAATACCACCTTGTTTTTAGCCAACTTCTGGAATCCAGTGAAGAAATTTATATATTATAGCTAATGCTGTTTGATCTTTGAAGAGTTACAGAATGTCTCAGTTATTTTTCTCTCATTGTTGAGACAAAATACCTGACGCTAAAAATGAAGGAAGGAAAAGTTTTTTTAGCTTACAGTTTTTTGGAGGTTTCAGTTCATACTCAGCTGATTCCAAGGTAGGGTGGTGTGGCTAAGGAGCCACTGATCATGGTGGCTGCAGACTGCAAGAGTGAAAAGAGTAAAAGGGCAAAAGAGAAAATTGCACCTTCTTCCCTCCCTAATACCTGTATGCCAGCTACCCACCCCTGCACTGTTGCAGCACTCACACCGCCCAGTGCTAGAGAACAGAGAAATCTTTATTCCTACCCTGAGCCAATCACAGATACTAGACTCAGCCACCTCCATGATTGCAGGAGGCTTTGGGGGGGGGGTCACCTAGACACAAATCATAATACAAAATATGCTTCGTTTAGTATATTAGCTCAAAATTCTTCAGTGGCTTTTTATTACTGACAGCACAAAACCAGAGTCCTTTGTATGGAATGTAAAGTCTATGATTGCAGCTGTATCATTTTCAATTAGATTTGGTTACATGAAACAGAAAAACCCCTAAAAAGTGCTTTGATTAGAACCTAAGTTTTGTTTTGTTTTCTTTCTTTTCTTGTAAAAAAAAAAATCCTTACACCAGTAGCCTAGGTGTCAGAGGCTGGCTCCACAGAATCACTAGGCACCCAGGCTCTGATCTTTCTGCTCTGCCGGAATGTACTGTCCTATGATGACTACAGGAGCCTAGGGTGTCACTTGGAGTTCCTGACAGCAGAAAAGGCTATAGGAGGGGAGAAGATGTATCCCCTTCCCTCTGGACATTTCTTATGTCACTGACCAACACTGACCAGATAGGAGTCTGATAATTATCAAAGTATTTTTTTGCAAGGTTTAATGGTTATACTGTAATCGTGACATTGGAAAGCTGAGACAGAAAGGCAGGAGGCCAACCAGGCAATTTAGTGAGGGCCTGTCTCAGTGCTCCTTGGTCAACATCTCATACTGCAGAAGAAAAAAAAATAAGAGCATACCTTAAGCACCCATTGGAAAGTAGTTTTAATGTCTTAAGATGCTGTACCCTTTTTGCATTGCTATTTCCTTTTATCCTATTGTCTTTCATATTATAATGGTTTTCTCTGACCATATATGCCTGAAAAATATTGACTATTCTTTAGGCTTCCGCTCAAACATCACCTTTTTATGAGGTTCTTGATGAATTACTGTATTAGATTAAGGACAAACTTAGTTTCTCTTTCCTTAAAAACAAGTTGAATTTACAGATTATAGAAAAACAGAAGAAATCTTTATTCCTTCCCTGTGGCTTCTTGAAGGCCTATGCCTCTTGTTCTAGAGCTGTTGGGCTGAGTAAGTATAGGCCTGACTCAGGTAAGAAACATCAGGGGGCCAGGAGTGGTGGCACAAGCCTGTAATCCAAGTAGTTGGATGCTGAGGCAGGAGGATTACTGTGAATTTGAGGCCAGTCTGGGCTACAAAATTAGTTCAAGACTAGCCTACACTACATAGCAAGACCTGTCTCAACCAGATCAAAAATATGAAATGTGTGGACAGAAGGAGGAGGGGATGATAAGTCAGGCGACCCGGTCTATTGGGAGGGACTGGCACCTAAGCACTGAGGCTGCCCAAGACAGTAACCATGAGTTGTTTTTGTTTTTATTTTTTGCCATAGTGGAGACTGAACACAAGACCTTCACACTGAGCGATAACTTCAGCACCTTTTTAATTTCTTTTAGATAGGGTCTTGCTAAGTCTCAAGTTGCGCACCTCAACCCAGCCATTTTATTTTTTATTTTGAGTTCACTGGGCTTGAACTTGCAGTTGTCCTGACTCAGTCTTCCAGAGTGCTGAGATTACAGGTGTGTGCCACTGTGAGTTCTTTTAAGCATATTCATTTCATATAGATTGCAGTTGAACTGCACCAGCCACTTTGACCTTTAAGAACTCAAGCCTTTACCAGAAGTTTGGTGCCCAAAGATGTCTCTTTCTAGGGAATTAGTTCAGGGTTGTAGGCAGTGACATCCCAGGGCTCCTGACTCCACTCTCGAGCAGAGTACTGTGTTCCCTTCCTGTGTTTCCAGTGCGTTTCTCCCTCATCCAGTTTCCACCAGACACCCTCAGACACATTGCTGTGTTCACCACAGTAAACTCCCTGAAGGCGAGTCTATAAATATTTTGAATGAATATATTTTACAGTAAAATTTAGCAATATATTTTCACTCAGAAAAAAAAGGAGTCACATAGTTACCCTCTTTGGGTTTCTGTAAAAACATCTAAACAATCTAAAATGACACCTGTGAACCTTCATGTGCATATACATCTCGGGATTCTTGGTAAAGCGTTGACTCTGTCTCACTTAGCAGGTCAGGACCTCAGAGCCTGTTGTAGGCTCTGGGATCACCTGGGGACCTTGGGGCTGGAACACACTGTCCAGTGGAGATGAATGTGATCCACATATGTAGTGCAAAACCTCTTACGGCCATATAAGGAAAATAAATGGTGAAACTGATTTTAATAATGTTTTACTTAACCCAGCATGGCAATTTTCATATTGATAGCAAAATCCAAAATCTGAAATCCTCTGAACTTTGGTCTCAATCTGTATTATCATTTCAACATGAAATTAATACTAAAAAGTACTAATGAAACATTTTACATTTCATCATATAGAACTTTGAAATCTGGTATGCATTTTACATTTGCAGTGTCTTCCAATTCAGATTAGTAATATCTGCCTGTGGCTTCCAGGCAGCACATTTCCAGGAGGCCTGGTTTACGTGCCTAACAGCACCTTGGGCTTGTGGCTGACGAAGTTAGCTCATTAACCTATTGCTCACATCTTTTCCTTCGGTCATTTTATGTCTGCTGAATTTCTAACATCTTTATTGTATAAAGGAGAATATACTTACCAGTTAATCATATTTAAGTATTGGCTCCTAGGTTGATCTTTGTATAATATAATCAAATGATGTTTTTGCCTCTTAAAAAGAAAAAGAAACCCTTTGGTGACTTCACAGTGCATATCCCAACTTCTCACTGTGTTCTATAGACCTGTGTATGGTAGGATCCCTACAGCACATCTCATCTAGTGGTACTCTTTTGTTTGTGATGCTAGGTGTAATCCCAGGCCTCACAAGTGTTAGACAACAACTTGACCCCACTGAGGTACCTCCCCAGCCAGTTACCCTTCATCCTATCCATCAGTCTCTGGCTACTGGGTTTCTTGCTACTTTTCTGTACTTTGTACCACCATTGTATCTGAAACCAGTCTTTTTTGTATCTTTTCTAAATTGTTCTGGAGAAACTTTTCCAGATCATTATTAACCTCCCATCATTATTATGTAACCTCCCATCATTGTTATGTAACATAGTTTTATTCTCTACAAAGTATTTTATGGCTGTTTGAAATTTGCTGTCTTAGTCGCCTGTCACTGAGACACAATACCTAACACCTAAAACATAAAGTAGGAAAGGTTTATTTTGGCTGGCTTGTTTATTATTTATTTATTGCTTTGATTTTGAGACAAGGGTCTTTCTATAAAGTTCAGGTTGACCTTGAACTTCCTAGCTGACCTCAAACTTGCAGTGATCCTCTTGCCTCAGCCTCCCAAGTGCTGGGATTACAGGTGTGTACCACCACATTCAGTTTACTATCTATCTATTCATAGTTAGGCTAGCTCCAAGGCCTGAGAGCAAGGTGTAAAGCTGGGCAGAGAAGAGCTGCTCACTTCAGGGTGGCCAGGAAACAGAAGGGTGGAACCAAGGAAGAGACCCTACCAAGTCATTCCCCATGACCACTTCTTCCAACCAGGAACCTAACATCACCTCCTAACATCACATTTAGCTCCAGAGTCCTGTGGTACTCCCCTTCCAAAAGTCACCCCTTTGAGCACATGAATCTCTTAGATATAAGCCATAACATTCACTTTTCAGAATCTGTTTGCTGCTCATCTGTTTTCCACACTGAGACATACACTAAGTTATCTGGAAAGTAAAATGTAAAGAAATTGTTGGTTTTTCCCTAGATTTGGATCATGCATTGAAATGCCTTCAGCGGGAAGATCCCAGTTTGAAAGTGAAGCTTGATCCTGACTCTGGACAAGTATGCATAATATTCCTTAGCCCTGGAAATCTTCCTGTAACAGTAGTTGTGTGTATGTGTGTAGATATATGCATGTTTCTAAAACACTCAATGGGCTATGCTCCTGAAACAGCTTTTTTTTTTTTTGATTCATAATATAAATTTCTGATTATTTAGGTTGAGTGTCAAGCTAAATAAAGTCTACCCAGTTTCCTAATATAATTACACTTTGCACAGAGACTACCCCCCAGCATTTTGGATCCTCTGTAAGACTGCCGTTGGAGAGATTTGGAAATAAGGGTCAGGTTGAAGGTAAAGCCTTGAGCCTCTTACAGCAAGGCCTGTAGAAGCAGCATACTTAGGACGGAGGTCTGGAAAGTACTTAAAGGCCAGTAGCACATCTGACATGGACTAGAGTGATGGATTAGAACTGAGCATTATAGGAAAATCAGGATTCTGATACAGTAGACCATCAAGAAAAAAAATCACCTGCATCCTTTTCTTAGCAGAGCGGTGTTGTTTGTCTAAGATTTTAGAAAGAAATCCTTTAGAATACTGTTTGTCTTTATAAAGATAAATTAATGTAGTTAATCTAGAAAATATGAAATACTTTAGTTTCCTAAAATGCCAGAAAAATGCAGTCATTTAATTTACCATAAATACCACAATAATTAAAACAGAAACTTTTAAATAAAAGTTTATTTAAAACTTTTATTTAAAAGTTTTATTAATAAAACTTTATTTAAAAGTTTCTGTAAAAGATTTTATTTAAAAGTTTCTGTAAAAGTTTATGTTAAAGTTTATGTAAAAGATTACAGTATTTTAATAGCAAAATAATACCAAAAAAATAAATTATTGAAGTCCCTTTTCTGTGAAAAGTTGACTATCCTTCCTTACTTTTCCTGCAGACGTGTTCTTTTATTATGCTGTATTACTCAGCACAACATATTTTTCCAAATATATATGCACAGATATTTTTAAGTTGTTTGTGTTTTAATACATAATTTACTTTTCAATTTTGTTTCAAAGGAACTGTATGCCAAGTAATCATTTGTAAAAAATGTGTGATTACAGTTTTATTATAGCCAAAAGACACAAATTAAAGCCAGCCAAAGGAAAAGGACACAGCAGATTCTGGGAAGAGTTGTGAACGCAAGGCCCCCCTCATTCTCAGGGAATCTGCTTTGGGTACAGAGCCTTCCTTGCCAATCAGAGCAGCTCAGCCAAGCCTTCTGTACCCAGAGCTTTTACTGGGACTCAATCAGATAGTCTATGATTGACCTTTAGTCTCTAGTCCTCCCATGCATTTGGGCTGATGCCTTTAGTCTCTAGTTTCTCTGGAGTTCAGAGTTGATAAGATTTATTCCAGAGCCCATGCCATGATCACACTGTTAGACAGGATATTGGACAAAGCCAACAGGCAGACATTTTAATATTGCTCCAAAAAAAAGTCAGTTTCTTTTGCATGGTGGTTCTTTTGCAGACCTCCAACTATCCTGGAGGTTTTGATTTTCCAAAAAGTTAGAGGGTGGTTAGGAAATGCCTTGTGGTTCCGAAGTGTTTGGGGGAAAGATTATCTCCCCATGTATAAGGTGTTACCCTCAGCCACAATTTTAAGACAGCTGCTGCTTATTCATTAAGGAAAGGGCTTTAACCTCTGAAAGGAATAATACAGAAGTTGTAGACATGATTATACTCATGTTCTAGTGGCCAGAATTAGGCTTTATGATTGGGAAGTATAGTCCTAGTGAGATTTCCATTTGTACAGGTGATATTTGAGCTAATAAGAGAGTTTTCAAGTGACTTTATTTTAATTGATTTATCCCAGTCAGAAAAGTAAATGGGGCTAGATATAGAAGCCTACCCACCCCCCAAAAAAACTGCAAAAGAAGCTGTTTATAATTAATGAAAAATTACTTAAATGGATACATTAATACCATACCTTTATACAATATTTTGCATGAGTGTAATTTTTCCTTTGGTATTTATTTTCCTCCGCTTCTAACTAGACTGTGCTGTGTGGTATGGGGGAATTACATCTTGAGATTATTCATGACCGAATCAAGCGGGAATATGGCCTGGAGACCTATCTGGGACCTCTCCAGGTGGCATACCGAGAGACCATCATGAGCTCAGCTCGTGCCACAGGTAAAACACAAGACTAAGACCAACACCATGAGCTTACTGATTGCATTTTTGCCAGTGATGACACTATAACAGTTTTCCAGAACAAATCTTTGAGGTGCCATGTTTAATTTGTATTTTAGATACCTTAGACAGAACTTTAGGAGACAAACAGCATTTTGTGAGTGTAGAATTGGAAGCAAGGCCAGGAGAGACACCATCTGTCACACCAGTGATTGAGTATGCCAAAAGTGTCAGCAGAGACCTGTTAAAGGACTCCCAAGAGGCTGTTGAAAATGGAGTTCACAATGCATGCCTCCAAGGTGAGAGGTCAACCCGGGGGAGTATAACAGCCCACTTGGCCACTGAATCAGTGTGTGTGGCAACGTACTATGTAAAGGTATGTTAATATATCCATCCATTTAAGTAATTTTTTATTATAAACTGAGCTGATGTTGTTTCATTTTGTTTGGGAGAGTGGGCTCCTACTTTCAGCACTATTTAGTTTTCTATTTGGGATAAATCAATTACAAGTGCACAGGCCAGGGATTAAACCCACAGCTACATTTCCAGCTTCCTAATCATTTTGGTATTACAGATCATTTCCATCTTTTCCTGACTTCACTTGTGCATTCTCCTACTGCTTTGTACCTATATACCTCACTACATACTGAACCCTAATACAGTGTTTTTCTCTTGCACAGGACCACTGCTTGGATCCCCCATTCAGGATGTGACAATTACTTTACATTCACTGGTAATTCATCCTGGTACCTCTGCAACCATGATTTCTGCCTGTGTCTCAAGATGTGTACAAAAGGTACAGGACTGGGGGCTGAGGATTTAGCTCAGCGGCATAAGCACCTGCCTTGCAAGCAGGCGGTCGTGAGTTCGATCCCCAGTACTGATAAAAATGAAAAAGACAAAAAACAAAAACAAAAGGTACAGGACTATAGTTCTAGTCCTACTTTTGTTTTTAGGCAATTGTACTGCATGGAGCACCACTGACCTCACAGACACTGTACATATAGTATAGCCTGTGTTTCTATCCTTGCCTCCAGTCTTACGGCCAGCAACAGTTCTTAGCCTGAATGATCTTAGACATCAGTGCTCACACAGATTGCTGTTAAAATACCCTCTAATTTTGACAGAGGTGTTTCCTTCAGTGGTGTCTGTGCTTTCCACATCCCAGTCATATCCATTAGAGGCAAGCCTAGTAGGTTACAGAAAGGGTCAGCTTGGCCCTGGTCTATAATCTGAAGGACACTGATGATCTAGTGTTGGCTCTGGCTTTAGAGTTTATGTTGATTCCCATAAGACTGCTTTCCTTAAGAAACCATCTGAGTCCCACTAAGCATCAGACTCAGGGCAAGTGTCTTTGCTCCTTGAAGCATCAAGCATGTGGTGTTGGTTTGGGTTCCTGGGGAGAATTACTTTGAGTATCATGGACTCTGCTTCCTCCCTTAGTGATACTCAGGGCTGGATTGACCCCCAGGAATGTGGCATGCTAACTGCTGACCCCAAGCATCCTTCTCAGTGTGAGAATATCCTAGTCTCATGGGTGATTGATTTTACATAAGAACATTTGGTTTTACAACTGTTTTCTAATACGTGGGCTGATTTTGAGATCGTTTTTTGTAGTCTTATTTAAATCCATAATCATAAACATCTCAGCCCTTGAATTAAGCTGAACTGTCTTTTTCATAGGAGTTCAAATTCATATCTTTTTGTTGATGCTAGGATTGAACACAGAACACATTAAGAATATAGCCATGACCCCAGCATTTGAAAGGCTGAGGCAGGATTACTGTAAGCTCAAGATCAGCCTGGACTACATAGTGAGTTCAAGGCCAGCCTGAAAAGTCTCTATCTCAAAAAAAAAAAAAAAAAAAAAGCTGTGTCACTTAACCATACCTATAGCTCACAGATCCATACTCGAGGTTTTCTGATGAAAACAGAGAACAAAAAAACTGCTTTGAAGAAAGTAATTTTTATTGTTCACCTATGATAGTTAGAAATACCACCTGTAGTCATTACTATCTTGAGACCACTTTTTCTCCTGATACTGGTTTTAATATTGAAATAAGAACCCAAAAGATGTTTCTAAATTCAAACTCCACTTTGTTTAGGGACTGAACACACAACCTCATGCCTGTCTAGCAGGCACTTGTATCACTGAGCTGAATCCCCAGCTTCAAACCCCAGTATTTTGACTTGCAAAATACACAATTATACCTTTTAAAAAGTCAAATTAGCTGAGCATGACGTACATGCCTAAAGCCCAGCACTTGAGAGGCTGAGGCAGGAGGATCACTGCAATGTCAAGGCTAGTCTGGGCTACACAGAGAGTTGAAAGCCAGATTGAACTGCATGGCAAGACCCTGTTTTAAAAAAAATTCAAAGAATTTGATTGGTTAGTCTTTTTAATAAAATTATACTAACAAATGAGGATTAATTTTGTGAGGCTAAAATGTTTAGTCATTAGTCTTAATTCATTACTTTAAACAAAGTACTCCTAACAGAGTTCTCTTGCCTACTCCTCATGTAGGGACAACTACCTTTTTTTCTGCTTATGAGATGCTCATGGTGGTCATAAGGTGTTGAGTCATTTGTGTTGTGCTTACAGTTCCCTGGGCTTGAGGAGGTCATAAATAGGATAATTGTGTTTCTTTAAGGGAGCTCATGATTTAGAAAGCAAATTAAATATAGCTAGATAGCCAAAGTATTAGAACAATTAGAGTACCATAAAGACTTGTGATTAGAGAGGATTTTTATAAATTAACATCCAAGCTATGATGATCTGAGCATAGGAAGGGACATTCCAGATTGAGATAAAAAGATCCCTTTAATTGTAATGTCAGACAGATAGCAACATAGTGAAAATAATGTCAGAAAACTAAATGCAGCACTGTATTGAGGATCTGAACTATTCTGAGTGAAGATGGAAGTACAATCTGAGTACAGAAGGGATCAAAGAAGGAGATAATCTAGGTCTGAATTAGGATAGCAGCAACAGGAATGGACACCTCACAGCTTCCTAAGAAAAAGAAGTCAGAAGGTGCATGTGAACTTCAAATGCCAGCAGGAGAAACAGGGAAGAAAAGTGTTGGAAGAGAAAATGCTGAGCTCAGCTGGGGCATTTTGAGAGCCATAGGATATTCAGACCCATCCCGAAGCAGGCCAGTGACATACATGGCTGCAGTGTAGAGCAGAGCTGCAGAACGGTGGCGAAGAAGCCTCGTAGGAGGTGCTGTGAAGCCCTGCAACTAGGTCACGTTGTCAAGGAAAAGGATGTGAAGAAAAAAGAAGGGGCAGTTCATTATTTTATCCTGAAAGACATGTTCAGTTGCACACCACTTGAAGATCATGTTCTGTGTGCATGTTCTTCTTGTCCTTTGTAGTCTAAGATTCTCAAAGTAGGGTGGATGGAAAAAGGGTTTGTTTTAAAAAACAGGAAATATGTATTTTTTTAAAAGCTCTTACCTCCTGGTTCCCCTTTCTGGCTCATAGCTGCTATTATGTGTAAGCAAACAGTAATGTTCCTGACTTCTTATAAAATGTGATCTCTATGGACAGAAGTCAAGCAGTAGGTTTTCTAAAGTATGAGCAATACTTCAGTTATTACAGATCGCCCTTTTTTCCATCCTAAAAATCTGACTCACTCTCCAATCTCTTTAGGTCCTGAAAAAAGCTGACAAGCAGATTTTGGAGCCTTTGATGCATCTGGAAGTTACAGTGCCCAGAGATTTCCTCAGCCCTGTGCTAGCAGACCTGGCACAGAGAAGAGGGAACGTTCAGGAGATCCAGACTCGCCAGGACAACAGAGTTGTTATTGGATTTGTCCCCTTAGCAGAAATTATGGTAGGTATTTTGTAACTGAAGTATACATTTCTTTTTGTAATAAGGGAGTTAGGTATGCCAGGTGAAAATAGTGACACCTGCAAGAAGCATCAGGGCTTTGATTTATAGAACTCATGTTAACCATCAAGCATTTAAACTGTTGGAGAAATCCAAAGATTGCAACACTGAAAGGACTTTGTTCCTAAGTCCTAGGACCATAAAGATTGAGGTATATACCAAAATGTAGCACGGAATCTGAAAGACCATTTTCCCCCTTCTGTGTATTTATCTCCAACTAGTTCTGAGGCCCATGTCACGTTCCCCACCCCCATCAGCCAAACTTTCTACAGACAGGCACCTGGGTACGAGCAGATAGTAGGAAGAGCAGAGTCGTATTCCAGTTGCAGGACCACAGAATGAATCTGTAGCCTGCTTATGCGAGGCTTTTCTCCTTTCCATAGTATTTTCATATCCAGTCTTTCCTACAGAAGTACTTGCATAATCTGTCTCAAGGAAGCAGTATGGCTAAGCCTCATATCATGCAACATCACCAGCTTTTCCTGATAAGAGTCAAATGGTAACTAGCAGGAAAGCAAACATAATGACTTTTTCATTGTTTTAGGGTTATTCGACTGTGCTTCGAACGATAACATCAGGGTCAGCGACTTTTGTCTTAGAATTATCTACTTACCGAGCCATGAATCCTCAAGACCAAAATACACTGCTCAGCCAGAAAAGTGGTACAATGTAAGTGTTTGGAGGTTGGAAGTGGAAAAAATGCAGCAGCTTGTCTGTTTCATTTTCAAGAACAGTTTTATGTACAAGACAAATACATTACTGTTTTGGTCCAAAGAATGAGATAAGAAATATGTAACTTGAAAACTGACAATGAGTACTAGCCCTTTTGAACTTATATGAGAAACAAACCTTATTTATTGTAGATGAACCTGAACCTTGTTCCTCTGTGATTTTTTTTTTTTTTAAGCTGCTTTCAAGAGCAGGAAAGATGCCAGTCTTCTAAAATGGTAGAAGTTCAGTCAATAAAAATATTTAATTCAAAAATAATCTAAATTTACATGATTTCAAAATCAAGTTGATTGTAGTATTGTTTACTGTGTCCCATTTTTTCCCATTTTTGTTTCGGTTCATTTTTTATATTTTCTTAGTTGCAAAATCCAACAAAAAGAGGTTGGGCAGAGATTCCACGTCTGTAGACAGATAACAAACACATAAGTTTCAAGATGGAGTTAAACTTCAGTCTAAATCACTTTAACAGTCATTTTCAGTAATTGTAATTTAAGCTATTAAGTTCTTTAAACTATTAGATGAATGTAAGACGTTTATGTATCTATAAAAAACATTAGTAGAAATCTTTTTTTAATGAGCCTAGGGTCTCACACATGGTAGGCTCATGCTCTATGACTGAACTGCATTCCCATTTCCATTGTTTGAGACAGGATCTCACTAAGTTGCCCAGGCTGGTCTTAAATTTGTGATCCTCCTGCCTCAATATCTCTGAGAGCTGGGATTATACAAGCATGTGCCACCATGCCCAAATATATCTTCTTAGCACTTGGATCATCATGAGTTTGAAGCCAGTCTGAACTACACAGTCCAAGACCCTGTCAACTTCCCATTAATATCTTCTTATAGGCATTACTCATGTATAAAAATTTAATTCTCAACATCTCCAAATTAAAGCACTATTTTTTTTAATTTGAGAAAAAAAAAAATAAAGGGTACAAGTTATACAGAATTTCAGAAAAAATAAACAGTAGGAAATCACTAGTTAATAGATTACATATTGTTATCTTAGGAAATAGTTGTTCAAGTTATAAAATTAAAGCATATAAAGTGGACTTTCAAGCAGTGAGACTGGAAACAGTTTTGTTCAATGATCCAACAAAATTCAGTAATATGGTTATCTATCTTACACACTTAAATACATATGCAATTATATTCTTTAGAGCACTTTTCCTTTCTTTTGTACAATGACCATTACACATTTTGGGTTTTATTACTCCCACAGTTCTTATTACTTTTTTTTGAAGAGAGTAAAACCAAATGTGACATATCAGAACAGAGTCAGTCAAATCAAAAGGATGGACATAATAGATAATGTAAAAACAAAATACTAGGTGATCAACAATCACATACTGCCTCTTGCTATCTTAAAAAGAATTGCTTATATCATCAGTTATAATAGAATTGAACAAAACAGTAAAGAATAAAACCAAAACATTGGAGACATTACAGACTTTAAAAGAAGGTAACAGTCAACCGGAATGGGCGTCACAATGAATCTTATTGTCTTTACAGTTGTTGCCTATACTTTCGAATTTGGTACTATCAAGCAAAGCAGAATAGAGGAAAATCAGTCCAAGCAAGATGGTGAGGGCTATACAGGGTTTCAAATCAAGTCAATAGGAAATCAAAGTGGGTTACTATAATGTATCCTGCTTTTTTTTTCCCTTAATTAAAAAGATAACAATAAAAATAAATAATTTTTAAAAAGGAGACTGAGATAAAAGAGGGCATAACAACAAAACAGCGCAGGTCAAAGCATAACCATTTAAGCAAAATAGTGTTTCACCACAAGATATCCCGACATATTTTTTCCATAGTGTCTCTTTCCTTGAAATCTTTGAGTATAACTTCGTATACTGTAGCACCAAACATATCAAGACAATGTAAAACCATTCAAGAGAATGACAGTATTAGAGGGTATTTAGAACCAACTAAGCACTATTTTTTTTGAGACAAGGCCAGACTGTATAGTGAAGGCCGGCCTTGAACTTATAGCAACCCTCCTGCTTCAGCCTCTCCAGTGCTGGGATACAGGTGTGTCCCACTACCCCCAGCAGAGCACCATTTCTTAGTACTTGAGAAACCATTGCTTAACATTTCTATGTATAGCAAATAAGAGAATTCTAGCTTAAAAAATAAGTGTGGTCTGACCTGAGCATTCTGCAGCGATGCTTTGCTAGTCTGTCATAGGCATCAGAAAGGTCTGTAACATTCTTGTCACTCCAGAGTCTCTCACCAACAGCACTTGCTCTAGGCCTAAAATTGAAACCAAAGGAGTTTAAATTTATATTAAGTAAATATTTAAGTCTTAAGCTGAGGAAATTCTTAGGCTTTTTCTCTTCATCCAAATAGGGAAGCACTAAGGTATCAAGTGTTATCACTTCATTTCCTTACCATAATCTTGGAGTAAGATTAGTTGCATCCACATATTCTCCCCAGAGACAAGCTTCTCCACCAAGAACAAGTTTCTTCTGTTTGTCAGAACCTACATTAAAACCATTGAATTGATATACATTAAGCAGTTCAAGTAGAGGGAATAGTGCTTTACCCTTCTGTCTGCCTCCGAGGGCAGCATTCCTGTCCCGGAGGCAGCAGACCATTATTCCCAGCCCTGGCCCACAGTTCACTGCTTGCTGGCATGCACACACTAATGCAGTGGGATAGTGTTACAGATGCTTTGTTTCTTTGAGGTGCTAGGAACTTAATCCCAGGCCTTCTGCATGCTAGGCAAACATTCTACCATTAAGTCACTCACCTAACCCCTCACTTTAGTTTTATGCAATTTATGTGGGTACTCACCAGAATCTATTTTCTTCTAGTTCTTGGTAGTAGTGTGCCAGGAAATACAAGTTGGAATATTAATTTTTTTCTTTAAATGATCTTTGGCTGCTATGCTGCCCTTCAATTTCTATGTCTTGGTGTTTAAAAAAACAAAAATAAGGACTGAAGGCCTCATACCTTTTTTAAAAACAGTAATTATGAACTTTTGATCATATTAAAATGATTTATAGAGAAAGTCATCAATTCTCAGGTCTGTAGTTTTGAAACTTAGTCACAGAATCCTTTTTGCAAAGGAGAACTCATACTAAAGGCTGATAAAAACTGGACAGAAGAACTGGGGGTGTAGGTCAGTAGTGAACCACTTGTCTAGCATGTGCAAGATCCCAGGTTCTATCCCAAATGCACACTTGTGTGCACACTGAACAAAGCAGAACTATTAAGGGAGCTGCATGGCTCAAACCCTCCCGTCACAATCCCAACTCCCTGAGATTCCATGTATCCAGACTGTCATTATTTAGGTGTCTCCCAAAGTTAATACAAATACCTTTCACATGTAGAAAGCAAGTAACAAAACTGATTGTTGACAATGGAGGTAAAATCTAAGGTGAAATACTTTTTAGTTTCTTTTACTCAGATAAGTGCATGGTTTCTTTTACAGAATTAAAAATACTGACTTTAAAAATAAAATCAGGGGCTGGGGATTTAGCTCAGCGGCATAAGCGCCTGCCTTGCAAGCAGGCAGTCATGAGTTCGACCCTTGGTACCGATAAAAACGAAAAAGACAAAAAAAATAAAATAAAATAAAATCAATTGTCAAACATAAAATGAGGAATAGTTAGGAAGTGATATCCAGGTTAGATGTCCTAGGTAGGTGGTTTTAGGAAGAAAATAAATCAAGGTAATGATGGTTGTGTCTCTTACCTTGAAAATCAAGTGGCTCCACTAAATAGTACTTTCTCCAGTCTTGTCCATAGCTAATCCAATCTAAGTACCAAGGAGCAGAAAGAATTGCAGGGAAGCCAGATGCTGTGACTTGACTTAGTTTAGAAGCATAATCTCTGATTTTCCATACTTGAATAACTGTTCCTGGTAGAAGCTATTATTATTAAAAATTGTAATATTAGGGCTAGCAAATACAGCTGATTAACTGAAAATCTAAGGACCATAACTTTTTCCCTAAGAATTAAGTCACTGTATGTTTTCATTGCTATTCAAGTTCTGTCAGCCCTAAGATTGGTTATCTTTTGCCTGTACATGACACCTTGTAGGTACAATGAACCCAGATTACAATGTGATTTGTCCCTCACTTAACTTGGAACAAGGAGATCACTACCCCTTCAAGAAAGGTAATACCATACTAGTAGCTGGACTTGAATTCCCAATTGTCCCAGATGCAGTCTTCACAATTCTTACCTCGCTTTTATCATCAAAAACCTCTTGCCAAACAATGGATCTCTTCTTCATAGATGCAATAATATCCAAAAGCCTAGCATTGCAAAAATTACAAAATGATTTCATATTACAAGAGTAACATGTAAAGCACATTTTATTTACTTTTTCTTTTTTTTGTTGCTGTTGTTGTTGTTTTTGGTCTTTTTGAGACAGGGTCTCGCTGTGCAGTTCAGGCTGGCCTTGAGCTCACTTTGTAGCCCAGGCTGGTCTCGAACTTGCAACTATCCTCCTGCCTCAGCCTCCTGAATGCTGGGATTACAGGCATGAGCCACCATGCCCAGCCTAACACTCACATTTTCTCTCAAGGATTACTTGCAACATTGAGAAGTACCTTTCAGTATAACAAGGTATAGTGCAGAACCTGCAAACAATGGATGATGACCCAAAAAGTGCCTTTTTTCTGGCATAAGCATGGTGGTGACGGGTTAGCAGTCATTTGCTATGAATGCATGAGCAAAGCACATCTTTGCAATGGACGTAGCTTCAAACTGAGTAGGCGACTCAGGAAAGTGTACAGCAGTACTCTTGGCTAATTTTATGGGTCTTAGAACAAGAGAGATTGTCATTTAGCCTGTTCTATAGCACAAATCACATTCAACTGCTGACTGTCCACAAGCACTACAGATATTTAGGCAATATTAAACATTCTACAGGATAAATGAGAATGTATCATAGGAACAGGCACTGGTGCTGATAAACTATAGCTTGCAGTCCATTTTTACATGGTTACATTGAAATGCATTGTTTAAATTTTTTAAAAATGTGGGATTATAGGTAGCCCATGAACTATATATAACATAGTTGCCCTTCAGCCCTTTATGGAAAAACTTGTTACTCCTTAGTGTAAAGCAGCTCTGTCCAGCAGAATTTCCTGCCACGACAGAATATTTTATATATATATCTGCACTTTCCAATACAGCCACCCCCGATATGGGGCTATGGAACTTGAGATGTGGCTAATGTAAAAGTTTAGTTAAATACAAAGAGGTACACATGGCAGTGGGTACCATATCACACAGTACAGGTAGGGAGCAAAAAAGACGTTTCAGGAACTGACAAAAGGGAATGAATTCCAGGGAAGCTGGAAAGACCTTCTGAAACTTTGAGCTAAGTTCTTAAATGGATTACTTCATTTCTGTATTTTAACAGCCATTGCAAAATGCTTACAGTCCCCGAGCTGGTCACTTAAAGAAAGCAATGCTCTTCTTCAGTGGATTTTCACAACATCCACACTTTAGCAAGAAGTGGAGAAAAAATAAAGCACAGTACCAAATGATAGCTTAAACTTTTACAAAAAAGCTTGGATAATAGTAGAGCTACACAAGTAACTTACTTTTGCATATAGAAAGATTCTAGTTTCGTAAAATCTTGGCCAAAGCCTTTTTGCTTCATGAAATTTTGGATATCTGGATTTGATGCCCTTAAACAAAAAACAGTAATTAAAATTTCACTAATAGTTTGATGTGTTCAATCTTACTTAAAGCAGTACAGATCCTTAACATTCACTGTGCATCCTCAAACTCTTCAATGAAATTGAAAGGGAAGCAATCCTTCCTAAGTCATTCCTGGAAGCAAATATTACTCTAGTACCAAAACCTGAGAAAGACCCAACTAAAAAAGAGAACTATAGACCGATCTCCCTAATGAACACAGATGCAAAAATCCTCAATAAAATATTGGCAAATAGGATGCAGCAAATCATCAAGAAGATTATACATCATGACTAAGTGAGATTCATCCCAGGAATGCAAGGATGGTTCAACATACATAAATCAATAAATGCAATCTACCATATCAATAAAGCCAAAAGTAAGAATCACATGATCATTTCTATAGATGCAAAAAAAGCCTTTGATAAAGTCCAACATTCATTCATGATAAGAACTTTACAGAAAATTGGAATAGATGGTCTTTACCTCAATATAATGGCCATTTATGTCAAACCAACAGCCAGCATCATACTAAATGGCCAAAAATTGAAAGCCTTTACTTTAAAATCAGGCACAAGACAAGGATGTCCTTTATCACCACTCCTATTTAATATAGTACTGGAAGTACTAGCCAGAGAAATTAGGCAAGAGAGAGAAATAAAAGGGGTAAAGATAGGAAAAGAAGAAGTTAAATTATCATTGTTTGCAGATGACATGATACTCTACATAGAAGACCCCCTAAATTCCATTAAAAGACTCTTAGATACAATAAATAAATTCAGTAATGTAGCTGGATACAAAATCAGTACTCAAAAATCAATAGCATTCCTATACACGAACAACAAAATCACAGAGAGGGAAATAAGAGAAACCACATTCTTCACATTAGCAAGCAAAAAAATGAAATATTTAGGAATTACTCTTACGAAAAAAGTGAAAGACCTATACAAGGAAAATTATAATACACTGAAAAAAGAAATTGAAGATGATCTCAGAAAATGGAAAAACATCCCTTGCTCATGAATAGGAAGAACAAACATTGTGAAAATGGCCATTCTCCCAAAACTGTTACACAGATTCAATGCAATCCCAATAAAAATACCATCGACATACCTTACAGATCTAGAGAAATCACTCCTAAAATTCATCTGGAACCAGAAGAGACCTAGAGTAGCAAAGGCAATTCTAAGCAGCAAAGGCAAGGCAGGAGGCATCACAATCCTTGACTTGAAGTTATACTACAAAGCAAGAGTAGTAAAATCAACATGGTATTGGAATCAAAACAGAGCCGAAGATCAATGGAATAGATTAGAAGATACAACCACAACTACGAACACACTCAACCACCTTATCTTTGATAAAGGAGCCAAGCAGGTTCACTGGAAGAACGACAGTCTCTTTAATAAATGGTGCTGGAAAAACCGGCTCTCTATTTGCCGAAAACTAAAGCTAGACCCATGTCTATCACCATGTACTAAATTAAAATCTAAATGGGTCAAAGATCTGAATATTAAAACAGAAACACTAAATCTATTGGAAGACAAATTGGGTAGAAACCTTGAAGACATAGGAGTAGGTACAGAATTCATGAACAGGACTCAAACCGCACGGGAAATACTTCCCAGAATCAATAACTGGGACCACCTCTTATTAAAGTTTCTGCATGTCAAAACAAATCTCCAGCATAGTGAAAAGAAAACCCACAAACTGGGAAAAGATTTTAGTGAACTCTCAGACAAGGGACTCCTGTCTAAAATATATAGAGAATTTAAAAAAAACTCAGACCCCCAAAATGCAAAGATCCAATCCAAAAAAGGGCATCTGAGATGAATACGCACTTCTCAGATGAAGAAATACAAATGGCAAATAAATACATGAAAAAATGTTCATCATCATTGGTTATTAGGGAAATGCAAATTAAAACCACACTGAGATTCCATCTTACTCCTGAAAGAATGGCCAGGATCAAGAAAACCATCAACAACAAATGCTGGAGAGGTTGTGGGGAAAAAGGAACTCTCCTACACTGTTGGTGGGAGTGTAGACTGGTACAACCTTTGTGGAGATCAGTCTGGAGATTTCTCAAAAACCTGGGATTGGAAGTCCCATTTATTCCAGCTATTCCACTTCTAGGCATATTCCCAGAAGAACTGAAAGCATCATACCACAGTGATATATGCGTACCTATGTTTATAGCAGCACAATTTGTAATCGCCAGATCTTGGAAACAACCCAAGTGTCCATCAACTGAGGAATGGATAAAAAAGTTGTGGGTATTTCTATACAGTGGAGTATTACTCAGCTATAAAGAAGGATCACATTGAGATATTTATCAATAAATGGGCGCAGCTTGAGACCATACTCATAAGTGAAATAAATCAATCTCACATGTGTGAATACCGAATAGTTTCCCTAATGTAAGTAATGATTCAAATATATAAAAATATGTGGTAATCATGATTCTCCATTATGTGACCTTGAAGCCTTATAAAGTTTTCACTTATTAATTGGAAAGGCTTTATTCCGGGCTTCTTGATATGGAAATATTTGAAGCTATAGTATATGAAGTTTTATTCAAATATTTCAAGGAAAAAGACAGACACTATGGTAACTACTATTAAGTCGGGTTATTTGGTGGTGAAGCACTAGGTTGCTGTAACAGTCATGCTTTGACCTGTATTGTTATATTGTTATGTCCTCTTTTATCTCAATCTCTCCCTTATTCATTAAAAAAATTATTTTTATGGTTTTTTTTAATTAAGGGGAAAAATTTTAAAAATTAGCAGGATATATAATAGTAACTTTTTTTGATTTCCTATTAACTTGTTTTGAAGTCCTGTAATACTCCCACTATCTTGTTTTGATTGATTAGACTCTGTTCCATTCTGTATGATAGTATCAAGTTTGAGGGTATAGGCAACTACTTTGAAGGCAATAAGATTCACTAAGATGCCCATTCTGGTTTGACTATTGTCTCCTTTGGAAGTCCTATAATGTTTACAATGCTTAAGTTTTATTGGTCTTGTTCTCTACTGTTTTGTTCAACTTTATAATGCCTAATGAGATAGACAATTCTTTTTAAGGAAACAAGAGACATTATGGTAACCATTGTTGATAACCTTGTACTCTGTTTTTACATCATGTGCTATGTCTATCCTTGTTGGTTTGACTGACAGCTTTGTTTTGCCATATTTGACTTTATTCTCTCCCCCAAAAAAAAGTAATAAGAACTAAGGAGTAATAAAACCCAAAATGTGTAAATTTTGTTGTAAAAAAGAGAAGGAAAAAAAGTGCTCTAAAAGATACAACAGCAAGTGTGTTTAGGGGTGTTAAATAGCTGACCATATTAATGTTTTTGGTTGGATCATTGAACACAACTGTTTGCAGTCTCACTGTTTGAATGTCCACTTTGTATGCTTTGATACTGTGACTTGAGCAACTATCTCTAAGATGATAATATGTAATCTATTAACTGGTGATTTCTTACTTTTTTTTTTTTTTTTTTTTTTTGTAGTTCTGTATTACTTGTACCCTTACACCGCTTTGTTTTGTTTTGTTTTTTCTCTTTTTCCTTTTAAATAAAATTTTTAAAAAAATTCACTGTGCAGACTTAACTAGTAGTTTTTAATTTTTAAAGAGAATAAAACTAAACAAAATGAAACAGAATAAAGCCAACCAAAACAAAACAATAGAGGACTTCAAAACACGAACTAGCCTAACATTTTGTGGGGTGCACACAACAGGATGAATGTCATACAATGACATTCACTGTAAACATGCACTAAATAAAAATAAAAGCATTATCTTGATTTCCATTGCAATACATTTTTTCTGGAAGCCGATTTCTCATTTTAAAGTCTTTTCCTAACCAAACCTATGTCTCCAATCTAAGGCTATTTGCAGAGCCTAATAATTTTTCTCTGAAGAATGTCCCCCATTTAATCCTTGCCCTCTTTCACTAAAGATGTTCTCATTTGCTATAGTCTTTTTTTTAATCTCTTTTATGAGTCTTGATTCTCCTTCCAAACTTCAGCATACCCCTCAGATGTGTATCTTGCATGGGAGGACTTGTGTCACCCAGCTGAAACTCTTACAAGCCAAGTTGTTACCCCTAATCTTCCCTTTCCCCTGGAGCCCTCTACACCTACTTCAGCTGCAACAGTTTAAAAGAAATAAGTGTTTTGGAATCATCATACCAACAATTAAATTCCACTTCATCTCCTCCCAAATGAATGAACTGATCTGGAAACACTTTACTGATTTCTTGGAAAAGCATAGTGAGGAACATGTAAGTTGTATTTAGCATAGGGTTGATAGGCCCATCACTGTCTGTGGGTATTTTTCCACTGTAACATTGAGTCAGAAGGTCTTTCTGACCTAGAAGAAAAACAAAGATTTTTAGAAAAGGGTATTTATCACAAAAAACAGGCTTTGCACAAATGCTATAGATACTCCTCTCCACTTAGGATGGTGTCATATCCTAAACCCCACTGTAAGTTGATAATGTTCTAAGTCAAAAGTGCACTCAACACACCTACCAAACAGCATAGGCTCAGCAGCACAATACACTATCGAGCGGTGGTGGCGAACCTGCAGCACACATGCTGTAGCAGACTATCATCGAAAGCTCTACAAGGTTCACCACCACTGCTGTACTATGTGGGTCATTCACTCTCATGATCATGTGGCCGGCTGGGAAGTGGGCTCCTAAAGCCTTTTCTACTGTGTCTCACTCCCACATGCACCGGCCTGGAAAAGATCAAAATGCAGAGAAAGGCTTATATTGAGTACATGTCACTTTGACACCATCATAAAATCAAAGTCTTATGTGGAACCACTGCATGTCAGAGCCATCTGAACTTTATTTTGAAGCCGTAAGAAATCTTATGCCAGGGCCTGGGATTTATAGTTCAGCAGCTCAAGCACTTGCCTGGTAAGCACAGGTCATGAGTTCGATTCCCAGTACCAAAAAAAACAGAAAAGAGATCTTATGCAGAAAACATAAGCATGTTTGCCATGAGTTACTTTGGTCATTTCTTTCAAGTTATCCCAGCAAAAATTTTTACCAAATACGGTTTCTTTTTTCATTCAGCCTCAGATTTTATCCATTTCAAATGTCAGTGACTCCCAAATCCTCAGATTACCCAGGCTCTCTTTCTCGAGCTTTAATCCATCTATCAAGTTCTTTGCTTGCAACTACAAGTCCTAGCAGCACTTGGGATATGATCTAACAAAAGCCAAAGTTTCTGCTTCCCCCAAGCTCCCTTCTCTGCTTCTACTGCATTCTTTTAAGAATGTCACCAAACTCCCTAGCTTTTCCTCCTTCTGGAGCGAGTCAGTTGCCATATTCTTAAAATGTCTCGGGGCTGGGGGTTTAGCTCAGCAGCATAAGCACCTGCCTTGCAAGTGTGCGGTCGTGAGTTCGATCCCTGGTACCGATAAAAACGAAAAGACCAAAAAAAAAAAAAAAAAGTCTCTTGGTTGTCTATTATTTTTCAATCCTGTTTCACTCTCTGGGTCCAGGATTTCAGTCTCCTTCCCCTTCAACCAATCACTTTCGCAAAGATTTTCCCCAGCTGTGACTCCCATCATGCTAATCCCTCTGCCAGAAACACATATACATCCTATGATCTCTCAAGAGCAGCATTTTAGTGTTACCTCAGCCATGAAACCTGCTTCTGAATTCCATTATTCTACTTGTTGAAATCATTTTTTTTTCTTTTCTCTTTCTCTTGGCTTTTATACATTAGGTGGTACCTAAATCCAGGGACCTGCTCATGGTGGACACATAGTAGTTACTCAGTTACATCTTTCAGTCCTGCTACTACTGTGCAAACCACAGTAAATAACAAAATGACGAGATGCCAAGCCATAATACACGGAATGGAGAAACCTTAGTGTTTACTTTTTGCAACATAAAACATGAAGTCCTTACCTTTTCCCCAAGACAGTGTATGTCCAGGGGTATCAAATTCTGGTATGACTCGAATCCCTCGTAATCGGGCATATTCAGTCACCTTACGGACGTCATGTGGTGTATAAACATGAGACAAAGTATAGCTTCCCTATAATATTCAATTTAAAATATACAAAGATTTAATCCTGGAAATTGTTGACAATTCTTTGATATCTGATAGCTAGTTTTCCTGCTGTTGCAATTATTAAATAGTCCCATGTGGTGATTCACTTTAAAATACAGTGCCAAACTTTCAAGTCAAAAATCAGCAGGACACAAAAAATAAATTTCTACTAAATCACACATACTCAGGATGATATTTCTTCTGAATTATATATACACAGGATAGGCATTTGGGGCCTTTTGTCAAATCATTTTATCAATAAATACTTGGAATCTTTGGATTAATTTCAGATTTACTCACTCCTGTTTTAAAAGTATCTACTATCATGCTCTTTCAATTTAAAAAAAACAAGAGGGAAAATATTTATCTCTAAAGGGAAACTTTTTAGGCTGGGGGTATAGCTCAGTGGCATAAGCACTGCCTGACAAGTGCAAGGTCATGAGTTCGATCCCCAATCCAAAAAAAAAAAAGACATAATTCCCAGTGCCACAAAAAGTAAAATAATGTTACAAATACTTTTTTTTAAAAAGGGAGAAACTTTTAAAAATACTGGCCTTATCAATGTTCAAATGAAAATTTGCCTACTATGAAGCATAGCTTTTGTATTTCATAGCCACTTTATTATTACCTTTTATGTATTTTTTGCATTTATGACTAATTAATTTTAAACAGAAGCCAATCTTTTTTTTTTGTACCGGGGACTGAACTCACAATCTTGCGCTTGCCAGGCAAGCACTTAGGCTGCTGAACTAAATCCCTGGCCCTACAAAAGCAATTCTTAAAAACATAATTTCAGGGGGCTGGAGGTTTAGCTCAGCGGCATAAGCGCCTGCCCTACAAGCAGGCGGTCGTGAGTTCGATCCCCAGTACCGATAAAAAGGAAAAAGACAAAAAAAAGAAACATAATTTCAAAGTACAGTTATGCCAAGCCTGGATAAGGAAGTACAAGAATCATGGCTATTCTATACCAAACAGGTAAAAAGCAAAACTGATTCTATAATATATTTATACAAATAAATAAAATTCTATCTTCTTTTTCTGTATATATCCTCAAAGTTCTTACATAAATAACAAAATACTTCAGTAGAATGAACTTAAGAAAAAACTGAAAAGAGTTAAGTCCCAAGATTTATGCTTACTTTTTTTCTATCAATCTCCTGATATATTTAACCTAAGCAGAAAAATCTTTTCTCTGAATTAAGCATATAAGTTTCCATGTGTCTTGAAGACTTCTACCCAGTTACATAGTTCCCACATTGCTTTTGGTTTCCCATCTCTTCTTTGCTTCAAACCCCGATGGGAGTTTTCAATCTCCTTTTGGGCTTTTACGAACTTGTGGCCAGCAACTCCTTTAGCAGTTTTTACACCATGCTCTTGAGTAGCTAACTGGTTGCTGAGTCCCTCAGTTCTCCACAGCCTGGCCTACCATCTTTGCAAGGCCTGATTTTTCCACCTTTTTAACAGGCAGCTCAACTACTTGGCTCTAAAGTACTGAGTAAGCTCCTTCACTGGGTTTCATTTAAGGACTGCTAGCTTTGAGATTCTTTTCATCCTTCAGTTTATCTTTTCTGGAGCCTTTTTTTTTTTTTCTCCCTCTAAATGTTGAGGTTGAAGCTTTTTTTTTTTTTTTTTGTCGTTTTCCTTTTCATTGGTACCAGGGATCGAACTCACGACTGCCTGCTTGCAAGGCAGGCGCTTATGCCGCTGAGCTAAATCTCCGGCCCCTGAGGTTGAAGTTTTCTGTTCAGCATGTTTATGCAATTCTTGATATTTGTTTCACATATTTAAGTGAATTCCAGAAGGGCACTGTTTATATGCACTTGTTTCTGTCTGTTTCTCTAATGGTCCCACCCTCTTCTGTAAGTTATAATCAAGGTTCTGCGGTGTGGCCTCATCTTCAGAACCCAACTCAGTGTCACCTTCATTTCGGCCAGGAGACAGCAGACCACTCCACATCTTTTCTTTGAGCAGGAAGCCATTCACATCAGCCTCCTCTCCAGTACACTGGAGCCAAAGGAGAATGGGGTCCCAGCCCTGCCACTCCCGGAGGCAGCCAGACAGGCATGTAACTGCAGAGTGGGACACAGGATTGACGGGTGATGCTGAGGCGCTCCCAGCTGTGCCATTCCAGATTGGTCCATTTAAACACTAATGTTTAGCGCAGACAGAACACACAGTGCTAGCCTTCTCTACTTAATGTGGATTTTCAGGGTGAAAAACAGACATTCACATATTTCCAACAATGTAATCTAAAATAAAACTGCTGTGGACTACTTACTGTCCTAACTGTGTTATCAGTTATTCATATCAACATTAAGTTTAAAGTTTTAAAGGGCCAGGGATATATCTCAGTGGCACAGTTCCTGCCTGGCAAGCTCAAGGTTTTAAGTTCAATTCCCGGTACATAAATAAATAAATAAATAATTTGAAAAGAAATTTTTAAAAAAGAATGAACAAAAAAATTTAAGCCAGACATGGTACCACACACCTGTATCCCATGATTTGAGAGGCTGAGGCAGGAGGATCACTGTTCAAGGTCAACCTGGACCACAGAGTGAGTTCAAGGCCAGCCTGAAGGGCATAGCAAGATCCTGTCTCAAAAATTTATACCACCCCTAGAGATTGTTTACATCTTCAGTAACATTTATCATTATTATAGTAGCACGTGTAGTAATAACAGAAATATAAGTGAGGGTTTTTTTGGTTTGGTTTTTTTTTTTTTGTTTTTTGTTTTTTTTTGTATCAGGAATTGAACTCACAACCTCATATTTGTAGGCAAGTACTATGCCACTGAACTATTTCCCTAATAGAGATACAAATTTTATGCTAAACCACCACCTAAAAAAATTTTGGGGAGGGCTGGGGATTTAGCTCAGCGACATAAGCACCTGCCTTGCAAGCAGGCGGTCGGGAGTTCAATCCCCGGTACCGATAATAAAGAAAAAGACAAAAAAAAAATTTTTTTTACCACAAATGTAACTTTCATACTTTGGTTGTATTCATAAAAAAGGCCATTTAAATTAAAAACTTCTAATGAAGCCATACCAAGAATTTTGTAGACCTTCAGTACCATGAATTACTCACTTTATTGCTCAGCTGAGGAAAAGTGATGCTCTGATAAGGGAAAGACTGGTCGTCAACTATATGCCAGTGGAGAACATTGAACTTATTAAAAGCCATGGCATCCTGCGGGCAAACAGGTAAAATTACACTCCATAAACATCACACACAACCCTTATTACATACCCACATTTGGGATTGCTTCTCATTTTGTCTGCTTCCTTTTAAAAGTTCCTCTTTGGCAAACAAAGACTATGGAAAGGATATAAATTCTTCATCATGCAGAGTATACACAGGGTGTTCTGCTCCCAAAGCCTACGTGGAATGAATGTGTTCCAGACAGGAAGTGGTCAGCCTGCTCCCAGGCAGAGCAGGCTTACAATACTCCTAGTACACAGCATCTGCCAGGAATGGGAAAGTCTTCAACTGCTACTATGTTTGGAGAAGAAACAGGGAAAATAGACTCCTGATTTAAATGTCAAGGTCTGTAATCCCACAGCTAGGAAATGTGAATGAAAATCCTTAGAAATGAAAAAAATTACAAACTCAGTTTCCATCAAAATCTCCAGGGAAATTTTTAGGCAAGGTGACATACTGATTTAATGTATTCCCTGGAGAAGCAAACAATATTTTTATAAGACACAAACAGGTATTTGAAAAGTTAAACAGCAAGGGAGTAGATTTGCTGCACCAGGTAATCAAAACCTTTGAAAGCCTCCCTTCTTCGTTAGAGCTGAGGGATTCAGCAGGTATGATGGGAAACAGCCCCGTACCAAGGCCAAGGCAGTAAACACGGTCAGGAAAAGGAGAGGGTGCTCACTGCTGGAGAAAAGAGCTACAATATGAGGTAGTGATGGGAGTTGATTGGTGGTTTTAATACAGACCAGGGGAAGCCAAGTGTGGTACGTGCCCATAATTGCAGCACTCAGGAGGCTGAGGCAGGAGGATCATGACGAGTTTGAGCCAGCCTGGGCTACAAGAGTAAGTTTAAGACCATCCTGAACTACATAGCAAGACCCTGTCTCAAAAAGCACAAAAAAGATATAGCTAGGTAAACACATACACCAGGGATTTACAGTGCTGGATAGGAGACATTTCAGCTTTCAGGCCATACGATTTGTTAGAATTACTCCAGCTTTAGAGTAATGCAGCATGTAAACAAATGTATGTGGCTACAACCCAATAAAATTATTTGCAAAGGTAGCTGATGGTGATATTATGATACATGTTTTTTGGCTTTTGTACACAGTTCCTGGTTTGTAACTCCTTTTCCAAAGCAGGCTATGAAAACTAGAATTTGTTTTTTCCAAAGTGGGTCATAGAAACTAATTTTAAAGCTGGGTGTGGAGGCACACGCCTGTACCTGCACTCAGGAGGCTGAGCCAGGAAGATCTCTTCTACTTCCAGCCTGGGTTTTAAAGTGAGCTCAAGGCCAGCCTGCACTGCATAGTAAGACCCTGTCTCAAAAAGACAAAAAAAAAACCAAAAAACTAATTTTAACTCCTTTCTGCCCTGGAAAAACTATCTTCTGTGCCCTTGTCAGACAGAGTCACAGAGCCTCCTCATTCCAGGGTGCTGCCCACACCTCAAGGGGAGGAGAGCGAGGCCAGTAGGCACTGTGGCAGAGCCCCACAGGGCTTCTCATCGCTCTGTCCACCTCCTCTACACAGCTCCCATGCTCCCATCAAAACCCAAAGGACAGGCTCCCAAGGCTTCCACACTGCTGTACCAGCAGGTTCCAGGAGGGTGCTGTGCCCATGAGGATGTGGGACACCTTGACCTTCCATACCTGGCCCCATGCCTGTCTGTGTCCTTTACAACAGCCTTCATAAGAAACTGGTAAATGTGCTTACCCGGGTCCTGGAACCCCAGGAGAACCCGGCTTTGTACCTGGTGGATTGTAAACACAGGCCGAGGATCCTGGGCTTGTGACAGATCTAAATTCCTGGGAAACAGCCAGAGTGAAAGGCTGAGCCCTCGGGCTGTAGTGTCTGTTGGGGGCCTAGTGGGTGTGAGCACCCCGTGGTGATGGGCACACCCACAGCTCACTTGTGGGATTCAAAATACTGCTGACCGGTTTCTCCAAGAAAAGCCTGAATCCAGACTGGGATGGAGAGCTGGGCCTGGCAAGTCACATGCCAAAAAGGAAAGCTGTCCTTGAGGGCATGGGCAGAAGGAGCCAAGGGCCAGCCAGAAGAGTCCCAGCTGGCCAACACGGACAATGAGACCACTGCACAGGGAGGGTAACAGCTCACAGCCCGCTGAACCAAACAGTGATTCACAGTGATGAAAACAGTGAGTTCCTCAGTGAAGAAGGAGGGGACACTCACCCCACCATAGAATGCCAATGAGCAAGTATTGGGAGAAATAATAGAATCAGGAAACCATCACTGGGCAGCTACCTTAGTTACAGCTGATTTAGGGACAAAGCGGCTGTGGCTACTAAAACGAGCAGGTAAACACTGGGTGAAGCATGGAGATTTTACAGTCTCAGAATTTCTCTTCATGAGACAACTTCCTGGTTAGCAAGTACACGGTGCTTCCTGTCTACCTCAGGGGAGAAACGTGGCAGATAACCTCTTGGCCAAAGTGTTAGGAGTGCACATGGCACTGAGCTGACACTGATCTAACCCCACAGGGCAAGGAAATGAGCATCACATGGCAAGTAGAGCAGCTGTGGCCATCCCACACGGATATGCCCGCACTCCTCTGATGTCATAAAACGGGTGGACACAGGTCCAGGCTACAAGGAACCAAGGAGACGTAAACAAATACAGCACCCAATGCTGAATGGGCCATCAAACCTGCAGGGGCCGTCAGAGAAGAGTGGGGCCTGCAGATGGCAGGGCGACACTGAACCAGCTTGACGTTGGTGTTTGGATTGAAGCTATAGGAGATGCATCTTTTCTCTAGGGAATTCAGACTAAAGTAGGGAATATTATCGTAAGTGCCATGTGCATTTTAAGAGAAAGAGGAAGAATATGTCAGATATAATTTTTAATTAAGTAAATACTTTAAAATGTTAAGTTGGGGTATCTTGCTAAAGAGCATATACATTTCCCTATATTCTTCTAAACAAATTTAAAATGAGTTCAGGACTCGGTGTGCACCTCTGTGTGGTAGAGATCTTGACCAGCACCTCAAAAAAGTTTAAGTAAATAAAACTACTTTAAAAGAAAAACAACTGCTAAAGCTATAGAAATTAAACCATCTGTACTGTTCTAAGAAAATGAACTTGTAAAGACCCAGAGTCAGTATTTCATCATGTTGAAACCAAGGGCAAAATTATAAAAAAAGTACCAACAACATAATCTACAGACAAATACAACACCGAAGCACTCTTAAGCCAACAAGGAAGGTGTGAGTATGCCAGAAAATGAAATGGACCTAGTGATTATAATTGCTCTCATTAGCTATTTGTAATTTGTACAAATCTTAATTTAAAAATGCAAAAAGCTACTGAAAGAAGCTTATGGCTGGTTGGCAGGTAACAATGGGGAGGAACCTACAAAAAGAAGTCCTTAGGCATGTACCATGTGTGGACTAGTCCCACTAAGGGGGAAAAGCTAGACCTCACTCATCCTCTTCCTGTGAGTCAGCATTCGTGGATTACAGAGGAAGAGAAAAGTCAAGAAGCAAGCCTTCCCTGCAAACAAGCACCACACATGGGCCACCACCACTGGGGAGGCAGTGAGACCCCAGCCCCTTCCCGCGCACAGGCTGCGAAACAAGAAGAGCCAGCCGCCACCATCATCATCCACCATCTGTAAGCAACCAGCTGATCTGAAGAAACACAAGCTGCGATGATGGCTATTGAGGTGAAATGCAATTTGATGCTTGTGGTGTTTGGTGTTTCACTGACTTTGCAGGTCTAGGGACAGTGGTCTGATGGTCTATTTGGAGGATAACAGTACATGGTGTGGCATGGTATCTCCTCCTGACAGTGGTGGCCATTGTTGATTTCCTATTGTCTTGTTTTGGAGTCCTCTATGTCATTTTCATTGCTTACTTGGGTTGGATTTTATCCTGTTTGTTTTGGGCAACCATTTCGCTTTAGTATTGTCTTGTTTTGAATTCTTTTATCGCATTCAGTGTTTTATTTTTATTGGTTCTATTCTGTTCTGTTGTCTATGTTCTGTTGTCTCTGTTCTGTTGTACTATGTGTGAATGAATCTACAGCTACTTTGAAAACGGCAAGAAACATTATGATAGCCATTGTTGATTTCCTATTGTTTTGAAGTCCTGTGTCACTTATACTAGTTTGTTTCAACTGGCTTTGTTCTATTTTATTTTGCCTGTTTGCCTGGCTTTGTTCTGTTTTATTCTCGTAAAAAAAAGTCCTTAGGAAAATAGTTCCTGTCAGCCCTCTCCCTCACTCATTCCACCTAGGGGAGGCAAGGATCCTTTGGGACCTTGCCCCGGGTACAAGGCAGCTTCCAGATCCCTTTCTGTGCCACTTTTTAAAAAGTGGAGGTCACAAACTTACAGGATGCTGGCTAGATGTATGGTAGCCATGTATTTCAAGTCAAATATCTAAACACATTATTTGACAAAGAGAAGTACACAAGGGCCAAGGAAAGCATGAAAACTGTTTGGTGAAACACAGGTCTTCGGACCTCCCAAGGGTGATTTCCCCCCCAGGTACCCTCTTTTCAGGTTGAGGACAGTGGAGAGTGGAAGTAGAGTACCACACTGAGTGCTTACACTCAGTACAAGGAAGTAAACCCTCCTGCTCCAACCAGCATGGCAGCCACCCGTAAGCAGCACAGAGGACACCATCAACCCACACGATTACATACCAGGGTTTTCAGAATAGTCTTAACTGGCAGGTAGTGTCTGGCTGTATCAATTAAAATCCCTCTGTGCAGAAACCTTGGAGAATCAATAATGTTGGCTTCGTTGATGGTAAACTACAAGACAAAGGAAAACTTTTATTTAGTTTTAGCATTTTCTCTTAAATTCAGTGAAGACTACAACTACCTCTATGAGAATCAGACAAAAAAGTCAAACAATAAAAGCAAGAAATTTACCTGTACCAGCTAAGAGAAACACTTAGGGCAAAGAAACCTTCAGGAAGCAATAGCTAAACAGGATACATTTTTGTAATAGCAATATGTCTAATTAATTTTAGTAACATATAATAATCATACTTACAGTCCCATAAGAATCTTGATAAACTAACTGGCTAAAGGTCTCTAAACCTGAGGAGAGTAAAATTTATTCCATTAATTTATAAAACTACAAATGGAGACAGTGAAAGTTATACTATTCAAAGACAGCCATCACTAGGTAAGGCAATAAAATTAAATACAGTGGTTTAAAATAGTCTCGTATTGATATTCTGTAACATATTTCCTAAAGCCAACATTGAATTAAAAACAAATCCCTTTGCTTTCTCTGTTCATCTAATAAATGTGCTTTACTTCAGTGTACTGGTCACCTACAGTCTGTTTGCATGTTAAACAAAAGTGATTTAATCAAATAAAATATCAGTCTTTTAAAATATTCCTAGCATTATGAGAAAGACTTTATGATCCAATATCATAGTCATTTAGAAGATAAAAATTTAGTAAATTAAAAATGTTTGAAAACAACCATTAAACTATAAACTGGTAAGCTATTACAGCTGCAAAGGTTATTTCTTGAACCTTTTTTACTCAAGTGGCTTATTGCTTGATACACTAGAGTGCATGCTAATTCTAAAAAAGAAAAAAGTCTCCTGTGTAGTCCAGGCTGGCCTTGAGCTTCCTTCCTCAGCCTTCCAAATGCTGGGATTACAGGTGTGTCACCACACCTCGTTGTATCTATTTTAGACAATCTGAGTCAAATACAAAGCCTTTTTATATTTTTAACTACTATAATTTTGATTAGCTCATATAGAAAAATTTCCTTATAAAACAATTTGCTTTTAAAAGTCAGTGAAATGGGCCGGGGATTCAGCTCAGTGGCATAACTGCTTGCTTGGCAAGCACGAGGTCGTGAGTTCAATCCCCAGTACCACAAAAAAAAAAAAAAAAAACTAAAAAATAAAAGTCAGTGCAATAGCTTATGAAACTTTTCTGCAGCAGAAATAAATGTCCTGTGCCAAACTGTGAAACTGGAATCCTGAAATTCCCCAGACAGGCTTCCAAGTTTCCTCCCTGCCCACTGCCCCTAACCAAGTCGATAGCATATTTATCTTGCCCTCACAGCCCCTATACCTTTGGTGGTTTCTAAACCCAAGAATTTAAACCGTGGGATGCAAGATGCTTGCTACTGAAGGCATCAAGAACTAGTCTCTGACACAAAAAACCCTCTCTATCAGACCAGACAGGGTCACTTATAGTTCTATCAATGATTGACAGAGCCCCAAGAACTGTGGTGAATTGCGTTCTGCCTTCAAATAGGTTTTGAAAAGGTCAGATGAAATTTCTCTCGCGTTTCAGGTAATTTCAATTTGGAATCACTCAGGAAAGCATTTTGTAAAGGGCCCAATGTAGCAAAGTTCTGCTCTCCTTTGTTTCACAAAACACCTGCTGAAAGCGTGCCTTCACTAGAAACAAGGAGCTGCTTACCTCGCAGAGCTCCCCAGACTCTCTTGGCCCTGAGGGAAGCCACCGGTGCTTGCACAGTTAAGGTATCTGTACGGGGAGAAGCACTTTTGTCAGCCCTTCCGTCACACACAAGCTTTGACAACCTAAACACATCGTAGGTATCTCTAGACCCTTTTTTTTCTTTCTTTCCTTTTTTTTTTTTTTTTTTTTCCAGACAGGGTCTCGCTATGCAGTTCAGGCTGATGTTAAACTCACTTTGTAGCCCAGGTTGATCTCAAACTCACAGCGATCCTCCTGCCTCAGTCTCCCAAATGCTGGGACTGCAGGTGTATACCACCACGCCCTGGCTGGACCCTCCATTTCTTGGCCCAGATTTACTTCTTAGAGGCTTCCTGCACATCTCCGCCTGGATCTCCTGCAGATTCCTTAAACCCTGCCCTCACACCTCCACCTGCTGATCCCGCACTCCTTATTTCTGTGAGTCTCAGCGCCACCATCCAGGGACTTGAGCTGCTCAAGTCAGGGACTCAGCTGCCACCTCCCCTCAGGGTGCTCTCCACTTGCATCTTCACAGAGCATAGAACATAAGCCAAGATTTTAGGTGAGAAACGCAAACATCCTCAATGCTCTGGTCACTCAGAATCTACTCCTCTTAAGCATTATTTTTACTCCTTTTCCTTCACTTTTTGCCTCATGCTTGGTCCTGCCTTCCCTTAATATCTCCCAAAATCTGCTTGAAAACTTGCTCTCCAGGCCAGGCATGGTGGTGCCCAACTATAATCCCAGCATTTAGGAGCCTGAGGCAGGAGGATCATTGTGAGTTTGAAGCCAGCCTGGGCTACATAGTGAGACTGTCTCAACAACAACAGACTTGCTCTCCAGCTCTCTTTAATTTGGTTTTGTCCTACTTACTACAAAATTCACATCCATTAAGAACGGGGCTCCTGTCAACTGCTTCTGGGTCTAGCGGGGCTCATTTTTCCATCTCTAGTCTCATTTGCAAAGCATGAGACACTTTAAAAAGTCAATTTAGTCCTTTAAAAAGCTCTGGGGTATTGTCAACCACAGATCGAGTACAGCAGTGCAACAAATACAGAGACTGACTTTGCCACACAGCCAAGTCCCCACAAGGTGCAAGTTAGTGACTGCACACTGTATACTCTGGACGGATCATGTTATGTGACACTCCTGCATGCAGACTGTAAGTCCCTCACCAGTGGCCGAATGGAAGGAAAGAGCTGTAGCAGTCATGTGACTGTCAGCTGATAGCCTCCTGACAGAGCAGCTAAATGCAGGATAAGAATTATAAGATTGGACATCACTGCCAAGAGCACAGGCTAATCCTGACCCTGCTCCACTGATAACCAGGTCTTTACTGCCTACCTAGCCCTCGACATCCCATCAGTCACTGGTTACTTCTTTTTTCCTTTTCTTGTGTCCCCCTACCCCCCAGCTCTGTGCCAGGGATTCAGCCTAGGGCCTTGCACCCCCAGAGCTCAAAAAAAAATGTGGGGGAGGCAGTACTGAGCACTGGACCCCCGGTTTCCAACAAGTCCTCTTCCATTGAACCACACCCTGGCTCTGTTGGTCACTTTTTGCCATATTGTAAGTTGGCAGGCTCCTGGAAACAGTACTAAGAGCCACTGAAAAGCAGGGACTGGCTGGTGTACTTGATGCCACTTTTCCAGTCATGCAGACTGGTTCACAGACAGAGGGTTCCAATTCAAGCCACCGGGAAAAAGGCACATAGAGCAAAAAAGAGGAAACATGGCTTTCCAGGTATTTGGATATCCAGTGATCGGTGTTAGCAATGATCACCTCCCTGGCAGGGCAGGAGTAGCATATTTTCCTTTTTCAGTTACCTCCTTTGTACCTTTTTATATGACAAATACTTTTGCTTCGGAAGGTGTGTACACCAATAACATATTAATGTGTTTACCTGTAAAAATACTTAAAAAGCTAAATTCCCCTTTGAGAGGCCGACTGATTCATTCTCTCTCTTGGATACATACATACACATGGGGATGGAAGCCTGAGTCTCTGACAAGCACTCTAACCCGGACCACATCCATGGCTGTTGGTCACTGTTTGATTATACTATCCATCAAATAAAACAGCTATTCTTCCCCCTCAACTCCCAGTTCTGCATCTTCTTTGTGCAGGATTACTGTAGATTATAAGTAGAGATCACAGTTCTTAGCACAGATTTGTCTTTAAAGACAAAAATTAAGACATTCTCTCAATGTCCAAAAATAAAAAGGTGAGTCAAGCCAGTTCTACAATACAGTGGCAGAACATGATTGCACCATTAAAAATGATGTCTCGGGGCTGGGGATTTAGCTCAGCGGCATAAACGCCTGCCTTGCAAGCAGGCAGTCGTGAGTTCGATCCCCGGTACCGATAAAAAAGGAAAAAGACAGAAAAAAAAAAAATGAGGTCTCGATGGAATGTTTGAATATTTAATGCAGTCCATAAATATGTATTATTATGCAAAATTCGATAGCAAAAATGAAAAGGAAACCACATGTACAAAATGACAAGTCCTATGTTCATGTCACTGTTTGTATTTCTGTGTAATACACATAAATACTCTGTGCTGCACAATGGACACATATATATTTACAATCACAATGATTATGAGTACTAGATTATAAGTGATTTTTTCTTCTTCTGCACTTCCCATACTTATAAATTCCCTACAGTGACAGTGCACATTGCTTTTTAACAGGGACTTACAAGACTCATCTGAAGACACACGAGGGAAAGAGTCACACTCTGATTCAAGGGTAATTGTGACAAAAAGTTGCTGTAATTCTTGTTTGGCTTGAAATTTACCAAAGCCTTGATGCATCTTGTAGTGACTAAAGATATAGTCATAATATCTGTGGAATAAACAAACTGAAATTCAATTTAAAGCATTTCAGCCCAATTTTAAACATACACATGCTCATGGACACTGCAGTAGACTCCCAAATCCATTTGATACCCGCTTAGTCCAACCAGGGACCGTTGCTCTAAGCTGTACCTTACAATCGCTCAGGGAGCTTTTTGAGAATGTCTAAACCTTCAGAATTAGAATTTCTGAGAAGGGATCTGAGGGTGGGGATTTTGAAAGCTCCCCCCCCCAAAGCCCTTGTGAAGAAGCAGCAATCAAATCCATCACAGTAATCTACCTTGGTAATTATCATTTGGGGAATGAAAACCAATTCTGCCTGGCCATGAGGCCTATGTGCTAACCAGTCCTTTCCTGAACAAACCACAAAAAAAGTTGGTTTCTCTGCATGTGACACCAAATCAGCTGCAGCGACAGCTACCAAAGCTTGCAGAGCAGCCCTGGAAAGAACATGGATCCCTGAGTCCATACAAACAAGTAGCCTAACGCTTGCAGCACGTGTGGGATGCATAGGGCAGTAAGGTTTTCTTACGGCTGAAGCCTGATCAAGTCAGGATTCCTGTTACCCTCCGACGAAAGTGACATAGCTCTCTCTCTCTCTCTCTCTCTCTCTCTCTCTCTCTCTCTCTCTCTCTCACACACACACACACACACACACACACACACACACACACGGTAACCAGCCCACAGAGCCTTTAAAATACATACTGTATTTTGTTGAGACCCAAATATCACAAAAAGAATAGTAAATACGCATTTAGAGTGCTAAAAAAATAAAAGACAAGCTTCAAAATAACTGTTTTAATGTTTTAGAGTTCTGTTTTTATTTATGGTGAGAATTGAACTCAGGACCTGGAGCATTCTGGACAAGCATTCTATCACTGATACACAGCACTGGTCCTAATGTATAGATCTGGATAAGCTAGATTGTGTATATGTTACTTAGGCAATAAGAACACATGTGCTTTTCCAGAGAAGGAGGGAAGCAGGTATGGTGGCACATACCTATAATCCCAGTACTCAGGAGGCTTAGGAGGAGTGCCTGGAGTTTGTAGCCAGCCTGTACTACACAAAGTTCAAAGCCAGCCTACATTGCAAGTGAGACCCTGTATCAAAAATAAAATAAAACATACAAAAAAAATTTTAAAGGAGGGGTAGGAAAATTAGAAGCTACAGAAGGGAGCTAGCTTTTGAAGGTCTTTTGCACAGGAAAACCTTGTAGACTTAAAGGAAATTAAGACAATTGAAGTGGAGTCTGTATTTAAAAGTAGTTAAAATAAACCAGGTTGGTGGCTCATACCTGTAATTCCAACTACTTAGGAGGCTGAGACAGAACTGCAAGTCTGGGCAACTTAGGGAGACCCAGTCTTAAAAACTAAAGCCCTGGGGTATAGTTTACAGTACCTGCAGCGTGAGGCCTTGAGTTCACGCTCTAGTGGAGGGGGTATACATTTTGTGTTTTGCCACAATTAAAAATAAAAAAAATTAAAAGGAAATTAAAGGAGCTGGTGGAGATGTAACATAGTGGTAGAACACTTGCCCAGTATGTGCAAGACCTTGGACCTTGGCTTCAGGTTTGATCCCCACAAAACAAAATTTTTTTAAAAAAGACGCATGTGGTAAACTCTTCCACAAGCTGAAGCAGCAGCCATGGGCCAGACAGCTAAACTGCCTGCAAAAAGCATCTCCATTCCCCCGCAAGAAACGTAAACATTATGTAGTACAAACAGGCACTGATGAACGTCACATCCCGTGCCAGCGCAGAGTCTGAGACACAGCACGGCAGTGGGCAGTGAGGTGCGTGAGCTCCCCGCCACCAGGGGCTTTCGCAAACCCAGGGAGCTTCTACTGAGCCGGCAGTTTCCGGAATGCGTGCTTACAAGCTCCAGCAGCGTTTTACAACCTGCTTCCTAACAACACCAACTATACTTTGGCTGCCTTCCACACAGGCCTCAAATGAGGGAGGTAAATGCTAGAGCATTATCTCCACCTGCCTTGCAAATACCAAGCTTTGTTTCCAAACCGTGTCATAGCTGACTCAAGTCCTGGCTATCCACCCTCTAACTCACTCACTCATCCCTGCATCTACCCTGCTCTCATCACCAAGCAGAAAGAAAATCCTGCTTTCAGGTCTGGGCCCCAGGACACACAGGGCAAGGGTGTTTTGAAAAGATTTCGTACTTATGATTTTTTAAATGACCCTCAAGGCGTCTGAACTTTCTCTGCAATCTTGCATATTCCAGGAACATTTTGGTCTCACATTTCACACCCTGTGGTCAGCATGCCTCTAACACAGGCGCCAATATCCATCCAGGTGCACAAAACAGAGGGATACAGGAATCGCCTGGCAGCAGAGATGGAGCCACCACTGCCTTCAGACCTGGGGCCTCTTCAATTGGGTTTGCATTTTCTACACCCTTTAGGGCAGTCGCCTACTCAGGTCCCAGGGAGCCGCCGCGGGTGGCTCATTGGAAAGCAGGTGCCCCGCATTTCACGCGGTTAGCAAAGCAAGTGTGTGGGCACGGCCTACTTGTGGTTACAATCATGGGGGGGGGGGGTTTACAGGGGGGCAAAGCTGATGGAGCGTGACAAGGAGGTACCGATATAAAGAGGAACAGGAAGAGCCATCACATGACCGGGTCACACATCGAGATGAAAAATATTGCCCAGCACGGGCCACACGAAAGCCGAGCCGAGTCAAGCGTCACGGGCAGGGAGCCCCGCTTCCCGCGGGCTTCTGCCGTCTGAACCGTGCACTCTTGGGGCGCAGGCGAAGGCCAGGGGCCCGGAGATGACAGTTCGCTTCAGGCTGCTCAGGTTCCCGACCGGCTTGTCTCCGCCTCTCCGCGCGCTGTCCTCCCTCTGAGGAAGCTGTCCTTCCTCCCCAGCTGTGGGGGGAAGCGGCGACCCCCCCCCCCTCATCCCTGCCTGTCGCCTTCTTCGGCTACCTGGGACCGATTCCGAGCAACCGAGGCTTTTCCCTCCAGACCCCAGCGGGGTTCCAGCGCAGGGCGCCCCAGGGAGCGAGGGAAGGGCGCGGGCTGCGGACTCTGGATGCCAGCGGTCTCGCCCCTCCAGCCTGCGACGACGCCGGGTCCCCACCGGGATCTTACCGCCGAAAGGCCTCCTGCAGCAGCGCGCAGGACGGGCCGGCAGTGGAGTTGGCGCCGTGGTCGATGGAGAAGGTCCCGGGGGCCAGCTGCAGCAAGCGCGGGGACAGCTGCACCGAGCGTGGCAGGGGCCACAGCGCGGGCACCGGGGCGGCGGCGGCGGCAAGCGCAGCCCGCGGCGCCAGAGCCAGCAGCGCGCCCAGCGCCACCAGCGCGGCCGGGCCCATCGCGCGCGGCTCCATGCTACGGCGGATCTGCGCCCCGGGTCCAGCCGCCGGAGGAAGCCCAGCCGCGCGCCGATCAGGTGACTGCTGACCGCGCCCCTGCGCCCGACTCCGCCCTCCCGCGCCGGGGCAGAACTCTCAGCTCCGCCGCGGCGCCCGGGACCCGGCGGCCAGGCCCCGGAAACCTGGGACTTGGAGCCCCGCCGCCTGCCGAGCGCCGGGAACCGCTTCGAGGTCACAGCTTGGGTCCCCTTTGGGCCATGCACTACCTTTTGGTGGTGACATTGAGAACTCAGTCCAAACACCAGGTGCCCGGGTGCTGATGAATACTGCTGCAGCTAGAATAGAAAAAGGATCTCGAGAGGTAGTTCTGGTTGGCCTTGAACTCACGGTGTAGCGCAGGCTGGCCTCTGAGTCACGGAGATCCTCCTGCCTCAGCCTCTTGAGACCTGAGATGGCTGACATGTACCACCATCATGCTCTCTCTCAAGAACTCCCTGGGCAGACTTCTGAACACTTTGCAGGTTACCAGATTACGCAAAAGGAAATCTTGTGAAAAAGGAAAATGCAATCCAAAAGAGTCTTGGGAGTGGGTTCTAACCAGGGGATAGGGCGAGGGCTGAGAGGACTGCAGAAGGACACCGTGGACTAAGTCCACAGAGAAGTGAGGGATAGAGAGAACATATTGTATGAGCGATTGATCTTGGCAATGCGTAATTTTCCCAAAAAAGGAAAACGTGGTTTGTTAAAATACAGAATGAAAATGCTTTAAAGGTTTTATTCAATACGTAAGTTAGAGAATTACTGTAATAAGTCTGGTTTCGAGACGATTTCATAGAGGGACTGTAGAAGACTGCTAAATAGCTTCAAAATTGGGTTGCATCCAACAGGGCACAGCCTCATGACCCTGAGTTCTAGCACCACCACTGCCAGACTTGGAAAAGAGAAAGAAACTATTTCTAATAAACTCTTGAAAACAACTTAAATATTTATTAGTGACAGACCTCACCATCTATATGGAGAGAAATAATCTGGATTCGAGCAAAGACCTCTTTGAAAGCCATACCTTCCTGTCTTCCCCTCCCTCTCCTTACAGAGTTTTCAGCCCAAATTTTCTCTATTTTAGCTGTTCTCAGGACGACTCCACCCCTCATGATGCTATCCCAGCAGCCCCAGGGCACGAAGAAGGCCCCAGTCCATCCTCTGGTCTGATAAAGGATTGCCACTGACAAGCCTGATTTCATAACCCCTGCGGAAGACAGCCCTGGTCAGCTGGCCACGCCCCTGGGACACCCGGAGAGGGATGGTTCCTGCTTTGTTTTCATTTTGTCACTGAGTCAGGAAGTTAACCAGGCTGTTTTCCTCCACGTGGCTAGGTAATCATGAGGGCCTTGTAATGAATCAACCACCTTTTCTTCACTGACTTAGAGATATTTCCTGTACTTTTTTTTAACTTTTCATAAAGCTGTATAGTTCTGTTTGGAGCTGTTTATTCTGTTTATCCACGCATCTCTTCATGGGCCAATTATTGTGCTGTCAATGTCAAGGTGAATGTTTAAATCACGATTTTGAATGATATTTTTTAGTAGTGTATATTAGTCTTACAGAATATTGGATCGTGTGTATTTGTACTTGCATATTTTGGTAAAAAGGGAGAAGGATTTATCCTAAACTAGCACTCAGTGGTTGGAGAGGCCTATTTACCTCAGATCACCATCTCTTTCATGAACAGTTGTATTGGGTCTTTCATAGCAAAGAACAGCGTGGGAAAGAATAAGTGGACCAACAGGCATTTTGAAATTACTTCTTTCTCTTCCAGGGTCCAGACCTCTCTTGCCAGAAGGAATGGAACTGGGCTGGATCTCCTCGTGCTGGTGTTACAGGCAGCTGAGCCAGTTAGAAATATTATAGGCAGTCAGACAGGGCTAGGCCTTTGAGGAAGCCGGCATGGAGGACCAGATATCTTGGAGGACCTTGGAGGGGACACACACCTCTTGCTGTGGACCAGATCTGAAAACAGAAGGCAAAACAAATGCAACCACACCCTTAAGTATAATCCTTAGGGATTAAATCTGGATCACTTTGAGAAGCCAAGAGTCACCATCCCAATCCCCTATAGGAGGAATCACTGATCTCTAGGAATGCCTGCTTCTTACGTGACTTGCTTTCCCATTCGTCCGCAGTTTAGTCAATTTTACCTGAACTATTGATCTTATTGGCTAACTATAGTTATGTCCCACCTTATGTCCATCTGCTCTGTGAGTTCTCAGTCTTCCCCTACCTTGGACCCATAGTTTTACTTTATAAAAGTCCCTGGAAGAGACAGAGTCCTGGGCAACCTGCTCAGGACCCCTTTTGTCTCTCTTCAGATAGAAGCTTTCTTTCCCTCAATAAATATATTCTACTCTTAACCTCCGTTCCTAAAATTCATTCTTCAATTTTAGAGAACACGCAGCTCGTACCAGACATAGTATACAGGTCGGGAGTTTCATTGCCCTATATCACTGGGATCTGCAGATTCTGTCTACTTCTCTGGGTAGAGGAGAGACAGAGGAGCCATTTAAGCTTGAGGAAGTTTGGAAGTCACTTTACTCCTTGGACAAAACAACTAACCTTTCAAGTTCCATTCTGCAGTGTTGGTTGTAAGTGCCTGACAATTCAGTTTAACAAGAAGCCACCAGATAGCTTGCTGTCTGAGCAGACTCCTTATTCTCTACCCATGGTCTCTGATCACCATGGCTGGCTTCCAGAAAGGGCCGTTACCTGGGTTTAATGAGAATCACCTCCACTTGACGTCTCATCCCTGAGCAGCTCCCATCCTCAGCTGATTGACCTCAATCTCTGGGTGTCTTTGTGGTATTCAGTGGATCAATTAGGAATCAACTGATTAACTTTGTGGACCAATAAGGCAGAGAAGAAAAGAGAGGAAGTTAGGAAACATCATGTCCAGCTCAGGTACATAGTAATTTATCAGCTCTCAAGGATGAGCTGGACAACAGAATCTACTCTGGATAGTTTTAAACAGAAGAATTAACTGTTGGATATAAAGTACCTCATGGAATCCTTGATGGAATTTGATTCTTGGCTGAAATTACTTGAGCAGCTGTTTCTCTTCTGATCAGAAAGCCACATGCTGAATGGAGAAGCTGCTGCTACTGGTGCTCACTCTCGACTTTCATCACTGTGGCTCCAGTCTGCACCATTAAAAGGGATACCTCATGTCTGATGGACCCCCTCGGAATCCAAGCCTCCTGTAATCACAGCCAACTAGCAGAACTGAAGAACAGAGGATGCTGCACCCAGGCAGTCATTAGAGGAGGAAAGATGGATGGAGGCTGAAGGAGCTGGTTCTGACCTTCACTAAACGTGATACCACTCACTGGGATGATAGCTTTCGTGGCCTGATCAGGCCCACAACCTCCCAGATGAGTGGACAGCAAAGGCTTAAATAAATGAGATAAATGGTATGACTTTAGGGCTCCAGGAGGATCAAAACCCTCTAGCACAACTCAAGATTCTTGGGGCTGAGACACAGAACTTCTCTGGGCAGCTCGTATTTATTTGGTTTTCAGACAATGATACTTAGGAAAACATGGGAACTGAGCAGGACCTTGGGAGTCAGTTCAAAGACTTCTCCAAGGTGTAAATCATGCTGATTTAGGAGACCAGCTTCTCTGCTGATTAACATTTATGGCAGGCCTGAGACGCCTGTGGCTGTGTCTCTATCTGGTTAATGAAGTCAGAGCCGTTGTCCTCGTCCGTGGCCTTCACCTGTCCTTTGAGGCATGATGGCATCACAGATCACTACCAGTCTTGTCTGGAACCAGTGATTCGTAGAGTTTCACTTACTAGGAGTCCGCTGCTCATCTCCAGACAAGGGCCTTAGGCCTGGGACAGAATCACAAGTAAATCCTGCTCGAAGCCACTTTGTAGTGACAAGGTCTCCCATCAGTGGCTGGCTCAGCAGCAGACAGGTGAGTGGCCAAAGCTGCCCAGCGCTGAGGAAGCAGGACCTATGTGAGCTGCAAGGCAGCTGCTAACCGCAGAGTGAGTCTTTGGGGTTCTGAGGTCTCCATGCTAGTCACAGACGCATCTGAAATAGTGAAAATTCTATGGCTGTGCTAGTGAAACCTGAGATGGGCTCCACTGGGCATAGGGCACTAAACTGAACTCTCGAAGCAGGGCAAGAAAGGGCAATCTGCTCAGGCAACTGGCAGACATTTCTCCCTGCTCTGCTAAAATCAGCTGCACAAACAACTTCCACTTTCTTACCTGCTCAACAGTGCCTCCTGGTGAGAAGCCAGGCTCCCTTCCTCCAACTCTCTGCATTCCTTTATAGAGGAATCATATTTATATAAATTGGATGTTCATATCCAAAACAAAAACGGTCAAATTTGGAGACCAAAGGTTGATGTCATGCTTCAAAATGAAAAGATCTAGAAGAAACCAAATTTTAAGACTTCTAGAATTGAAATCCCTGCACTGGGGGCAAAGGTCACATTGACAATTTCATGTCCCTTACCCCTCCTGAAGATGCTTCTGCTTTTCCTTCCTTCTACCCTCCACACCCAGGAGTATGGGATTGATGGAGGGAGCTGACCTGGGAGGGGACTGGGGAACTTAACAGAAAAAAGATTTAGTTTTCGGTGTCATGAGCAAGTGGGTATAGCAGGACACCCTTCCAGCAAGCAGAAATGGCACTAGTACTGCACGTCCCAAGAGCCTACTGCTGTCATAACTGCACACCCACATGCCCTGCCCTCCCATGAGAAGAGGTCAGAGAGAGGAAGGAATCTGTCTTCTAGGGTGACAGAATGGCAGTGGTTTCTCTGTCTGAGGAACAGAGGTTTGGTCTATTGCTTCAGAGGTTAGACGTCTTTGAGAGAATTCCTCCCAGTGTGAGGTGATTGTGTGGTTCACCACATACCCACGTGTGTAGGCAGCAGGCACTAGCTGAAGGACTCTGGGTGGTGTTGAGCTAAAGCTGTGAGGTATGTGGGGAAGGACCAGAGAGCTCAGCTGGAAGCTTCCAGAAGTCTGGATGAGGAACAG